ATGAAAGTGGGTTGACCATCCCCCCCCCCCACGGCTGAGGTGAAAATGACGTTTTTCTCTTTTTTTTTTTTTTTTTTTTTTTTTTTTTGCTGTGGGGATGAAGTTTCATCTCCTTGTGAAACTGTTGATAAATAAAATTTGCTAATGTATTTCTCTTTTGGTAGCCTAATTTGTTCTTTTTACGGTTTCTACTTTTAATAGCCGCTTTCAATTAAACTAACTACTTAATTGATTCTATAAATGAAACTTTGGATTCTCTTCTAGATCTCCTATGCTGAGAGCAAAAATTGTATTTAAATGGAATTTAAAATTTTGGTTGGGTTGTCTGCTGAGGACATTTTCCTACACTGGACCGCCTCCCTAATTTCCACCGTCAAATTGGCATTTCCTATCTCCCTTTTGCCGGTGAGTAAAAAATTTTGGTGTGTTGCTTGAGGACCATTGCCCTACAATGGACCACCTCCCTAATTTCACCTTCAAATTGGCATTTCCTAATCTCCCCTTTTAAATGGAGTAAAAATTTGGTGGTGGTTCTGAGGACCAGTTTTTACAATGGAAAAATTTTGGTTGGTTGTTGCTTGCGGACCAGTGTCTTACAAGGACAGTGCTTACAATGGACCACCTCCCTAATTCCACCTTCAAAGAACAAACTCACTTTTTCGGTCTTATCTTGTGAATCTTTCCATACTTAAAAAAACAGAAATTAACTATGTACAAAATAAATGACATATTTGAGAGAGTGCTTTTGAAATGGTACAAAGCGTCTATGACAACTAAAAGCATTTTTGAATGCGTTTGGTAGAAACCTTATAAATGCTATAGGTAGAGGTGGACATTCAAACCAGCAAACAAGGAAATCAAGCCAAATCACATCAAGAAAATCGGAAACAACCGAGTTGATCAAAAAGTCAACAACAGTCAAACCATTTTTCTTCTCTCTTTTCTATACCCTAGCCGTCAAGTGCCTTCTCTCTCTCTCTCTCTCTTGAAGAAAACGTAATCATTGTTCTTTTTCTTCTTCTTCCTCTCCTCTCCTCTATGTTGATTTCTTTTTTCTGTTTTTTACTCTCTTTTTGTGCACCGATTAGATCTGTTATGGTCTTTAGTGTTCTTTAGATTCTCATTTTTATTAAAAATCTTGGAATGTCAAATTTTGTTTCCGGTTCCAAAGGATGGGTTGCTAGATAGATTCTTTTTTTTTTTGGGGGTATATTTTGGACGAGAAGGTTCAAATATGATTTTTCTTATACATATTTGTCGATTCGCTCCATTGCTTTTTTGTAAAAGCAGTGTTGGATGCGTTTGATTGAAAATGAATGGTCATTCTAGTTGATCTTGATCTACCATTCTTATGATTTTTTTTTCATTATTTATACATACAAAAAATTCATTTGTTTAAACGGTCCATGTTTATAGTCCAAAAATGAAAAAAAAAAAAAAACTTTAAAATAAAAAAATTATAAAATGATCAATTGGCTTTAGAGCCGGTCCAAATTGGGAAATTCGAAATTAACCCCGATCTAAACCATTTTATTTGGGTTAGTTTGGTTTAGTTAATGAACTTTTATAAGAATCGGACTTTTTTTTTTTTTTTTTTTTTTTTTTTTTTTTTTTTTTTTTTATATAGTCGAATCGTTTTAGAATATTTGTTAGAATAGAAATCAAATAACCTCAAATAATTGAGTTCACACAAAATGCAATACAAACAAGCATAGGAGCCTACTTACAAGTAAAACAAACAAACATGCATATGCACACATATAAGGCATAAAGCCCACATAGAGGCCAGAGCCCCACATAACGGCAAAGCCCACAAAAGGCAAAAGCTATTCATACTTTCTCTGATCAGCTATTCATATCTGTCTTATATCAGTATTTGGATAATATTGTAGTAATACTTGTTGGACAATCTTGGGGTATATATTTAATATTTTAGTAAATCATAAACCTTTACAATAAATTTGGAACTATAAAAAATTGATCTGATTACTTTTTTTGTTTTGGTTGAGAAGGAAGGAATGTGTATGATACTACTTGCCTGCAATTTCTTGATTTACATTTATGCCTTTTGAAGTTATTTTTTCTTTCTTTCTTGGATGGGTTTTCTCCGTTCTGCATAATAATATTGCAAGACTTGTTTGGCTTTCCTGTCATTCCCTAAGCTCAATCAGTAAAATAAACTATTAATTAAACACATTTGTGTTTCAAAAGAAACTATATTAAATAATCTGTAATGAGCAAGGATATCCAAGAAGTGGCAGTTGGCTGTGCAGCGTGCATGCTGTTCTATGCAAGATAGTTGTTACGAGTCCAATTCTGTTCTCTCTCCTGTTTCATGTTAATGCATGAGAATTTTTTTTTTTTTTTTTTTTTTTTTTTTTTTTTTTTTTTTTTTTTTTTTTTTTTTTTTTTTTTTTTTTTTTTTTTTTTTTTTTTTTTTTTTTTTTTTTTTTTTTTTTTTTTTTTTTTTTTTTTTTTTTTTTTTTTTTTTTTTTTTTTTTTTTTTTTTTTTTTTTTTTTTTTTTTTTTTTTTTTTTTTTTTTTTTTTTTTTTTTTTTTTTTTTTTTTTTTTTTTTTTTTTTTTTTTTTTTTTTTTTTTTTTTTTTTTTTTTTTTTTTTTTTTTTTTTTTTTTTTTTTTTTTTTTTTTTTTTTTTTTTTTTTTTTTTTTTTTTTTTTTTTTTTTTTTTTTTTTTTTTTTTTTTTTTTTTTTTTTTTTTTTTTTTTTTTTTTTTTTTTTTTTTCCCCCTAATTTCCACCTTCAAATTGGCATTTCCTAATCTCCCTTTTTGCCGGTGAGTAAAAAATTTTGGTTGGTGTGCTGAGGACCATTGTCCTACACTGGACCACCTCCCTAATTTCACCTCAAATTGGCATTTCCTAATCTCCCCTTTAATGGAGTAAAAATTTTGGTGGTTGTTGCTTGAGGACCAGTGTTTTACAATGGAAAAATTTGGTTGGGTTGTTGCTTGCAGTGTCTTACAGCTGAGGACCAGTGTCTTACAATGGACCCACCTCCCTAATGTCCACCTTCAAAGAACAAACTTCACTTTTTTCGGTTCTTATCTTGTGAATTCTTTCCATACTTAAAAAGAACAGAAATTAACTATGTACAAAATAAATGACATATTTGAGAGAGTGCTTTTGAAATGGTACAAGCGTCTTATGACAACTAAAAGCATTTTTGAATGCGTTTGGTAGAAACCTTATAAATGCTTAATAGGTAGAGGTGGACATTCAAACCAGCAAACAAGGAAATCAAGCCAAATCACATCAAGAAAATCGGAAACAAACCGAGTTGATCAAAAAGTCAACAACAGTCAAACCATTTTTCTTCTCTCTTTTCTATACCCTAGCCGTCAAGTGCCTTCTCTCTCTCTCTTCTCTCTTGAAGAAAACGTAATCATTGTTCTTTTTTCTTCTTCTTCCTCTCCTCTCCTCTATGTTTGATTTCTTTTTTCTGTTTTTTACTCTCTTTTTGGTGCACCGATTAGATCTGTTATGGTCTTTTAGTGTTCTTTAGATTCTCATTTTTATTAAAAATCTGGAATGTCAAATTTTGTTTCCGGTTCCAAAGGATGGGTTGCTAGATAGATTCTTTTTCTTTTTGGGGGTATATTTTGGACGAGAAGGTTCAAATATGATTTTTCTTATACATATTTGTCGATTCGCTCCATTGCTTTTTTGTAAAAGCAGTGTTGGATGCGTTTGATTGAAAATGAGTGGTCATTCTAGTTGATCTTGATCTACCATTCTTATGATTTTTTTTTCATTATTTATACATACAAAACATTCATTTGTTTAAACGGTCCATGTTTATAGTCCAAAAATGAAAAACAAAAACAAAAACTCTAAAATAAAAAAATTATAAAAATGATCAATTGGCTTTAGAGCCGGTCCAAATTGGGAAATTCGAAATTAACCCCGATCTAAACCCATTTTATTTGGGTTAGTTTGGTTTCTTTTTAACTAATCCACAAAAAAACAAATGCACATACACAAAAAGCAATAGAGCCTACTACAAGTAACAACAAACAAACATGCATATGCACACATAAAGGCAAGCCCCCCAAGACCCCCCATAACGGCAAAGCCCACAAAAGGCAAAAAGCTATTCATATCTGTTCTCTGATCAGCTATTCATTCTGTCTTATATCAGTATTGGATAATAGTGTAGTAATACTTGTTGGACAATCTTGGGGTATAATATTTAATATTTTAGTAAATCATAAACCTTTGACAATAAATTTGGACTATAAAAATTGATCTGATTACTTGTTTTGTTTGTGAAGAAGGAAATGTGTATGATACTACTTGCCTGCAATTTTCTTGATTACATTTATGCCTTTGAAGTTATTTTTCTTTCTTTCTTGGATGGGTTTCTCGTTCTGCAGATAATATTGCAAGACTGTTTGGCTTTCTGTCATTCCCTAAGACTCAATCATGTAAATAAACTATTAATTAAACACTTTTTTTTCAAAGAAACTATATTAAATAATCTGTAATGATCAGGATTCCAAGAAGTGGCAGTTGGGCTGTGCATGCGTGCATGCTTGTTCTATGCAAGATGTTGTTAGTCTAATTCTGTTCTCCTGTTTTCATGTTAATGCATGAGAATTAAAGAACAGGACACAATTTTTCACATATGTTATACATGGGAAATTTGCTATTACATAATGCGTAGTTTTTTTGTATTTATCTTCACTAACAATTTAAAAATGATTGGTTTTTTTTGTTTATTATGTGTATACTTAGCAGTGAATCTAGTCATCTACCTGTTGCAAGTGGGATTATAAACGGATATAAGTCACTCCCATGTATCTGTAAGGATAATATCTGCCATCTTTCTGTAAACTCAAAATCTGGCTTATTAGTGCTTACCTGCCCTTTTGGCAGATGTATGTACTATAGCTAGTGGATGTTATAGTGTTAATCTCCTAAACAAAATCAGTTTTATAAGCTTCTGCAAAACTCAGGTTTCTTTCTACGACTTCTGAGAAAAATGATTGTTGACTTAGAGGTGAGGTTGAGTGACTTGTATTGCATAAATTTACCATCTTTTTGCTAACTCCATCTCACATTTCTGTTGGTCTGCATCTGTGCATTCCTTTTAGGCTCCTAGATTTGACAAGGGACGTATATTGAGCCAGGATCCAGCATATCTTATGTCTTGTCCCAGAGAAATGTAAATGTTGATCAGCGCGCGGCAAGCCATTCTTAAGGTTTCCTATAATTTTTTTTATTTTCCTATACTTATCATCTCGATTTATTCCCTCAAAAAGTCTGTCTTCCTAAGCCTAAGTTTGGTTGGTACTAATCTGTCAATATCCATTGCATGTGGATATTCACTAATTCATCAAATTTATCCAGATACTTGCAGTTGCAGCAAAGGATTACGCACTTATACTAGGAATGCCTGGAACAGGCAAGACATCTACGATGGTGCATGCTGTGAAAGCCTTGTTGATTAGAGGTGCATCCATTTTGCTTACGTCCTACACAAACTCTGCTGTTTGATAATCTACTTGTCAAATTAAAGGCTCAGGTCATCTCTATTTCACATCTTTCATAAGCATATTTGTTTTTGTTTTCTTTGTTTTTCGTTTTCTTGGTTTTTTGTTTTTTGTTTTTTGGGCGTGGTGGGGTGCTTTCTTTTCATGCCATGCTATCCAGGAAATGCACGCTGCCCTAAAACCAAATTTCTTGTTGCTATTTACTCCAATTTTCTTTACCATTCATTCTAACCTGGGGCCATTCTTACTCGCTTAGCACTATTGGGCATGATACCAATATTAGTTGATGTTTCTTTTTGCGCTCTCCTTAAATTTATGGCTGTATGGTTTACCTGTTTGGGTGCCATATCTCGCGTCTAACACTACATTGGGTTTCTTTGTATTGAATTTAAAGCATTGCAGAATATAGATCTTTTACGCATTTGAATGGAAGACATGAAGCTGTGCATGAGGAAGTTCGAGGGCATTGCTTTTCAGGTGAGGTTTTATATAATTGAGAGCATCTTCTCAATATATCTCTTGATTTCTTCTCAATGTTTTAACAGTGGTTTCCATGACAGAAATGAACATACAAAGTGTGGAAGACATTAAATTAATTAAGGTGTGATTTTGAAATGGATTAGGTTCAAGCCTATCGGGTAGATGAGAAATATCACTTGAAGAGATTTAATAGTGGTATCTGTTTATTTTGTAGAGCAAAGTGTGTCTTGTCATCCACGACCTTCAAGTTGTGTGAAATAGAAAGGATTAGTTTCAAGTGAATGCATTAGATGCTCTGCCCTAATTGAAAAAACTCGTTCTATGAAATTGTTGTTTTGGTTTGAAAACTGACTGCAGTTTTCATGTGTGGAAAACTCATTTAATTCCAATGTTTTAGCAATTTCTTATCTTCATAATTGTACAGGTTATCTTTGCATGAATATATAATGCAAATAATGCTCGTTGCTTTAGGAAAATATGTTTGTTCCTTTTAAGTTGTGTGAGGCAAACCGTTTAAGAAGATTGTACTGAAATAAAATCCTCATTTTGCTTATAGGTTGTGGATTTTTATTTTGGTATAATCTCTTTTTTTTATGTACATTATCTTCCATCATGATGAGAGAAAATCAAGCATAAAAACCAGCCCCTAATAATATGAAACATAAAAAGAAAAAGGAATTGAGTGCTCATGCTGACCATATTACTGACCATTTCTCTAATACATACGAATCTCAATTATATTAGTGTGGCCCACATATACGATAACCTTAAGTTAACTGTATTTTTTTAGTCATTTACTTGGTGGACTATATCTTGGGTTCAAACCCTGGTGGCATGAGTTTATGGTTGGATTTGGGACAAAATACCCAACTCAAGTGCACCACAGAGCAGCATCCATTGTCTCCATCAAGAAAGATGCAGCTCCAGTTTCGTGCAAAGGTGGCTCGACTCATGGTTCAACAACTCACCAAACCCTAATGTACTGGGATGGAGCAATGTCGGAGGCCCGGATGAGAATGATGCTTACACAGATTCAAGATCAATCTACCAAATGGCTGAACCAGCAACTGTTTCCACAGCTCCACTTAAATTTTTTTGTGTGTAAGCCCCAAGTAAAAGACTGAAAACAACCTGAAAAAAAAAAAAAAGACGAAACAGCATTATATTTATGCCACATTTTAGTTAAAGGTTTTAGGCTAATTACTTTACGTTAATGTAAGCCCTGTGGCTAAATTATGTAAGTGGACACCTTGTGTGGTTTATGTCCGTAGTACTAATTATAGTTAAAGAAATAATAATATTCTTCATGTTGTGAGAGGTCCCAAATTGGAATTAGTAGCGCGCCAATTTGTTTACCAACATCTTAATACCAACACATATATCATGTGTCATCTCGTCTTTTCTAATAACGTATTTTACATATTAAAATCTAATGTTCTTATTATTTATTGAAAAAAAAAAAAAAAAAAAAAAAAAAAATAAACAAAAAACAAAACAAAAAACAAAAAACACTTAATTTGTTTTTTGGCTTTTTATGACAAATGGTCGTTTTTTTTTTTTTTTTTTTTTTTTTACACAGCCCCTTAATAGCTGTTTTTTAGTTTATTTGTGTGTGTTAGATACCTATATTGCCCTTGTATTATGGATTTGAGAGAGAAAAATAAGATCTGCCTAGATTTGCCAAAAAAATATATCTGCACAGATCTGCCAAAAAACCAAATCATATTTATTTTTCCTTCTTGTTGGTGCTTTCTCTGGTGTTGGAGCAAGATGAGCTTCCATTGAAGCTCAGTCCTAGCTCCAACTATATTCTTCATCTTTAATTTACAATTGTCAATATTTCACCTTTGATTTCTTGTTCTAAAATTGTGCTTCTATTGATTTTTTTTTTCCCGGATTGTTTCAAGACCTCGAACGAACCTTGATCAAATGCTCTTAGCTCTATTCCTCATCTTCGAGCTCTACTCCTCTTCACCACGTCGTCGTCGTTGTTTGGTTTTGACTTGAGATTTTTGATATTTTGCTTCAATTATGTGTTTCTCTTAGGATTTTAGTTGATTTTTGAAATGTATTTTAAGATTTGATGATCGATTTATCTTTTATTACTATTTCAGTTATAGATCTTATTTTTGTTTAACAATGTACTTCTATGACAGAGTATTAACAATGAACTTCTACTACAGAGTATTAACAACATACTTCTATGATATAATAGTATTAACAATTTAGGCTCAACTTGTTTTGAGTTGGTTTGGTTTGTTCTTTCTTCATCTTTTCTTTGTTGGACATGTATTAGAAATAGCAACATAACAAACATTAATCAACATGATAGTAAACTAGCAGTGTTATTATCCTAGACTGAAACATTACAGAGGTAGACATGCATTAGAAATATGATGTCATATGAAACTAGCAGTATTATTTCCCTAGACTGGAACATTACATCCATTAATCAACATGACAGTAAATGTGTGGAATATTACAATCATTAATCAACATGACACATTAATGAAGCTATGGTTTTCAAGACGTTTTGTTTGTAATGAATTGTTTGGGTTTTTTTTTATAAAATTGGGCTGAGTTTGTTTTGAGTGCTATTTAAATTTTTTGTGTTGAACTTCTTTTTTAAGTTGATCAATGACAATCACATAATTTATAGAAACTTAAACACCAATTTTTTTATGTAGTAAATGAGTTTTGAGTGTGTTTTTAAAATGCATTATATGTGGGTTTTTTTTTATAATTTCAGCCCTTATTTTCGGTATATTAGTGAAGCTACCTAATTTTTTATACCATTGTGAACGCGTAACCTCTAGATTCATCCAAAATAATTAAGGACTTATTGATTGATTCTAATAGGACTGAAATGAGAACTTCTGAAAAGTTGAGTAACAACCTGTAATAATTAAAAAATTTCTTGGGTTAGTAAGTATGAAAAAATAAAAATAAAATAAAATTTTCCTAAAATTAGAAAATGACATTAATAAAATCTTATAAATGACAACCCCATAAAACTATAGAGGCCATCAGTTCAGCATAGCCGAAAGAAAGCAACCATTCTATTTCCAAGAGAGAGAGACATTCGCATAGAGTAGCGTCACTCTTTTTTCTCTCTCACTGCTCACATTCCATACTATGTGAACTCTTGCTTCTTCTCATCTTCTTCAGTATCGCCGCCTCTTCTCTGACCACTTCCCCAAAACCCATTTGCGGAAATCTACAGTTCATAGACAAAACCTCACTCAATTAGGCTCTGCCTTTGTTTCCAGGGCTTCCGCTTCATCTAATGCTCACGCAATTGAGAGGTATTTAGGTTGATTTCATTTCTTGGGCATAATGAATTTTGTTCGTTTCAATGTTTATTGGTCTTTAGTGCACATATAAACTGTCAATTGGCAATTGTCTGCTATCAAAATTTCTTTTGCAAAGCTTAATCTCCTGGCCCTGTTGTTTTTTTTCTTCAAGGAAATTTGAGAATGGTCTTGTTTGTATGCATCAGCATAGGAAAATAATAAACTTGATGATTCAAATGATAGTGGTTGAGGATAAAATGTGAATTTTTTGAAAGCATTGCAGTCCTTGTTCATAATTTATGAACTTTTCATTTTCCTTTTCCTTTCTAGCTGTTTTAGGCAAAAAGGGGTCCCTAGGTTCGTACTTGACTTAGTAGCCTTAGATTATGATGAGCTTAATTTGAATGAATTAGTTTGAATTCCAATCTTAAAAACCAGATATGGTTGACAATAGCCTTGTTCGTATGCATTTAATGTTTATTAAAGTCCTTCCTTTTTTCTTCCTTCAGAAAAATATATTGGGGGGTACATTGGCAAATTTCTTAGCTGAGAGGTTGCATCAGCCTTTTCCAGGGTGACTCACATGCCTCTTCATAGTCTTCATAGCTAGACATCGATTGACGTGTAGTTGAAAACTGAGTGATTTCAATGTTTCCTTGGCCAAAATGAGTGTAGGCGATGAACAAAATGTAGACCTTTATGTTAAAGCTTTCTGTGTTTAAAATGTTGTCAGCATTTGACAACTGCATCTTAAAATTGAAATGTGCTCTTCTCAACTTTAGGAAAAGTTAGGTCTGACTAAAACGTCCCTTTTTCTTTGTGGATGGTGTTGGGGGATGATGTCTGTTTAAGCAATTCAAAGGTTTTCCATCTCTGAACTCAATTTTTTTTTCTTCCATTTGTTACGTATGGATCTAGCACATGAGTGAGATCTTGATTCAGATTTGGCATATATGTTGCAGTATGCTTATTGCGTAATCATATTTTGGACTCACAAAACTGATATAATGAAGTATAACTGCAGACCCTTAACTGTGAAGTTATTTTTTGCACTATGGGGAGGCTTGGGATGTATAAAGTTTCATGATTGATATTAGAACTCGAGGCAACTTCAGTTCAGAAATTAGAACTCAAGGCCACAATTGACTGGCTATCCAAAGGCCAACGGGAATTCCTCATCTTGGCCTCAACTATTGAGTATTTTTTGGTAGTAGAAGTTGGACTCTCATGTAATTGTCATTCTCATTTTGTCCTTTAGAATCACATCTCTGTGTGTAGAGAGAGAGAATGGAACCACCATCTCCAGACTGCAATGGTGCAGAAGCAGTACTAAATCTCCAACCGAGCTCGTCAATTCCTATTACGTATCACCCTCTCTTTGGTCCTCACGATGATCTAATCCTCCTTGAGCTCGATCAGAAACTTCTCCCTGATGTCCTGCACCAAAGGTGAGGAATAACTTAACTCTAGTTTCTAGAGTCTTATTTCCAATTTTTTCTTGCGCATTGAATCTAATTTAAGGCTTCCTCTTGTTTTTTTTCTTTTTCCTTTCTCTAGAGTAACTATTAGAGGACAGCCTGATGAAGATGCAGTCCTCTGCACGGAGTCAAAAACTTATGCAATCAAATCCGTTGGAACTTCAAATTCTGTTTTTCTCATTCCCCCATCAAGTCAATTTAATTCTTTTGAAAGCCCAATATGTTGTGATGAGAACTATCATGATCCACAATCTGTTGCTTCTGTCATTAAGATTGCAACCGGTAACATGGAACTTGTTGAAGTTGCCCCTAGACTTGACAAGCTAAGGTCGCTACTTTTTGAGAATCCTTATAGATCTGAGGAGGACGTAGAAATGGTGGACGTGGAAGAGATGGAAGGAAAGAATACAGGACTGTATAGCTGGGATGATCTTGTTGAGAAGGTTCAAGCTAGTGATGATGAATTAAGGACTGGGTTGCAGGCTCTTTCAGCAGTGGATATTTATGGATATTGGAGAATTGTGGATGAGAAGTACATGGACAGAATTCTTAGGATGCTTTTGCACAATTCAGTGCTGAATGATTGGTCATTGTCTTGTCTGAATGAAGACGACGTTGTCAATGCATTGGAATCAGATGGCTTTCCCCACAAACTTGCAAACCACTGCTTGCATGTTTATGGTAGCAAGGTGATTGAGGGTGTGAGCACAAGTAGTATATGGAAGTTGGATGAGAGGAAGGTATGTGTGCATTTTGCAAGAGACATCTTGAGAGACGGGAATAGGAAGATGGAGAGGTTCATGGAGGACTGGACGCGTAAGGTTCCCGAAGGGATGCCTGCAAGTTTAGACTTGTTGGAAGGTGAAGTTTTGATAGAGAAGCTTGGCGCAGAGACATGGATTCGAGCCTTCAGCGTATCATCTCTACCCTACAACCCTGCAGAGCGATTCTCCGTCCTCTTTAAAGAGCGTCCAAAATGGGAGTGGAAGGATCTACAGCCCTATATCAGGTTAGTTTATATATTCTTGTGATCATCCTTTTTATTTTTCTCTTGTCCTGCATTATTGTTTCTTAGATTTTACTCAAAAGTAATGTACTTCTTCCTTGCCTGCATCTACTTCTCAGTGACTTGAGAGTGCCGGGTCTTTCTGCCGAAGGTTTGCTTCTCAAATACACTAGAAGAACACAACCAACTGCTGATGCAGAACCCGTTTTCACCATAAGATAGTGTTAAAATATATGTTAATTGTCATCTGCGTAATATTATTCCATGTGTCCTAATCAAAAGAATACTTGATTTTGCAATGAAACTGATAAAATATTTTCAGATATATCCTTTATTTTCTTTTCATCTTTGGCATAAAAGAAAACCCGAGCAAGCTGGCATTGCAGTAACTAACTGGCCACTTAGCACAACTCATTAACACAAATTGCCACCTCTGCTCGTGTTTTGGTTTATTCTCATCAGATTTTACAACTTTCATTTATTTCATATTTCTCTTTATCTCATGAGCGAACGTTAATAGAAATGTGATTGAAATTGAAATATATTGAAGTTGATGTAAGCATTATTACTACCAAAACAAAAAAACAAAAAAAACAAAAAAGTTGCAGGTGTCCAAAGTTCATTATAGACGAACTAAACTGAACCAAATCGAAAAATTAATTTTTGGGTTGGATCACTTTGGTTCTCCATTTTTTGTAAGTCCCATACAAGAATCCATCATATACAACCTAGGATACTAACTTGCAATAATAATCGGAAAAATTCAGCTCCAATCATGCTTTTCTTTTGCCTGTTTGAAAAATACAGGTTCACCCCCTAGTGTTCGATTTTTTGTTATGCAATTTAGTTCGAGTTTCAATTTTAGAGATAAAACAAGCTGAATCAGACTATGCCCAACCGTAATGTTTAATAAGTGGCTTATTTGTTGATTTGCCCCTTATGTTTTGCGTTAAATCTCACTTCCCCTTAATTTACAATCAACTCAATGTGGCTCCTAGGCTTTTGTTGCGTGTCCCACATTCCCGTATTTTGTTAATTCAGTTAGTTGCACATTGACAGGAGAACCTGAACCTGAACACGGAACAAAAGCATAGGGGCACATTGAGCAGTTGCAAATTCAGGGGAGAAAGTGAGATTCAGTGCAGAGTAGAGGGGCAAAATGTCCTTAATAAATTTGGAGAGCTTCTATAATGAGGAGTTTAAAGTGATAAGCTTATTTGAGGGGTTCAATCCCACCATCAACAAATGTGAGGAAATCAATTAAGTTTCTCTCGTTCCGTCGAGGTTCTCTCAAAAAAAAATAAAAAAAATACGGGAGCATTTTTGCTTTTCACTTTAACCCTTGGTGTACCCTCACCACCCTTCCCAAAAGTTGACATATGTTCATGAGTTTAACTATAGTTAATTCTTTATTATTTATTTATTTCAGTCCCGATCTCTTGGACTATAATGGTCCAAGAGATTTGTAGTCACTCACAGTTGGATGTAAATTCAATAGTTCACTCACAAGTTATAAGTTATCAAAATTGAATCAGTACAATATTATAATTTAGCTATAGCTATAACAAATTTGAATAACACCATAAAACATAGTTTCAACGACAAATTATGATAATTTTATATTAGGTCCAAAAGGTTTTCTTAAAATAAAATACTCCAAAGAAAATTATAGAGAGGTAGTTATGTCATGCATTATGTCCTAGCATTGGACAGACGAAAAAGAACAATTCATGTCGTTCTTACTATTTTTTTCTACACTGCAAAAACTTGGACTAAGAAGTTGATGGATGTGAAAAACTCAGTTGATAAGCTGGTCCTTCAGGTCTTGGTTGAATGTTTTCCTATAAATTAATCAAACAATTAAAAATAATACTAATACAACTTAAAACAAAACAAAAATATAGAAAACTATATGTGTAGTGAATTGAATAATACAAACCTACGGATGTATAATAAGTGAGTAATTGGACAACATTGGGTGATTTGGGATCCCTTGAACAAAATTCTCTTTTATGTATTACACCGTTCTTGTCCTTATTTACTCTAAGTTTTCTCACACTAAATCCAACACCTCTAGCATATGAATTGTAATATTGATATGCCTCTTGTTCATTATCAAAACTCATGCCATGTGTTGGAACGTCACCATATTTTCTTGTGAGATCTTCAATTTGCCCATTATGATCCAAGAGATCAAGACTTTCAGAATCAGAATCTAAGTGTATACAATGAACAGATTCTTTACCATCATTGGAATATGTAGCATGAGATTCATCCTCTTCATGGTCCCTGAGGACACTAGCAGTATATGTATCATATTACTGATATTCAATGATTAACAAACCAAAAAATTGAATATTTAATGAATGCTACATTCATAAAGAATTTAAATAAAAAGAACTTAATCTTCACAGCCAATATTGGTCTTCCACTTCCCATGAAACTGTTGGCATCCCAATCTCAACCAAAAAACTTAGGGCCTATTTGGAAGTGCTTTTGGAAGGGCGAAAAGTGCTTTTTGATAACTAAAAGCGCTTCTGACAGTGTTTGGCAGAAAAGTTTAGAAGCGCTTCTGGGTCATAGAAGCACTTCCTGGAGAAGCACTTGCTATGTGCTTTTTCAGGAAGCACTCTCACGTGCTTTTCTATGAAACACTTTAATTTTTTATGAAAATTCAAGATTTTTATAATAAAAGCGCTTTTGTTAAAAACGCTTATGAGCAAAAGTACTTCCTAGAGAAGCAGTTCCAAACGAGCCCATCTTCACAGCCAATATTGCTTTTTATTTTTGGTTTTTATGGAAGTTTATTCAGATTTTAAAAAAAGAACATGAATTGTTAAATTCGAATTTGGTTTGATTCTCAAAAAACTAAATAATGCAGAGGAATCATGGAAGTATAAAAAATAGGGGATTTCACTAAAACACCCAAAATGGGGGTTGAAATTATAAAAAAACCCAAGCACTATTTAAACATATAAACACACCCAAAACCCATCATTACACACACTCAAAACCCATTTATAAACACACCCAAAAAGTTGACTTTGTGGTTGATTTTGGGTGTGTTTCTATGTTTAAATAGTGCTTGAGTTTTTTTTATAAATACATGTCTAGGATTGGGTTTATTTATAAATTTGTATAAAAAATAATAAAGCAATACAAAGTACTAAAAAAAGAAAAAAGAAAATAGCAGCATAGATGTTACTTATCTTTCACTTGAACAAATGGAGGAAGCCTGCAATTGAAGAGCAGTGTAACTCTTGGAGTCGTTAAGTTTTCAATTTAGATAAAAGTATTTGGGCGTGGATAAAAGTAGTTAGGTGCAATTCGTATTAAAGCCTGTGAAATTTAGATTAAAGCACGTGAAGCCAATTGCCAATTAAACTACCTTGCCAATTATTTATTTGGGTTGTGTTAGCTTCATGGGTAATTAATTTAGAAAAATGAAAGTTTGCTAGACTAGAATAAGGGTAAATAAGGAAAAATCTTATTAAAATATTATTTCTCTCTCGTAATAATATCATCAAATAAATAAAAAAACAAAGAATTAACTATAATTAAACTCATGGATATGTGTCAACGTTTAAAAAGGGTGGTGATGGTATACCTTGAGTTAATTTAAAAATGCTCCCCAAATAAGCTCCTTACTCTAAACACCTCATTATTGCCTTTCCGATTTGATGACGTAAATTACAGGCTCTAACACTGGCCCATTGAGCCGGGTCAGTTCATCTTCACCCGTAAGCCCAACTCCACCCATTTTATATTTTTCCTTTTGGAGCCGTATGCTTCATTTGCGCGGGAAAATCACAAATCAGCTTATAAGCACCGAAACCCCCGAATTCCAATTTCTTTCTCTACCTCAATTTGAACCAGCAGACCAGAAACTGGAAGCTACCACACCAGTACTCTAATGCCTCCAAGAAAGAAACCCCTTTCTTCTTCCACGACGTCTGCTAAGAAATCCAACTCGAAAGTTCAGCCTCAGCCGTCCAAGTTCGGCATCCAGCATTTCTTCGAGCGCCACACCCAGAACTCTCAGAACCCCAAAATCGAGGTAGTTTCTGCTTCTCAGCAGAACCCTAAACCCCTCGCAGCTCCCGCCTCTTCCACCGTTGCTACAGCACAATCGGTTCCGGAGATCCAAAACTCTGCGCAGATTGATACGGGTAATGCGGTTTTAGCTTCGGGAAGTCATGAGATTCGGTCGAATTTGCTGTCAAGTAGTAACAACAGTATGTCGCAGAATACGCCTCCAGAGAATTTGAGGGCAGTCGGAGTTGTTGGTGAGGAGGAGAATATGGAAGATGAGGCCTCGCCGGAGATTTCAAAGTCCAAATCTTTTAAGCGCTTCAAGTTCTCGCCAGGAATGGTAAAATTTTAGCTTCAACGTTTTATGATATAGTTTTCATATTCCATAGCTTTATATTACCATTGATGGAAATGCTTGAGTTTTACTGATAGTATTACTGGAATTAGTCTCAATTTGTTGTTTGTTTTACGTGTGAACGCTTAATCAATGCAAATTTTATGATATTTATATGCCTGGGAAGACATTTGGTGTTTTAATTTCAATGAACTTTTCTTTCCTTTTATAATTTGATTTTGGGAATGTCAACATGGTGATAGTTGATAAAGCAGAGCCAGGATGATGGAGGTGATGAGGTGACATGGAGGATATCTCCGGTAAATGAAAGACTCCAAGCTGTTTCAAAGCGCATGCCGGAGATTATTAGAGTGCTGGCGGACTCTTCAAGGCTTAAATCTTTAACCATTAACCAATGCTCGCAAAAGAAGGCATGTTTATTTGTTAATTTCTTTTTCTTTTAATGGTTTTATTATCAGATGATTAACCAACGATGAAATGTACAGACTTCTCCAGTTAAAGCTGGAAAGGTTGAGAAGTGGCTTCCTTCACAGACACTGAATACTTCTGAAAGATCTTTGGTATCCCTGAATAAGGTTGGCGTAAAGCGGGTTAACCCAGATCAGGATATGGATAGTAACGGAAATGTGAGCGATATGACTATCTCTGGAAAATCTAGTAGGCAGAGTCCATTCCGAACACCACCTTCTCTATCGTACTGCCATGATAAGGTAATTATGACTCCACAGTGAACATATTTAATTATTTATGGCTTTGTTTGTACTTTGCAATTCATGGAAATGGAGAAAGTGAGAAAGGGAACATTTTCTTAGACTGGTGTTTGATTAGGGCCCAAGAGAAAACAACAAAAAGAACAGAAAAATATTTATCTTCTGCATCTGATACTTTGTTTTGTTTGCATCAGTCATGTTCTAACTTAATTTTCCTCTGTTCTTTATTTGATTCAAAATATATCTATACTATTTCTATATCCCTTTTCTGTTGTTGGAGCTGCTAAGTAGAGGTCGTGGAATGATCTTTCTCTAATTGTGCTTTAACTGAAATGCAGCTTACAAATGGTGTTGCATGTAATGAAGGTTCTGATCAGCCAGGGTTAAGGCATCATAAAAAGGTTGAATGTAAAAATTATCTATTTGAGACCAAATTCTGGACCATGTTGCTCTCAGATCAATCAATATTTATGACATATATTCTCAGATCAATCAATATTTGTGATATATATTCTTTCTCCTGATTTAATTAATAGATTATCTCATGGGTCATACTTCAAAAAACAATTAATCAGTTATTTTTTAAAGTTGCAAGTCTGCCTGGTTTTTCTGAGCTGTGTGGTAGGCACGAGTCAATTATGTCTTCTCATGGTCTGGTGCAAATTTAATTTTTTCTCTTTGGTTTTTGAATATTCTTTTAGGCATTGCTTGAACTGTTAGATCAAGTGGAAGATGTTATTTCTGTCGAAGATTCAGTATCTAATGATGTGGAGGAATCTCCATTTCAAGTTAAAGATAGAAAAGGTGATGATATGCATGTCAAATTGCATCGGAAATCTTCCTATTGTAATTTCCTTGTATTGGAGGTATGGTTTACTACTTTAGCATCTCTTTGATGAAAGAACAGAGAGTTTCTTCAAGATTGGTTATTCTGCAACCGTTTTGTTTTTTCTGCTACAGGTATCTGACTGTGGACTTGCTGACTCATCTGATGCTCATAAGGTTTCTAGTAAGCAAAATCTTCAAATTTGAATAATCTGTTCTATGATTACTTATGATAATAAAGATGTACCATTGATTTTAAGGTTCTTCGGTTACTGGATGAGCAATGTGGAGAGGAGCATGCTGTCTATTTACAGGATGAGTGGTAAGTAGTTCATGATGTCTTGTTTCGAAGCAGTTTAATACTTATTCTATTGTTTCTTCTGAAATCATTTCCCAATAATGTGGTACTCTGTCTTATGCGTATTCTTCAGAGTTTGATTATTTCACCCCAAAATAGAAATGTGCTTTCTGTGTGATTTCAGTTTGATCCAGCCTGGTAGGGAATTTTTTTCTAGTATTAGCATATACCTTGAAAGGCTTTTGTGGTTTCATTGGCCTCATCTCCATAGTTATCCACTTTAGGTAATAATGCTCGAGCATACTTAAGTATAAGTGTGGTGTATTGGCTGTAATTTGGGTTTACAATTTCTGAAGTTAGGCTACGGGATGAGTCATCTTTACGGGCATCAGTTTCCCCTGTCTTTAGAGACATTCCTTTAATATTCTTCATTTTGGATTGTGGACAATCTCTTGTTAACAGCTAAGAACATTTTCCTGTAACTTTAGAATTTTAGCATAAGGTCTTTGTTTTGTAAATTTAAAGTATCTTAAAGTTTTGCACATTCGGATAAAAATGAATGCTCTTGGTAGGGAAACAAGACTAGTACATTAAAATTCAAATCATGTGTTCAAAATATGATTAGTAACAATGTCACTCTTCTTTTCAATTCTATTTTTCTCAGGTTTTACAGTGTCATTGCACCTGGAGATACTGTCAATGTTATTGGTGAATTTGATGACAAAGGACAGTGTCATGTGGATCATCACCATAATTTTATAATTGTTCATCCAGATGTGCTAGTGGCTGGAACTAGGGTACTACTGCCTGCTTGTTCAAATATTCTGGACATGTATTTTGTGAGTATTGTTGCCTTATTTAGTTATAATAAATAGAAACACTTTTAGGTTGCAGCTAGCTTCAGTTGCCCGAGGCGAACTGTCCTGGATGAGAGGCTAAAAGGCAATGAGCATTCAAGTGCAGCACTAAGTGGTACAATATTGCACCAAGTTTTTCAGGTCTGAGAACCACCCTATGATTTTGTAAACTTTTTAATGACTACAGACTTGGTTATGTATTTTTTTCCATGAAATATCCACTAAGCTTTGTTCATCTATAATGTGTAAAAGTTCTTTGTTTTTGTAGGCTGCACTTGTGGAGGAGACACCTACAATAAATTTCTTGGAGGAACACACAAGATTTGTGCTCCAGAAAAACATTGAGAACTTGTATGCTTGTGGAGGTTGGAATTTTTAAGATGTTAATTTGAAATAATTTCTAATTTCTCTGTCATCATCATTCAGGTTAATTTCTATATTTGTGGTAGATTGTTATCCTCTTAAATTGGTTTGTTAGTAATTTGTTTAAATTTGATTAGTCAATTTTATGGATCATCTTATTAAAACTTCTCCTCTTTCATGTGGACTTTGCAGTGAACGAAAATGGCATGTACAAAACGTTGATTGAGGCTGTCCCAAGAATATTGAAATGGGTTAACCTATTCAAAAACACCCAGGTACATCCATTTTATTTATTTATTTATTTTCTGTGTTCACAATTAAGGTGAAGAATTTTTTTAAATTGCACATCTTAAAGCAACCGTAGAGTGTAGAGACTCTTAATCTGAGGCTAATGATATTGTGGCAGAATTCAGAAGTTCCTTCTGTTGATTTGGATCTGACAATGGGATGAAAAAGGTCAAATTATCTGAGGTAAGGCATCACAGTTGGTATATTTGTAGGTAATTCGTTGGTCTATCCTTCAACAATTTTGCATCCAATTTTGCATCTGTGGATATGTTTCCACATATGTACAACTTTATGGATCATGTACATGGAATTCATGCAACTTACCCACTTATTTGGCAGCATGCATGAGTTAGGTACCTTCCTGAGTTTGAGAATTGACTGGTTTTCCTAATACTGGATATATTCACCTTGCATGTATATGCATCCATATGCTAATTGACTTTATAATGGTTTCTTGTACTTGTATATGCCAGTTGAAGGAATTCCTGGTTATGCGAAGTTTGTGCTTGTAAACATGTTTCTAAATTGTGATTGTTTGTATGTTTTCTTGTGTTATTGTATAATGATGTGCACTCTTTTCAGAAGCATTATGCCATCTCTGAACTAGATCCATTTTCTGTAGGTAATTGATATTGAGGAGATGGCCTGGGCTCCGAAATATGGTCTGAAAGGCATGATTGATGCTTCTGTCAGAGTGAAAGTTGAATCTAACAAAAATGAATCTCATGAGATGGTTATGCCTTTAGAGTTCAAAAGTGGGAAAATACCTAATGGCCAGGCAAGAATAATCTCTTCACTTGTTTACTGAAACTTGTCTAAAATGATATTAAACTTGTGTAATGTATTCCATACTATTAACTTATGTTGCTTAAAGCTTTTCATACAGCTGCATACATAAGGCCTAACCAATTAGTAATTTAATATAGCACTAACCACTTGTTGGACCCATTCCACAATTTATGGTATGATCCAAACTGTTCATTGTTTATATTTAAAAATCATTAGTTACCTAACTATGATGAAATAAATAGATGAACCCAATGTTTTGATAAACAGTGAAAATATTCATGGTAAGAATCAAATGGCTTAATGATTTCCGATTTGGGAAATTATGTAGGGACGATCCTTGAATGAGGACCTAAAAATTGAAAGGTCCGGATTCTAGGATTACAGTATGGAGTGAGCCCAAATGAGTGGTTAGCACTGTATTAACTTATTATTTAGTGCTTAAATGCTCTTGTATATAAACATATATTTCTTTATTTTGGCTCATGCTTGTTATGTATGCAGTCATCCATGGAGCATACTGCGCAAGTGACATTGTACACTCTTCTTATGTCGGACAGGTTCTTATTCACACAATTTTGACTTCCAGAGGGCCCTGGCCCCTCGTACAAGTTATTATCATTCATAAAGATTTTCATTCATTTGCTCTGTATCTCGTCTTCAGGTACCAGAAGCATATTGATACTGGTCTTCTATGTTATCTCCAGTCAGATCAGACACAGGTAGTGTCAAGTGCACATGCATCATGTATTTCTCTTTAGGTTTTTAGGGCGTATCAATGGAAAAAAGATTGCACGTGTTGAATTAATTGATTATTTTTTAATAAAATAAAACAGGGAGTTGCGGTTAGAAGATCTGACCTGGTCGGGATAATCATGCGACGTAATGAACTTGCAAATGATATCCTCAAGGCATCACGAACACAAGTACTGCCCCCGATGCTAAAGGTATGGCGGTTGCTGAATGATCAGCCGTGTTTTCAAGAAGCTCTTTACTTACTGTCGTTTTGATTCTTCCATTTTTTCCTTTTCCTGCTGTAGAGTCAGAGCATGTGCAGAGGTTGTCGCCATCTAAATGTTTGTACCATCTATCACAAGGTAATTCTATTTATTTGTGAAAGGTACTGTCGAGCATGAATAATCGTTGCTAACAGTGCCCAAAAAAAAGTGTTTATTATTGGCCATCACCTTTAATGCCACAGGCACATGGAGGAAGCTCAGGGAGCAGTGGATTGGGAGACTTATTTGATTCAAATACACATCACCTAACAAATGCTCATGCTGCTTTCCTAAGGCTGTGGGATTGGTTGATTGATTTGGAAGCTAAAGAGATGCAGGTGGCAATTTTGAAGTCACTATTTTGATAGTGTAAAAATGGTCGACTTCCAAATTTTGTTATTTGATATGCAAGCACCTTTTTCCCTTCTTCAGCTTGTAAAGAATGAAATATGGCGGTCACATAATTCAAAGAGTGATTATGCCGGGGGGTTGCCTTTCTTCTGTTGTTCTTGATTGGAAGCTTCCATATTCGAAGTCTAAAAAAGATAACAGATTCGTGTATCATTTTCTGCGTAATGGTTTGCCTTCTCTCAGCGAGAGGACATCTAACGGAGATTTTTTGAATGCTGCTTCATCTCCAACAAAAGAAGTGGATTGCGCACTAAGATGTGGTGACTTTGTGGTATGCTTTATTTTCATAATGTTGTTTCTGCGTAGTTCACATGAGGCTTTTTGTACAAGTTTGACATAGAGGGCTTACAATATGTGTGCACTCTCTGCACTCAAGTTTGTTTATGTAGAGTAATCTGTACTACAAAAGAACATGTAATGTTTATTATTCATTTTCAAGAATCTTTTGCCGTCACTGTCATCTTGTATTTTCAGCCTAGTACATATTTTGATGCATGCCAGTTTATTGCTGTATGGAGTTAGATATGTAAGATGATTTCGTTTTCATTGAGATCTTCAGATTTTTAGTTAAGATGTCCAGGGAAAGTATCTATGAAGCATGATTTCTGTTCTCTGATCAGCTATTCATATCTGTCTCATATCAGTATTTGGATAATATTGTAGTAATACTTGTTGGACAATCTTGGGGTATATATATTTAATATTTAGTAAATGCATAAACACTTTGACAATAAAATTTGGAACTATAAAAATTGATCTGATACTTTTTTTTTTTGGGTTGAGAAGAAGGAAATGTATATGATACTACTTGCCTGCAATTTTCTTGATTACATTTATGCCTTTTGAAGTTATTTTTCTTTCTTTCTTGGATGGGGTTTCTTGTTCTGCATAAGAAGGAAATGTATATGATACCACTTGCCTGCAATTTTCTTGATTACATTTATGCTTTTTGAAGTTATTTTTCTTTCTTTCTTGGATGGGGTTTCTTGTTCTGCATAATAATATTGCAAGACTTGTTTGGCTTCCCTGTCATTCCCTAAGAACTCAATCATGTAAAATAAACCAATTAATTAAATATTTTTCAAAAGAAACTATATTAAATAATCTGTAATGATCAAGGATTCCAAGAAGTTGCAGTTGGGCTGTGCATGCGTGCATGCTTGTTCTATGGAAGATAGTTGTTATGTGTCTACTTCTGTTCTCTCCTGTTTTCATGTTAATGCATGAGAATTAAAGAACAGGACACAATTTTTCACATATGTTATATACTGGAAAATTTGCTATTACATAATGCGTAGTTGTTCGTATTTATCTTCACTAACAATTTAAAAATTATTGGTTTTTTGTTTATTGTGTAGATACTTAGCAGTGAATCTAGTCATCTACCTGTTGCAAGTGGGATTGTAACGGATATAAGTCACTCCCATGTATCTGTAAGGATAATATCTGCCATCTTTCTGTAAACTCAAAAACTGGCTTATTAGTGCTTACCCTGCCCTTTTGGCAGATGTATGTTCTACAGCTAGTGGATGTTATAGTGTTAATCTCCTAAACAATGAATCAGTTTTATAATTCTAATATCTTCTGCAAAACTGTAGGTTTCTTTCTCTAAGCTCTTACGACTTCCTGGGAGCAGTCCTTCTTCAGAGGCAAGTCATCTCCTTGAGGAGATCTGGCGGGTTGACAAAGATGAATTCATGACATCATTTTCAGTAATGAGGTATTGCATGGCTATAATTATGCCCCAACTCTTTTGTGAAATTTCCTTTTCCAAACTGTCCGTCATAATATAGATGTCATGTACCCTGTCTAAATTCATGCTTGATTTTGTTGCTAGGTTGAACCTTGTTCAACTTTTTCTTCAAAGTGCACAAGCTGCTCACGTGAGAAAAATGATTGTTGACTTAGAGGTGAGGTTGAGTGACTTGTATTGCATAAAATTTACCATCTTTTTGCTAACTCCATCTCACATTTCTGTTGGCTGCATCTGTGCATTCCTTTTAGGCTCCTAGATTTGACAAGGGATGTATATTGAGCCAGGATCCAGCAATATCTTATGTCTTGTCCCAGAGAAATTTAAATGTTGATCAGCGGCAAGCCATTCTTAAGGTTTCCTATAATTTTTTTAGTTTCCTAATACTTATTATCTCGATTTTCCTTCAAAAAGTCTGTCTTCCTGAGCCTAAGTTTGGTTGGTACTAATCTGTCAATATCCATTGCATGTGGACATTCACTAATTCAACAAATTTATCCAGATACTTGCAGCAAAGGATTACGCACTTATACTAGGAATGCCTGGAACAGGCAAGACATCTACGATGGTGCATGCTGTGAAAGCCTTGTTGATTAGAGGTGCATCCATTTTGCTTACGTCCTACACAAACTCTGCTGTTGATAATCTACTTGTCAAATTAAAGGCTCAGGTCATCTCTATTTCACATCTTTTCATAAGCATATTTGTTTTTTTGTTTTCTTTGTTTTCTTTGTTTTTTGTTTTTTGGGCGGGGTGGGGGTGCTTTCTTTTCTTGCCATGCATTATGTCCAGGAAATGCACGCTGCCCTGAAACCAAATTTCTTGTTGCTATTTACTCCAATTTTCTTTACCATTTGTTCTAACCTGGGGCCTTCTTACTCACTTAGCACTATTGGGCATGATACTAATCTTAGTTGATGTTTCTTTTTGTGCTCTTCTTAAATTTATGGCTGTATGGTTTACCCCGTTTGTGTGCCATATCTCGCATCTAACACTACATTGGGTTTCTTTGTATTGAATTTAAAGCATTGCAGAATATAGATTTTTTACGCATTGGAAGACATGAAGCTGTGCATGAGGAAGTTCGAGGGCATTGCTTTTCAGGTCATTATATAATTGAGTGCATTTTCTCAATATGTCTCTTGATTTCTTCTCAATGTTTTAACAGTGGTTTCCATGACAGAAATGAACATACAAAGTGTGGAAGACATTAAATTAAGACTAGACCAAGTCAAGGTGGTAGCTGTTACATGCTTGGGGATCACCAGTCCCTTGCTTGCCAATAAGAGATTTGATGTATGCATCATGGATGAAGCTGGACAAACCACCCTTCCAGTACGTATATACTTAGTGATGGATGTCTAGACAGTGCAGTTATAGATAAATGCAACTGGAGTAGGATTTATATGGAGAGATGAGATGCTTTTGGACAGTGCACTTTCCCAAAAGTTTATATCAGCTGAGGATTATTTTCCTGTTGTTAACACTTCAGACTTTATGTTGGTATTTATCTTGTTGACAATAAAGATTTTAAAAAATTTGATCTCAGCTTGTTTTTCATGTTACATTAATTGGAGACGGGCTGCAATGGGTTGAGTTTATTCAATGTTTCTTTTTAGGATTTATTTTAGTCTAGATGAAAGTTAAAGTCACTGTTTATCAAGAACCATCTCAAAGTTAACGGATTCATGAGAAATTTTCTTTCCTCTCAGGTATCTCTTGGGCCTTTGATGTTTGCATCAAAGTTTGTTCTGGTTGGCGATCATTATCAATTACCTCCTCTGGTCAAGGTGTATATCTTTGTGTGTGTTTGTGGGGTTCTAATTAGTTGTTATGCTCTTAATTTTGTTCAATTTTTTTTTTTTAGAGGCTCGAGAAAATGGAATGGGGGTAAGCTTGTTTTGCAGGCTCTCAGAAGCGCATCCTCAGGCAATCTCAGCCTTGCAAAGCCAGGTTATTATCCATTTACAATTAAAGATATACAATTTTAATTTTTTGTATCACTTTCTGTAGCAGTGATACTGACCATGCTGTTTGCATCCAGTACCGTATGTGTCAAGGCATTATGGAACTGTCAAATGCCTTGATATATGGAGATAGATTGCGCTGTGGCTCTCCTGAAATAGCTAATGCCAAACTCGACTTTTTCAAGTTCAAAGTCTCGTTCGTCGTGGATACAGGAGGTTTGATTGATTTGCAAAGCAATTCCATTTTCCTATTGAATTAAGTTGTCATGTCTATACATGGTGTGTGCTTGCATGAAAAATTATACCTGGAACCTTGTTTGGCCCATTGATATGGGGTAATAGTAGTACAGGATACGGATATCAGAATCTTTTGACACAGCTTGTACATCTTTCCTCTGCTTCTATGTTTCAGATACATCCCTCCAGGTTTTCTACCATATTGTGTTGTGGGCATGGAAAACTAATGAAATATCATGCCGAAGAGTTATGACATGATGTTGATTACAACCTTTTAGTGTGTTTCAATTCCAGATTGTGCTTAGGGAATTCATTAAGGTGTGATTTTGAAATGGATTAGGTTCAAGCCTATCGGGTAGATGAGAAATATCACTTGAAGAGATTTAATGGTGGTATCTGTTTATTTTGTAGAGCAAAGTGTGTCTTGTCATCCACGACCTTCAAGTGGTGTGAAAAAGAAAGGATTAGTTTCAAGTGAATGCATTAGATACTCTGGCCTAATTGAAAAACTCGTTCTATGAAATTGTTGTTTTGGTTTGAAAACCGACTGCAGTTTTCATGTGTGAAAAACTCATTTAATTCCAATGTTTTAGCAATTTCTTATCTTCATGGTTGCAGGTGTTAAATCCAACCAAACCAGTTATATTTATTAATACAGGTTTGTGGAAGTACTCTTGTTTACTTTCCATAATCCTTTCTACTGAATAAACAGTATTGGTTTGTGCCTTGTTTTTTCTAATATTTATCCCTTTTCACAACATAGATGCTTTACCTGCTTTTGAGGCAAGGGATCACAAGATTGTGAATAACCCGATGGAAGCTCACATAATTGTACAGGTTTGACCTTTGCTTGAATATATAATGCAAATAATGCTCGTTGCTTTAGGAAAATATGTTTGTTCCTTTTAAGTTGCGTAAGGCAAACTGTTTAAGTAGATTGTACTGAAATAAAATCCTCATTTTGCTTATAGGTTGTGGAGGAACTAGTTAACAGTGGAATTAAGGAGGAAGATATTGGCGTCATCACCCCATATAACTCTCAGGCAGAGATTATCCGGCTTTCCATCAATCATACCTCTGTGGAGATACATACCATTGACAAATACCAGGTCAGGTTGACAGGTTCATGTCTAAAATGATGTCTTATCGCTTTCCTCTAAATTTGATTAAATTCACAGAACTTCTATGAAATAATAATACATATTGGGGTAATCTGTACAGGAAGTGTTGTAGCCTTTAATAAAGCTACAAAGTTTAAGAGCCTATTCAGTATCCTAGTAATTTTGCTCTAGCTTTTGGTTTTGAAACCTGAAGAACAATGACATAACTATAAAATTTCGATTATCATCAGTCCACTATCTCTTATTTGCAATTTTGGTTTATCCAGGGAAGAGATAAGGATTGCATACTAGTGTCTTTTGTTAGGTCAACGGAAAATCCAAGGAATTGCTCTTCTTCACTGCTTGGAGACTGGCATAGGATTAATGTGGCTCTTACTCGTGCCAAGGTAAGAATCACATTGGTGTTCTGGCTCGATTAGAAAATCCCATTCCAACGTAAATTTCAAAATATCTTGCACATGGTGGTTGCATTTTTAGTATATCTTCTTTTCTGTGCTTGATGATTTATCATGAAAATAAACTACGAGATTAAAGAGAACAAAAGAGGAAAGAGTTAAGCATCCTCAGTTTTTTTGTTTGTGTTGTTTCTGGGGATAGAGAGCACCTCAGTTTTTAAATTTAAGAGAAAGGGGTGTCTGAAACTGTCATCTATGTTTTTTTGGAGTGATCTCAGTAACGTGTTTTCTATTATTTGTTTTGTAGAAAAAGTTAATAATGGTTGGATCATGCAAAACCCTATCAAAGGTTCTGCTAATGAAGCTTCTTATTGAGAAAGTTGACCAACAATCCGGCATCCTAAATGTATCCAAAAAGGATATCAACTTTAAAAGAGACCGATAGAGATGCTCTCAGGCCAGATGAATGTAAATTTTCGATCCGGTCCTGTTTTTGTTAGTGTACATATATGTTGGTTATTTCTGTAGAATATTTGAAAGATGTATAGAAAGAACAGTTCTCTCTCTCTCTCTCTCTCTCTCACACACACACACACACACACACACATGGATCAGCTGGGCGGGGTGGGAAGACATGCCTTTAAACTGTTAGTCCTTAAGCTTTCACGACATGAAGATTAATTTGAGTGCATGTTTAGTGCAAATGTGACATGCGACTATTTTGAAGAGATACCACTTATATTCTTGAATTTTATCTCCCATCTAGCATTGGCTTTAAACTTAGCAAATGTGTAACTCTCTGAACTGTAAACTATCAAACGAACCAGTTATGAGGTGTTATTTTCACCCAATGGACGGGAAAGTAATGGTGGCAATCACCCTTCCCCTTAAGGAGATCTCTCTCCCCAAGTCGAAATATGTACAATTTCGCAGAGTTAATTGACACCTCGTGAAGCTGGATTTCGGTCTCTTTTGATAACAATTCACACAAGATTTTTTTTCGGTTCTTTTTTAATAGGAAGCAAAATTTTATTAAAACAAATACATTAGTACAACCAGAATTTTACTGCAGAGGGCAGGGTGTCCTGTTTTCTGACGACCAGACCTAACAGGTACACATTAAAGCATGTAAACTGCAATACAATAACCATTCTCATTCTAGGTTATGGCGAACCCCAACACGCAGGGGAGAAAAAAACAAAAACAAACAATAGTAATTCTCTAAATTGTATAGAAACTGAAACCCGTAAGGAAGACCAAAAAGAACTCTATCCCACAATGTCTCCATCCCCTTTTCCCTAAGAATCCTGCCATCTCTTTCCAGTATCAAATGTAAATGATGTCAAATCTCATTTTCTGTTTCTAGTCACTTAAATTACAGATATCCCTCAAGCACAACATTCTCACTTGAAACCTTAGGCTTCAAATTCTTCACTTCTAGTCTTTTTCTTAGACTCTTCAATGCAATAGGAAAGTTCCCACCATCATTTGCATCCCACAGGGGCAATACTTCTATAACGATTTTTTGCAACAAATTCTTCTCAATACCGTCTTGGAGAAGCTCTTCGAAATCACCTATATTTCCCTTTAAATCCAACAAAACACTACACAATCCTTGAGAGTTACAAAATTCCAAAATAGCTTCTAAATTTATCCGATCCAACACCACCGTTTCAATACCTGTGTGAGCTCTTTCTAGTTCTACTGTTGTCTCTTTGTCTGAAAAGATTATTAGCTTACCAATTGGTTCCATGGTCAGAGCAGGGATTTGGATTGGAGAACTACTATTCCTAGCTATTATAATCTGGACTGGTTGATTGGCTCCAGCTTCTTGGGATACTGGAATAGAGGCGTTCTCAATTATTGAGGAAGAAGAAAGAATAATTGCATCATATTCCTGTAACAATTGTGAGTAGTAACCACCAGACTTGGCAACTCCTTCTCCAAGCTGATCTAGAAAGTGTCCGTTGACTGATATAGAGTATCTGCTAATAAGAAAAAAGGCTTAAATATGATAATGGTCAACTTCAGAGTACCAGTAAATGAACATAAAATTTTTTAGGTAACAAATGACTAGCAAATTCTAAGGAAGATAGCATAACATCCATTCATGAACTATCAAATCTCAACAGTCAAAGATATGAAGGCGGGATTTCCACTTATTTTAATGTTCAATGATAGTATTTTTATTATTGACTAATCTAAACAGAATAAATTTACCTCATAGTGACAAAAGGATTCCCTGTTAGCATATGATGGATATAAGCTTCGTTTAACCTCTTGCATGATTCTTCTTCTACACCCGTAGTAACTTCAATTCCCGCATCTCTTAATCTATCCAACCCCTTTGATGCTACGATTGGATTTGGATCCACCATTCCGACCACCACCCTTTCCACTTTGGCTTTAATTAGGGCTTCACTGCATGGTGGAGTTCTCCCATAGTGATTACATGGTTCCAAGCTCACATATGCTGTTGCATTCTCAGCCAAATCTCCGGCATCCCTCAGAGCAAATACCTGAAACATTTGACTTGGTATAAATTTTCATTAACAGATGAAGTTCATGTAAAACAGAAGAAAAGTTGGCGTAGATCATCATAATGATCAAACCTATAAATTATATAAGTCACACACACACACACACAAAACTTCAGATTATTTTTAGAGAATTCAACACTGCCATCTCTACAAACAACTTCAGATTATTTTCAAAAAAACCATCCATGGCACACACACACACAAAACTTCAGATTATTTTTAGAGAATTCAAGACTGCCATCTCTACAAACAACTTCAGATTATTTTCAAAAAAACCATCCATAGCAAGAACTGAAATAGGAAGAAAATTCAAGACTGCCATCTCTACAAACCATTCAACTAAATGTTCCACTAGGTTGTAAATAAAATACCAGTGAAAATTTAACAAAAATAAAGGGAAAAAAACTAGAATGAACAGAACCAAACTTGAAAGAACCAGACTGTCAGTTAACTTCTACGCAACCAAAGAAAGAGTAATGTGACTGAAGATTCTAGCACAACAATTCATCACTTGCATAGACGCATTTCAGAAGGAAAATTAAAACAAAGAAAATACAAAAAGGAAAAGAAGTTTACTTCAGCATGTGGCTGGCCAGCTTTAGGGTGAAAGCCTTCACCAACAACCTTGCCATCCTTGACAATAACACAACCCACCATAGGATTTGGGCTGGTACACCCGATAGCCTTTTTTGCAAGCTCCACACATCTCCTCATATAGAACCCGTCATCAGTATCGTCTTGCTGGGCCACTCCACACATGATCCCCACCGAACCACCATGGCTTCTCAAACCAGTTGGTGATTTGAACACCATTTTGAGCGAATTACAAAACCCAGATTTGGAATTTGGATTCAACCTCAAAATCTTGGAGGAGAGTTGCTGTGATGGTGATACATTGGGTGGAGTTGCTGTGATGGTGAGACATTGCATTTCTTTTGTTTGTAAAACCCAGATCACAGTTTTGCAATTTAGGCAAATTTTGTAAAAGTGACTCCAACTCCCTGAGTGATTCTCGGGTTGTTTCCACTCTTTAATGTCTACGTGACGAGCAGCGTAAAGATACCTTCGTTTCACTTTCTCAGAAATTGTGTTTCTGCCAAATGCAAATAAATCAAAAACAAAAGAGAAAGACTAAAACCCAGATGGAGTGGTAGCCTGTCAGAAAACGTTTCCTGAATGAACATTTGTGCACTGACAATATCTTCTAATAATAGATAATGGGACTTGTTTTAAGAAGGCTTCTCAATCTAAACCCGATCATAACTACAATACAATGCCTCCAAACCACAACATTAACAAAAAGAGTGTTTCTTTTCTTCTTTTTTTCCCCTAACAAAAGAGAAACTCCAGTGTTCTTCTTAAGGCAACACACTTACACATGCATTTCGTCAAACACATAACGTTCAACATAAACTGTCAAACACACAAACAACTAAATTGGGATATGCGTACACTATATGAAAAACCCAAGACACAAAATAACACGTGCAATAAGAATTTGTGCCTGTCAAATGCAAAATCCCATTCAATGCCCACATCCAATCACTGCAGTTCATAAAATTCTAAGAGTTGCGAACAAAGTGAGCAAAGCCTTTACCAAAAATTTGAAGTGGCTGCAACTTGCAATCCTTCCCGCAACAATCAGAATGCTGTGTTCCTCACCAAAAATTTGAAGAAAAAGAAAAAGAAAAAAAGATTGTTGGCAGCCAACCTGGGAATAAACGAAATGGAAAAAGAATCAGACAAGGATACGACGTGATAAAATGGTATATCCAGATTTAGAAGACTGAAAAAATGTCTGAGCCCGGGTTCGAACCGGGGACCTCTAGTGTGTGAGACTAGCGTGATAACCGACTACACCACCCAGACAACTTGGTAACAAATTTGTAATCTGATCACTTTAACAGATGTTACCAAAAAGAAACACCATCATACGTTTAGGGAAAAAAAAATTAGTAAGGGTTTTTTTATTATATATTTTATTTTATTTTATAAAAAAAATTTGAACTCACAATGCATACCAAAACATCATATATATCAAAAATCATATTGTATATTCATCACAATCATAATTATTCTCATACAAACCATTCACAATCATATATATCACATATATCAAAAATTATGTTGTATCAAAAATCATATATGCATTTTAATTCATCACATCATATATATCACATATATCAAAAATCATATTGTATATTCCTTTTGTTGCAGTTGTGAACATTGTGTTGGTCAATTTTTCAATATTTCCATTGAAATTTTCGTGTTTTTGGACCACAAATATTTCCAAAACCATCAATATATTAGACCTTGGTTTTCATATTTTGAAATCGTTGCATAATAGCCTCGTCATCTATACTATTTTTCAACATATGCAACCAAAAATCATTCATCCACTAACTCTGATTTTCTTTTGAAAAAAAATTTCAATAACTGAAAAATATATATGGACCAAATGTAAATAGAAACAAGTACAAACATCTTCTCAATTAATAAATCGAAACAAATTGGAGAATCAATTCAATGTTCACAATTGCAACAAAAGGAATAGACAAGTTGTCATGGAATATATTAAAATGCATAATAACACAATACTTTATATATATATATATATATATATATATAAAATAAAAACTGAGTGGGGGCCTAGGATCACTCTAGTCCCAATGTGCCTCTGTCCCTGTCTTCATTTGGATATTATATATTTACCCACATTGCATTACATCTCAATTATCTTAATAAGCAAACCACCTGAGTGAGTTTGAGAGAGTAGATCAAGTAATCTTTAATTACAATTGCACACATTATACATTTACCCGCATTTCATTACAATTGCAACAAATGGAAGACCGGTTTACTAACTTATCCTGTAGCTTAATCTAAATCATTAGATCATTTAAATGTTCTGAATAAATACACGATATCTAAATATAGAGGCTTGAGATAGCAATTTTTTGAGATGTTCCAATTGTATGATATTTTCTTTCGATTCTGTAACATTAAAATAATCCAATTTTATTGTCATATTCTCAATAAATCAGTTGGGTGTCTTAATAATTTAAGCATTCAATTGCAAGATATTTCCCTAATTAGTTCCAAATCTTCTCAATTTCTCCTTCATATGGTGAATTTTTTTTAATGTTTATGAACTTTGTTGTTTAAAACCGAAATCTCCATTTAGCAATAAAAATTGATTGCATCTTTTAAATGTTCAACCGTACAGTTGCATGAAAATTTATGAAAATTGATATTCTTTTTGTAATGAAAAACAGACCCTCCAATCGTAGGGTTCATATTAGACCACTAATTTGAGGTTAATGATTGAAAAATCAACCATGTTTGCACAAAAAAGGTCAAGTAATTGCATTGACTTTTTTTTTTAGGTAATAATTTCATTGACATTGGTAAATATTCAAGAAAGTTCCATATCAAATCCCACATAGAAGGTCCTTAATTATTGCAGTTATATTTGTAACAATCGGGGACTGCTCTGTTATGGAAAGATATCGCAAAATCAAGATCATAGCAATCTTTAATTGGCCTCAAGGACCCAAAATTTTACTATAAATTTGAGATTTGAAAACCTTGTTTGTCCATATATAGCATTGCAGTTACATTCATCTTCATCATTATATTTCCCTAGAGTCATCATGGCTTCCAGCAAAGTCTTTGGTTTGCTTTGCTTGTCTATGTTTCTATTGACTCATAATTCAGTGTTTGCTTCATTTGACTATGGGGATGCTCTCACCAAGTCCTTGTTGTATTATGAGGCTCAACGATCTGGAAAGTTGCCTCCAAACCAAAGGGTGCAATGGCGTGGGGATTCTGGGCTTAAAGATGGAAGTGATGCTGGTGTAAGTTAACACATAGTTTGATTCTCCCATTTGTTATAAACCATATTATCAACGACTGTTGGGCATCTACGCTACCGTGTCGATGTTTTTTCTTATAGTTAATTTTGTGGTATTTCTTTTTCTAATATTGAGGTCCCGGTTTAACCTTAAGTCACCTTCCATATATTTATTGACATAACAGGTTGATCTTGTGGGAGGATATTATGATGCTGGGGACAATGTCAAGTTTGGATTTCCCATGGCATTCACAATCACAATGCTTTCATGGAGTACTATAGAATTCGGGAGCAAACTTGACGCCAAGAGTGAGCTCTCAAATGCATTGGATGCCATTAAATGGGGCACTGATTATTTGGTCAAAGCACACGCTGCGCCGAATGTCCTCTATGGCGAAATTGGCGATGGTGATTCTGATCATGAATGCTGGCAGAGACCTGAAGACATGACCACGCCGCGGACCACCTTTAAGATCGACGAGCAGCATCCGGGAGCTGACCTTGCTGGTGAAACCGCTGCTGCTTTGGCTGCTGCTTCCATTGCTTTCAAGGATAAAGACTCTAAGTATGCGTCTGAACTTTTGACCCATGCTAGAGAGGTAACACTGCTAACTCTTCTGCGAAATTAAACATCGTGCATTCTATTACCCTTTGTACATAATAATTCACCTGATCAAAAAGTTGACATTTATGGTTTGATAACATATCATGTCAGATTTTACTTCAATGCGTAAAAACATTCCCTAATATCTAGTGATCATTGTAAGACATTTGAGATACTTAATTATTATTTTCAATTCACAAATGTCATATCTTTTATGCAGTGCTTTTACTTTTCAAATGTAATCAGTGTAACAATATCTAATGATTTATTTTACTTTTGTATCTGTTGTTGCATTATAAAAATTTGCAGCTATTCGAGTTTGCTCGTGATCACTCTGGTGTTTATCAGAATAGCATTAATGTAGCAGGAAAATTCTACTCCAGCAGTGGATACGAGGTAATTTATATATGAGAAAGGGTTTATGCAAATAACAACTCTAATTAATCAATTAAAAAGTCGTGAACGATCAACTTATTTGTTCAAATATTTTACTAAACTCCAAATTTTGGGAATTAAATTAATGTATTTTTCTTTGTAATTAAGGATGAACTATTGTGGGCTGCTGCTTGGCTTCATCGTGCCACCGATGAAAAAACATACCTGGATTATCTTGGTCAAGCAGGCAATACTGGTGGTGCAAGAACTGTGTTCTCTTGGGATGACAAGTTTATTGGTGCACAAGTCCTTGTTGCAAAGGTAAATATATCGCGATATGTTTTTTTGTCAGATAGTTTGATATGATATGTTATTAGTTAGACAATATGAATCAAAATTCGAATAAAGAAATGCGATGTTCCGTTTATAAATCTGGCAAGAGAACATTCCTCTATATGCCATAGACGTCTATTAGTATATGCACTCCTAACATCTATATATTCACAGCTTGTGTTGGAAGGCAAGGTGGAGTCTTCAGGCACATGGAGCCAATACAAGAGCCAGGCTGAGCAATTCATTTGCTCTTGCATTCAGAAGGGCAACAGCAATGTGAAGAAGACTCCTGGTGGGTTGTTGTGGTTTTTGCCATGGAACAATCTTCAGTACACTTCAACTGCTGTGTTCGTCGCAACTGTTTATTCTGAATACTTGAACACCAAGCATGCCGCCATTCAATGCCCTGGAGGCATTGTCCAGCCTAAGGATCTTGCTGACTTGGCTCAATCACAGGTATGATATCCTTCCTTTCTGCTCTATATAGTATATATATATATATATATATAGTTACAATTTAAAGTAGAACAAAATTAATCTTGTAATAAAACTTGGGGTTCTTGTTTTGGAAAAGTAGACTTCGATCCTTAGATAATTTCCAACTTATACATTTATAAACATAAATCATATCAGATTATAATTTTTTATGAAGGAAGATTTTTTTTTGGGGTGGATCGTCTTCCTATAATACAGTTGTGTATTACATACGGGTTGTTTGTCTTTTTGTTTTTGTTTCAGATTTTTAGGTATATTTAATTCCAGTAATATATCTCATTTCAAAGTCAATATGATTTGCATTTACTTTTCTACTTCCATCTAAAAAGAAATTGCATATATTTCTTCCTTTTTGTTTTGGTATAATCTTTTTATTTTATTTTTATGTGCAATTATCTTCCATCATGATGAGTGGAAATCAAGCATAAAAACCAGCCCCTAATAATATGAAACATACAAAGAAAAAAGGAATCAAGTGCTCCTATTTGGACCACATTTACTAACCATATTACTGACAACTTCTCCAATACATACGAATCTCAATTATATTAGTGTGGCCCGCATATACGATAATCTTAAGTTAACTGCATTTTTTTCTGTCGTCATTTACTAGGTGGACTATATCTTGGGTTCAAACCCCAGTGGCATGAGTTTCATGGTTGGATTTGGAACAAAATATCCAACTCAAGTGCACCACAGAGCAGCATCCATTGTCTCCATCAAGAAAGATGCAGCTCCTGTTTCATGCAAAGGGGGCTTCGACTCCTGGTTCAACAACAACTCACCAAACCCTAATGTACTGGATGGAGCAATTGTCGGAGGCCCGGATGAGAACGATGCTTACGCAGATTCAAGATCAAACTACCAAATGGCTGAACCAGCAACTGTTTCCACAGCTCCACTTGTTGGCGTTCTCGCTAAACTCGCTTGAGTCAAACAGATACGACTTAAATTTTGTGTCTGTATACACATATATGCCCAAGTAAAAGACTGAAATAGACGCATCTTATATTTATGCCACATTTTAGTTTAAGGTTTTAGGCTAATACTTTACATCAATGTAAGCCCTGTGGCTTAAATTGTATCATGTGTGGTTTACCAACATCTTAATACCGACACATATATCATGTGTCATCTCGTCTTTTCTAATAACTTATTTTATTTATTGCAAGAAAAGAAAAAAAACACCATGCACTTAAATGTTTTTTTGCGTTTTATGGCAAATGGTCCTTTTTTTTTGTTGCTACAAGCCCCTTAAATAGTTTATTTTTGGATAATTTCTAATACCATTGCGAACACGTAACCTCTGGATTCATCCAAAATAATTAATAAGGACTTATTGATTGATTCTAATAGGACTGAAATGAGAACTATTGAAAAGTTGAGTAACAACCTGTGATAAAAAATTTGGGTTAGGAAGTATGAAAAAAGAAATATATAATTAAAATATAATTAAAAATAAAAAAAAAAAGAAAAAAAAAAAAAAGAATGAATTTATTATTTTTAATTAAATAAAAAAAAAAAAAAAAAAAAAAAAAAAAAATATAAAAAAAAACATAAACACAACCCCATAAAAAAGGCCATCAGCATAGCCGTCAGAAAGAAAGCAAAAACAAACCATTTCCAAGAGAGAGAAGGAGAGAGACATTCGCATAGAGTAGCATCACTCTTTTTTCTCTCTCACTGCTCACATTCCGTACTATGCAAACTCTTTCTTCTTCTCATCTTCTTCAGTATCGCCGCCTCTTCTCTGACCACTTCCCCAAAACCCATTTGCAGAAATCTACAGTTCATAGACAAAACCGCACTCAATTAGGCTCTGCCTTTGTTTCCAGGGCTTCCGTTTCATCTAATGCTCACCCAATTGAGAGGTGTTTAGTTTGATTTAATTTCTTGGGCATAATGAATTTTGTTCGTTTCAATGTTCATTGTTCTTTAGTGCACATATAAACTGTCAATTGGCAATTGTCTGCTATCAAAATTTCTTCTGCAAAGCATAATCTCCTGGCCCTGTTGTTTTTTTCTTCAAGGAAATTTGAGAATGATAGGGGTTGAGGACAAAATGTGAATTTTTGGAAAGCATTGCAGTCCTTGTTCATAATTTATGAACATTTCGTTTTCTTTTTCCTTTCTAGCTGTTTTAGGCAAAAAGGGGTCTCTAGGTTCGTACTTGACTTAGTAGCCTTAGATTATGATGAGCTTAATTTGAATGAATTAGTTTGAATTCCAATCTTAAAAACTAGATATGGTTGACAATAGCCTTGTTCGTATGCATTTAATGTTTATGAAAGTCCTTCCTTTTTCTTTCTTCAGAAAAATATATTGGGGTACATTGGCAAATTTCTTAGCTGAGAGGTTGCATCAGCCTTTTCCAGGGCGACTCACATGCCTCATCAATATTTAGGTAGCTGATCATAGTCTTCATAGCTAGACATCGATTGACGTGTAGTTGAAAAATGAGTGATTTCAATGTTCCTTGGCCAAAATGAGTGCAGGCGATGAACAAAATGTAGACCTTTATGTTAAAGCTTTCTGTGTTTAAACTGTTGTCAGCATTTGCAAACTGCATCTAAAATTGAAATGTGCTCTTCTCAACTTTAGGAAAAGTTCCGTCTGACTAAAACATCCCTTTTTCTTTGTGGATGGTGTTGGGGGATGATGTCTGTTTAAGCAATTCAGAGGTTTTCCATCTCTGAACTCAATGTTTTTTTTCCATTTGTTATGTATGGATCTAGCACGAGTGAGACCTTGATTCAGATTTGGCATATATGTTGCAGTGTGCTTATTGCCTAATCATATTTTGGACTCACAAAACTGATATAATTGAAGTATAACTGCAGATCCTTAACTGTGAAGTTATTTTTTGCACTATGGGGAGGCTTGGGATGTATAAAGTTACATGATTGATATGGTGGATAGTTTAAGAAGTTTGATCCTTATCCTGTCTGAACAAAGATGTCCACTTCTTGCCCATTCATAGGATTGTAACCCCTTCAGACTCTGCTCTTGGGTCTAAGGCATAATCCCAACTTTAAAAAGTTGTGTTTTATCTGGTAATTTTGTTATGAGCTATACTTTGCCAACTTAGACATAGACATAGCAAAAGTTGAGTATAGCTGAGACCAGAGACTAGAGAAAAGGTTGGGTGGAACAAAAGATCCAAAGCTCTTTATGATCTTTGTTAAAACTGGGTCTTCTTCGTCCTTATTTTACTGTTAGCCTGTACTGATATCATATATCATATATCCTTTATCCTATGTACAATAGTCATAATTGTATTGGAGATACTTGTGGATGCATTTTTTTCAAATGTCAACATAATTTACAAGAAATTTCACTGTTGCTTTATTGAGCAGTTCAATATTTTTTAACTGTAATATATCTAAACAGAAAGGAATGTTTACTAGTACCCCAAGCAATGCTGCTCATTCTGCACCAACCACTAGACAAGCATCTTAATTTCATTTTCTTTATATTTTCATTCTTGTTTTTTCCATTTCGGGCCGTAATCACCTCCCATTATGTGATGACAGAAAATCTTCTCTAGCTTTTCTCTCTCCTCTTGAAGCAATTCTATTTGATATTGATGGAACATTGTGTGATTCGGATCCGCTCCATTATTATGCTTACCGTGAAATGCTTCAAGAAGTATACCTCTCTCTCTCTCTCTCTCTCTCTCTCTCATTTAGCATCTTCCAAGACTCATGCATTGGTGTACCACAGGTAGGTTTTAATGGTGGGGTTCCTATCACTGAGGAATTCTTCAGTGACAATTTAAGTGGAATGCATAATGAGGAACTTTGTAGTATCCTCTTTCCTGAGTGGGATATCCAAAGAGCAAGAAATTTTTTTGAAGATAAGGAAGCCATGTTTCGAAGGTAACTTCTAAAAACTGTCACGAACTGAAGGAACTGTATGCTTCATTTCATAGGGGGTTATGTTTTCTTATCAATTTTTGGAAATATGGTTTTTGACTATATACTCAATCTTAAGTGTTCCAGTATAGTTTTCTGTCAATGCAAATTGTGAATGGAAAGGACCAGGGCGACGACCCTATATTTCTGAAAAACAATGCTTGATCTCTTTCATTTTCTCTTATCCATTGAGACCAGGTCTGATCTTGATTTACTGAGTGATATATGCAGATTGGCATCTGAACAATTAGAACCTGTTAAGGGCCTCCACAAGTTGCGCCAATGGATTGAAAATCAAGGCTTGAAACGGGCTGCAGTAACAAATGGTCCAAGACCAAATGGCGAGCTATTAATATCAACGGTGGAGCTCTCGAATTTTTTTGAAATTGTTGTTGTTGGAGATGAATGTGATCGAGCAAAACCATTTCCTGACCCTTACTTGAAGGCTCTCCAAGCACTTCAGGTGTCACACAAGCATGCTTTCGCCTTTGAGGTTCGGCTCTCAGAATTCTGTGCTTTCCAACATTAGCAATAGCATTCTCCATGAAAATTTTGATATGCCTTGCAGTCATCTGTGTTCTGTTTTTGGTTGTTAAGGATTCTGTTTCGGGGGTGAAAGCGGGTGTAGCAGCTGGAATGCCAGTAGTGGCCTTAGGCACAAGGAATCCTGAGATATCATTGATTAATGCCGGAGCAGCCTTCGTTATTAAAGACTTTGAGGACCCAAAATTGTGGGAAGCACTGGAAGAGTTTGAGAGGAAGGCAATGTAACAACAGTTGCAACTTGAAATGGCAATCACATATGAGAATAATAAGTAGCAAAAGGTGTGAAATGGCAATCCATCGTAAATTTCAAGATAAATAGCCATTTTCTACTTCTGTTCCTGTGTAGTGCTCAGGCATTTGGACATCCCGGTGGAAATTGTTATCCTATTCTTTGTTAGTTGTAAATTTTGAGAATCTTAAATGCATGTAAATATTTTAATCAGTTGAGCTATAAACTCTTTGCATTTAGTTTATATATTTGGGTGACATACTACCATGAAAATTCGTTAATCACAAAAGAATGGACAAAATAACTATTACAACCTTATCCAGAATCTAAAGTACCGAGTGATATCTATCCACAATTATTCCATACACAAATTTTTGTATAATTTTTTTTAAAAAGTATTCAATCCACAAAATTATTGTTAGCTTTTGACGCCAGCCATATGACATTTCTGTATAAGTTCCTCCAACCACACGCGTTTCTGTCCAAAAATCCCTCACAACCTTCTCAGAGATACAATCTTACTCTACTTTTCTAACCCAAATTAAGCATTCCCTTCTCTGTTTTGAGCAACACTGAAAGAAAATATGGCTGCAGAGTTTCTTACTTTTGGTGCTGAGGGAATTCTGACGAGGGCGGCTTCACTTGCAGAGCAAGAACTCAGTCTTCTCTGGGGATTCAAAGGAGAGCTAATGGAAACTGCATTGCAGTTTTCATTTAATTACAATTGTTTTTGTAGCTGTTTTCGTTTTTGTTTTTATTTTTTTTAACATAATTGATATCTACATTGTATTTTTGTTGCAGTTTCTGTTTTTATTTGGAGTTTTTGTGTGAATAAGTGTTGAAATGATTTTTTATTTTATTTTAAAAAATCATGGATTGTTATATAAATATTGTATAATTAAAAAATATTACAAAATCAAGTTTGGTGTAGTGGTTTGTGAGTGAGCCTTCCTTCTTTAAGGGTCAAGGTTCAAGTCCATTCAATGACATAAAATCTTTTTTTTAAAGGTCAATAAAGGGCAACGGAAGGCCGGCGACGGGTGGTGGTGGTGGCAGGTGGTCGGTGGCGAGATTTCAGCGGAGATGGCCGGCGGCGGGATTCCGATGGTAGTGGCCAGCGGTGGTGGTTGGCAGGTGGCAGCGGTGGTGGTGTTTGGCTAGATATGGACATGTGGCATAGTATGCTTACCTTAGAAGGAGTGGCATTGTGTGTAATTTTGATATTGTTTAATGATATTTTTGTAAAATTAGGTACTACATTTGGTCTTTGACCTTATGCTAATTAGATGAAATTGTATTCTTTCTTCCAAATTAATAAACTATATTGTGTTTTAAAACTAAAGCTCCCTTATTTTTATCCGTATGGTAAGAAATTTCCAGCAAGGATAGGGTGATTGACTAATCTCTGAACATTAAAATATTTCATTGTGGGTAAAGAGACAGGTCGTGGAATAGAGGAGCTTACTGGCTTAAACATGTTAAAAGGCGAATTATCTATCTATAATCTAGAGCACGTGAGAGATGGAGAAGAAGCCAAGAAAGCAAAATTAGTAGAGAAGACAAACATACGCCAGTTAAACTTTGCATGGTCAAGAATCACCAATCATGAAGAGGTAATAGAAGGCTTTCAACCACACCCTAGTAAACTGGAAGCTTTAAGGTTTTACAACTTCATGGGCAATAAATGGCCATCATGGATCATGAGTAGTTCGTTTCCTACATTGAAAAGGTTATCCTACATTGAAAAGGTTATCTATTTCTAATGCCAGGAACCTAACTGAATGGCCGGAAAGTGGGATAGTGGTGTTTCCTTGCCTCGAGACGCTGCATTTGTGGAATTGTGATAAATTGAGAAGTGATGCTCCCAGCAATTTCCCATCTCTCAAGGAGTTGGAGATGGATTCCATGGGTAGCGGCATGCCAATAGCAAACATAAGCAATAACCTGACCACTCTTACTTCGCTCACAATAAAGAGCATAAGGGGACTTGCTTATCTGCCAGAAGGAATGCTAAAAAACAACAAGAATCTTGCACACTTGAAGATACAAGATTGTCAGGAGCTAAGTCGTATTGCTCCTGATGTAGTTGGCTCTTGCGTATTTCTTGAGTCAGTGCATATTTCCAAGTGTCCTATTCTTGCTTATTTGCCTGATGGGCTACTCACAACATCTCTTAACAAGTTTGCAATAGTCTACAGTTGATTCAAGTTACACACGGCCTCTCATCCCTTTGCAAATTAAAGATTACACACTGTCCGGAGTTGTCAAGTCTACCAAGTGGGTTAGATTATTGTACCTCTCTTCAAGAGTTGACAATATCGAATTGTGATATGCTAACATCCGCTTTGATTCATAGCCTCTCATCCCTCCGAAAGTTGTCTATATTTGGTTGCAGCATGAGTCCAGAGTATGTTCCAAGTTTACTTGGCTTCACATGCCTTCGTGAATTGAGAATCGAAGATTCCCATGGATTGACAAGTTTGCCAATAAGGCTAGAATCGTGTTCTTCTCTTGAGGTGTTGAGAATAAGCAAGTTGCCGAATGTAGAATCTATTACAAGTTTAGACAACCTCACAAACCTCCATGAATTGGAGATATGCTGTTGCGATGGATTGAAAAGTCTACCCAGTGGGTTAGCAATAACATCCTGCCTCACCCACTTGAAGACATTGGAAATCGGTGGATTTTGGAAGGAGCTCGATTCATTCCCTATTTTTCAGGTTACATCACAACTTAAAAGATTAAAGTTATGGGGTTGGCCTAAACTCAAGTCTCTGCCTGAACAAATTCAACACTTCACTTCTCCAACATTTTTCAAAGTGGAATCCTTTGACGGAATGGAGGCTCTTCCAGAGTGGTTGAGAAACCTTACATCTCTTGAGTGCCTGGATATACATAGTTGCAAGAATATGATGTATCTACCTACACTCAAAACTATGCAACGTCTCACCAAATTAAAACGCATACGTATTTTGCTTTGTCCCTTTCTAAAAGAGAGATGCAATAAGAAGAGCGGTTCAGAATGGCTTAAGATTTCTCATATTCCATATATAGAGGGTATGTTTTTCTTTTTCCTTTTATTATTTTTGGCTCTTAAATCAACTATGCATTATATTTTCTATTTTTCTGGTTGTACATTTAACTTAATTATTTGTTATGTCGTATGTCTCTCTTTTTCTTTTTTTCATAACATACAGTTAATGTTACGATTTCTAATATTTATGTTTAAATCTCTAGTTGACTGCATACCGTGGTAGCTGCCAAATTCAATATAGTCTGTGAATTGTTGTTGAGAAAATTATTCAACTCAAGTCAGTGACATACCACATTTTCCTCTAAAGGTATCATTCTTTTTTCCTTCTCTAAAAAGAATAACTCTTTTCTCCCATATATATCACATTTTCTTTTACTCTGGTAATGAACAAAAGTTGCTTTTGGATAAAGTTCCTTGAGACAGGTGTTGGTGTGGAGAGTTGATTGAAGAAAAGATGTCCCTTCCCTACAGCCTGCAGCCTACAGGTGTGGAATTAATATTATTATATCGTTCTAATTATAATTAGTACAAGCAACTCCCTAGCCCTTCGCATTTCCACCGTATAATGCACAGATAATTCATGAGCAACTCCCTAGCTCTTTTTTTGTTTTTCTTCAAATTATTTGTTAATTCTATATCCTCTCCGTCTCTAACAGCTTTATATTCATTCTTGTGGAAAAAGTGAGTAAGGTTGTTGGTTGCTCCCTAGCTGATTTTCGCAATCCGTTTTTGTCCACTTCCCTTTTGTTTTTTTTAAGTGTAATTCAAGAACCAGCATCCAAGTGAACAAAAGAGAAGTGAAAAAATCAACTCTTTTTATTTTTATTTTTATTTTTTATGTATTTCGTATTTATGTTACACATCAGATTGCTAAGAATTTCTTGTTTTAGAATGTGCAACTCAAGTAAACTGCTATGCAACAAAATCAGAAGCTTTTTTATTTTGTTTTAAGTAAGACAAAATTTGTGACGTTTTAGATTTATCACACACCCCATTGATTTGGACATAATGTTGTGGTATTAATAACAGGGGGTTGTCTTTTCTTATCAGTTTTTGGAAAAAAAAAATGCTTTTCGATTATATACTCAAATTGTTCCAGTAGTTTTCTGAAAGAAAAAAAATGCTTCATCTGTTTCATTTTCTCTTATCCAATGAGACCAGATTGGCATCTGAACAATTAGAACCTGTTAAGGACCTCCACAAGTTGCGCCAATGGATTGAAAATCAAGGCTTGATACGGACTGCAGGGACAAATGCTCCAAGACCAAATGGTGGAGCTCTTGAATTTCTTTGAATTTGTTGTTGTTTGAGATGAATGTGATCGAGGGAAACCATTTCCTGACCCTTTCGCATTTGAGGTTCGGCTCTCAGAACTGTGTGCTTTGCAATACTAACAACAGCATTCTCCAGTAAATTTTTTATATGCCTTGCACTCATCTGTGTTCTGTTTTTGGTTGTTAAGGATTCTGTTTCAGGGTTGAAAGCTGGAGTAGCAGCTGGAATGCCAGTAGTGGCCTTCGTTATTGAAGAGACTTTGAGGACCCAAAATTGTGGGAAGCACTGGAAGAGATTGAGAGGAAGGCAGAGTAACAACAGTTGCAACTTGAAATGGCAATCACATATAAGATTTTCTATTTTTGTTCCTGTATTTCTTAGTCATTTGGACACCCCCAGTGGAATTTGTAATCCTATTCTTTGTTCGTTGAAAATTTTGAGATAATACACTTAATTAGTTGTACATGGAGGGCCATGACGAGAAAATTTTACAGATGTGAAATTGATTGCTTGGAATTGGCAGGCAGCAAGATGGGATGAGATTATATTTGAGATATTTAGTAATATACCGATTCTTAGCACTAAAACTATAAATAAACCCTACATCATTTCATTTTTATAAACATACCCAAAAAAAACCCAAAAAATGACAAATGGTACTATTAAATTTAATTTTAATTATTAAATTACTTTGATATCCTATTGAATGTTTTGGGCTTTTTTATAAAATTTTGGGTTGGGTTTGTTTTAAGAAATCAATGGCAATTTTGTAATTTAAAAGAAGTTAAAAGCCTTTTTGTTACGTTATAAATGGGCTTTGGGTGTGTTTATAAATTCCATTTCATATAAGGTTTTTTTATAATTTGGACTCCTATATTTGGTATATTAGTGAATCTCCCATTATATTTAGGGAGATTATAGGGGCCCAAATTATAAAAATACTTTATATGAAATGGACTTTAGAAACACACTAAAAGTCTATTTACAACATAAAAAATAGGTTTTTAAATTTTTATAAATTATAAAATTGCCATCAATTTCTTAAAACAAATCCAAACTCAAAACCTCATAAAAATATCCAAAATACTCAATAAAATATCAAAGTAATTCAATAATCAAACTTAAATTCAGTATAGTCGTATTTGGGTGACATATATACAATGAAAATTTGTCAATCACAAATGGACAAAACAACTATGTCATCCTTTCATTTTAAGCCCGTCCACAACCTTATCCAGAATCTAAGCACAGGGATATCTATCCACATTTATTCCATGCACAATTTTTTTTTCTTTTTCGAAAGTATTCCACACACAATTATTAAATGCAATAATTCCACACAATAATTGTGGGACCAGATAGCCCCACCGACAGCACTTGGTGCTCTCCTAAATTATTATTAGCTTTTGACGGCAGCACTTGGTGTTCACAATCCAATAAAATCAGAAGCCCTTTTAATTCATCAACCACATCAATTAAAATGATTTAATATTTTCTTTTCTTTTATGGTTTATTCCAGTATTTGTTTTTCTAATTGCCTTAATTAAAATGCACTTCATTGATTTAATTGATATGACATATAAAATGGACATGCCACATAAGGTGGTATGAGAATGTGGTATACAAATGTGGTAAGAGTAGCATTATTCTTTTATAAATGTTGAAGCTTGGAAATGATACTATCAATCACAGGTAATTGTATACGCTTAATTGGTATATTGTTAGTAATTTTAAATTGTAAGCAACCGTAAATAATGTGTTCCTTTTTCTTTGATTGAACGTCGTGGGAGAATCCCTTAAACAATGTCAATAACGCATCAGAGAATGCTTCTCTTTTTCACTAATTTAATTACCTAATTATTTATTTTAAGCTAGACAAAATTTATGATATTTTAAGCTAAACAGTTGGAGTCACCGACTTCACCAACAAAATTGGACAACATCACCCCTCAAACAAAAAAATTGATAGCATACGTAAATTTAAATCTTAAATTCACATGGGTAAATTGTAAAATGCACACATTTTAAGCCACTTCAGTTTCACACAATAGAAACTCTGGATTTCATCTCTTCCCGTCCTTGGCCCTGGTGGTTACGCGCTTTGAAATTTGTTTTGGTTTGTATGTCAGATTTTATTCAATTCATTTTGTGGGATTTAGTAGTAGCTAGGAACTGCAAGGGCTCCACTACTGACTTCTTCTGCTGAATTGAAGCACAATTGGCATGCTGATGGAAAAGTTCTATTTGTGGTAGCAAGCAATGGTAGAAAAAGGGTACTTGGATGCTTCATTTTTAAAGTCGCATTCTATTTTCTTTATGCTAAACAAGTCCTTTTACACTTCGTTTTCCTTCATCTGTTAGGTGTAGAGCATGTTCATTTATAAAGTACTTCTATAATAGATCAAGATACTCACAATAAAATTACACTATTATAATATTAACGATAATCACAATCAAGTATAGAGGTCATTACAATTTCTACATTCTGTGTCCAAATCAAGCATAGAAGTCATCACAATCAAGTAAAGAAGCACTTGGTGCCGATTCTCTTTTTTTTTTCAAAAAGTATTCCAGAATCCAGACACAATTATTACATGCAATAATTCCATACAATTCCAGATAGTCCAACCGACAGCACTTGGTGCTCTCCTAAATTATTGTAGCTTTTGACGCCAGCCATATGACATTATTGTATAAGTTCCTCCAATCACGTACCTTCTTGTCTACAAATCCCTCACAACCTTCTCAAATACTCATTGCGTCCTCAATTTTGCTCTACTTTTCTAACCCAAACTAAGCATTCTGTTCTCTGTCTTGAGCAACACTGAAAGAAAATATGGCTGCAGAGTTTCTTACTTTTGGTGCAGAGGGAATTCTGACGAGGGTGGCTTCACTTGCAGAGCAACAACTCAGTCTTCTCTGGGGATTCAAAGGAGAGCTAACAACTCTACGAGACTCATTATTCAAGTTGGAAGCTATGCTCAGAGATGCACAACATTTACAAGTTCGGGGTGAGAGGGTGGAGATGTGGGTGAAGGATCTGGAAGGCATAGCTCATGAAGCTGATGATGTGTTGGATGAATATGAATATGAACTTCTCCGGCGGAAAGTGGAGATCCAAAACCAGATCAAGAAAAAGGTGCTCAACTTCTTTTCACGCCACAATCCCATCGCATTTCGTCTCAAAATGGCACATAAAATTAAAAACGTAAATGCATCTTTGGCAAACCTGAAGAATGAGGCAGCTAGTATTGGACTGGTTGATAGGTCAACATTGGTCAATGCAACATCTCATGATATTGGAGGACTTGACAGGGAAACCGTCTCGAACTTTGATCAAGATGAAAAGTACATTGTTGGAAGGACGGAGGTTGCGTCGGACATAGTTACAACCCTGATCAACTCTGGCAAGAACCAAGAGAATTGTCTTTCTGTTATGGCCATTGTGGGGATGGGAGGCTTGGGCAAGACAACTTTGGCTAAATCCGTATATAATGATCCTCAGATAGGTAGACACTTCGATAAAAAAATATGGGTATGTGTATCTACTCCATTTGAAGTAAAAAAGATTTTAAGCGAGATCTTGGAATGTCTTAAACCAGAGAAAGCTGGGATAAAGGGTAAAGCAACAATATGTGAAAACCTGCAAGAAGATTTGAAAGGGAAGACATATCTTCTCGTGCTTGACGATGTTTGGAACGACGATCCTAACAAATGGGACGATTTGATGAGTTGCTTGTTGAATGCTACAAGCACTAAAGCAAGCAAAATCCTTGTCACTACCCGCAATGTGAGTGTTTCATTAATTGTACAAACACTTCCTACATGTGTTCTGGGAAAACTGTCGGAGGATCAATGCTGGCGCATATTGAAGTATAAAGCGTTTCCAGATGCGAATACTGTTTTAAGTGAAGATCAAGAGAAAATTGGAAGGGAGATTGCCAAAAAGTGTGCAGGTGTACCATTAGTGGCAAAGGTATGTGTTGAAATACTTTTTGCATGCGTTCTTCTTGTTCTTATTTGTTCTTCATTTATAAACCTCTAACCCACAAGAAATTGATAGTGTTCTTCCCTTACTAATTTTCTTAAGATGAAAAGATATTGGTGGAAGGGGTTCTTTCTATTTTACAGCAATATGTTAACATAATGCCACTTACTAGCAAGGATTAAAATATGTTTATATTAGTAGATATATTGGTAGTTTTGATTTAGAACTGACAAGCTTGCTTTAAAACTACGAGAAATGTCTATTGAATATAATACAACATATTTAATTTAATAAATAAATAAATGAGGAAAAAAAAAAAAAAAAAAAAAAAAAAAAAAAAAAAAAAAAAAACTTAGTTAAAAATAATAATAATATAAATAATCATCAGTAATAATGATAATCATGTCAATTCCCCTCAAGTTTTTTTGGCTCTCTCCTCGCACACGCAGAACCAAAACAAATTGTGCAGCCTCACCCCCTCTCCGCCCAAACAACCACCCACTACATGCATGCTTGGTGGGGAAGCAAATCATGCAAGAGCAAAGAAGAACTTGGTGGTGTGTCGGGGTGGTGGGGTGGGATTTTATGTCAGGGAGGTTGGTTGGGGATGGATTGAGGATGGGCTTGGATGGGGTTGTGCCTAAAGGTGGTTAGTTGGGGTTGTGGCTGATTTTGATGGGTTTTTTTATTTTTTTATTTATCCAATTAGATTTTGGGGGAGAAATAAAGATATGTAAGTTTAAATTCTTTTTAAAATTTAAAATTTAAAGTTCTTATTTTTTATTTTTATTTTTTTTTGAATTTGGGATTTTATTCAAACCCAAGTAAGGAGACAGTCTTGAGTCCTGTCCTGAGTCTTATTCTCAACTGTTAAGTTGAGTCAACTTTCTTTTGATTTAGGATGTACGATTGTAATAAATGAAACATTTGGCTCTGGCTATAATTATGCTAAACTTCAGGGGTTCTAAGTGAAATTTCATGATTTATGTACGTATATTTTTTCTTTTGCATATGGAACAAATATATTGAAGTTTTCTGACAGCTTAATATTAATTGCGTACTTAACAGACCTAATAAGAGGATTAATGATTACATATGATGATAATATTTTTTTTGTTGGTAAATACCACGAGGCATCCCCACATCCAATGGGTGGGATTAATCCCTGCTCGGGATTCGGCTTGCCCCTGGTCACAAAGTACTTCTAACGGATTTCGAACTCGTGTCATTGAGGCACTAGGTAGCTCGCCAACTAGAGATGGTAGTTTGCCAACCGAACAACACCTTGTGGTTATAATCATATTTTAAGTGAGGGGTGCATGATGACTTTTTTGGAGTGCCAATAACTTCTTCCGTTTTATATTGCTATTATTGTTAATTTAACTTATTATCATTTAATACAAATTCAAACTCTCATGTACACTAGGTTTTGGGAAATATGATGCGTTCCAAAGATACTGATGGATGGCGGTCAATTCTAGAAAATAGAATATGGGATTTACCGGAAGGAGAAGAAAGAATCTTGTCGGTTTTGAAGTTGAGTTTTGATGAATTGAAACCACCATATTTGAAACAATGTTTTGCATATTGCTCAATGTTTGTCAAAGATTTCCGAATTGAAAAGGATGACTTGATCAACCTTTGGATGGCTCAAGGATTGCTTTACCCTTCTCCTCCCAACAGACGTAATCTAGAGATGGAGGATATAGGAAATGAATATTTTAATATTCTATTGCACAACTCTTTCTTTCAAGATGTTCAAAAGTATGATCGTGGTGGTATTATAATGTGCAAGATGCACGACCTTGTGCATGATCTCGCAGAACATGTGTCAAAACGGAAGAGCAATAACTCCAATGAGACTCGACATATGACACATATTCCTACCTTGGTGCTGCAAGGAGTTCCAGAAAGAAGTGCTCATAAATTGCGCTCACTTTTCTTGGATGTTGAAGGTCTTGGTGATATCTTACCAAAGTTTAGAGGTTTGCGTGTCTTAAATTTATATGAAGCTAATATTGAGGAGTTGCCCGTTTCAATTGGAAAGTTGAAACACTTGAGGTATTTGGATGTTTCCTATACAAAGATCAAGGCACTACCCAAATCCATTGGAAAGCTTTATAATCTACAAACACTAAGAATGTACGGGGCTAAGCTCGAAGAGTATCCAAAGGAACTGCAAAATTTGATAAACTTGAGACATGTTTATTTTGATCAGGATTATATGAAATTTCCAGCTGGGATGGGGCGATTGACTAATCTCCGAACATTAAAATTTTTTGTGGTGGGTAAGGAGACAGGTCGTAGAATAGAGGAGTTGGTTGGCTTAAACCTGTTAAAAGGTGGATTATCTATCTATAACCTAGAGCATGTGAGAGATGGAGAAGAAGCCAAGAAAGCAAAATTAGTGGAGAAGGCAAACATACGCAAGTTAAACTTTGCATGGGAGCACGACAGGTCAAGCATCATCAATGATGAAGAGGTACTAGAAGGCCTTCAACCACACCCTAGTAAACTGGAAGCTTTAGGGTTTTCCAACTTCATGGGCGATAAATGTCCATCATGGATCATGAGTAGTTCGTTTCCTGCATTGAAAAGGTTATCTATTTCTAATGCCAGGAACCTAACTGAATGGTCGGAAAGTGGGATAGTGGTGTTTCCTTGCCTCGAGAAGCTGCATTTGTGGAATTGTGATAAATTGAGAAGTGCTCCCAGCAATTTCCCATATCTCAAGGAGTTGGAGATACATACCATGGGTAGCGGCATGCCAATAGCAAACATAAGCAATAAGCTGACCACTCTTACTTCCCTCACAATAAGTAAGATAAGCGGACTTGTTTCTCTGCCAGAAGGAATGCTAAAAAACAACAAGAATCTTGCATACTTGGAGATAGAAGATTGTCAGGAGCTAACTCGTATTGCTCCTGATGATGTAGTTGGCTCTTGCGCATTTCTTGAGTCAGTGAGTATTTCCAAGTGTCCTATTCTTGCTTATTTGCCTGATGGGCTACTCACAACATCTCTTAAGAACCTGACTGTACAAGATTGCAATAGTCTACAGTTGATTCAAGTTACACACGGCCTCTCATCCCTCTGCAAATTAAAGATTACACGCTGTCCGGAGTTGTCAAGTCTACCAAGTGGGTTAGATTATTGTACCTCCCTTCAGGAGTTGACAATATCGAATTGTGATATGCTATCATCCGCTTTGATTCACAGCCTCTCATCCCTCCGGAAGTTGTCTATATTTGGTTGCAACAGGAGTCCAGAGTCTGTTCCAAGTTTACTCGGCTTCACATGCCTTCGCGAATTGAGAATCAAAGATTCCCCTGGATTGACAAGTCTGCCAGTAGGGTTGGAATCCTGTTCTTCTCTTGAGGTGTTGATAATAAGCAAGTTGCCGAATGTAGAATCTATTCCAAGTTTAGACAACCTCACAAACCTCCATGAATTGAGGATATTTTCTTGCGATGGATTGAAAAGTCTACCCAGTGGATTTGCAATAACATCACGCCTCATGGACTTGAAGATATTGGAATTCGGTGGCTTTTGGAAGGAGCTAGATTCATTCCCTGCTTTTCAGGTTATATCACAACTTGAAACATTATCGTTATGGGGTTGGCCTAAGCTCAAGTCTCTGCCCGAACAAATTCAACACTTGACTTCTCTAACATATCTCAGTGTGCAATGCTTTGACGAAATGGAGGCTCTTCCAGAGTGGTTGAGAAACCTTACATCTCTTAAGTACCTGGACATATGTCGTTGCAAGAATATGATGTATCTACCTACACTAGAAGCTATGCAATGTCTCACCAAATTAAATTCCATAGAAATTTATGATTGTCCCCTTCTAAAAGAGAGATGCAACAAGGAGAGCGGCTTAGAGTGGCCCAAGATTTCTCATATTCCATATATAGAGGGTATGTTTTTCTTTTTCCTTTTATTGTTTTTGGCTCTTAAATCAACTATGCATTCTATTTTCTTCACCTACTGTACAGTTAATGTTCATTATCTTAATTCTTTCCCCGTTACGACATAATGATTTCTAATATTTATGTTTAAGTCTCTAGTTGACCACGTACGGATGCGAAATAGTTGAAAGTGGTGTGAATTGTTGTTGAGAAAACGATTAAACTCAAGTGAGTGAGTCTGCTTCTAAAGGCATCATTCTTTTTTCTTTCTCTAAAAAAGAATAAAACTCTTTTCTCCCATATATATCACATTTTCTTTTTCCTCTGGCATTGAACAGGTGGTGTGTGGAGTGTTGATTGAAGCTGCATATATGCTACACATCATCACCATTGAAGAAAAGGTGTCCCTTCCCTACAGCCTACAGGTGTATGTCCAGCAACTCCCTAGCCTCTTTTTTTAATGCATTTATATTTATGTATGTCCCTAGCCTCTGCTGTTCTTTTTTCTCATGAGTTTACTCTTTGTCTATGATGTTCCTTCTGCAGGGTCTATTGTTATTTTGGCAGAATTTGGAGGTGGGTTTTTTATTTGTTACCTGAAGAAGCATTTTTTGTAATGGGAGCAAACAGAGTCCAGGTACTTTCCACCAGATGGTTTTTGGTTTTGGAGATAATGCACAGAAATTATATTAGGGTACAGTAATTCAGGAGAACTATTTTTTTTGTTATTTTTTTCCTTTCAAATTATTAGTTAATTCTATATCCGCTCCCTCTCTAACAGCTTTATAGGATTTATTCTTTATGGAAAAAGTGAGTAAGGTTGTTGGTTGCTCTTGTGTTGTGAAGGTATTCAAAAGCACTCCAATTTCTACAGGTAATATATTCCAGTCTGTATATTTAAATCTTAAGAAAAACGAGTGCACAAATTTGTTTCCTCTTTAAGCCTGCAATTATAAAACAATTTTTATGTATGTGAAATTCAGGCTTGATCAAAGAGACAAATCATCGGTTCACTATGATTAACAATAATTTTTAAGGACCTACAAAGCTTAGTAGGTGTGGAATTTTATAGAGTTTTTCTATTTAAACCCTACACTTTTCTTTTTTCATCTCAATACTTAAATTATTAAGGGCATGTTTACGTATCAGTAATGGGTATGGAAGGAAAGGGAATGATTTCCATTCCTGACTTCTCCTGCGTTTACTTACAATCAGGAATGAAAAAAAAAGTGGGCCCCATCTCAAAATCCGTAATCACATTCCCTCAAAACTAGGAATCAGATCAACTAGGGGGAGTAGTCGATACGATTCCCATTCCTGTTTTCTCTTAATAACTTCCAAAAATACCCTTATCATTTTACCATAATTCTAAAATTAATTTGGATTCTGATTTATGCAAATTAGTAAACAATAACAATGGGAATCAATCTCATTCCATTGCTAATTCCATATGTTTAGTAAACAGCTTAATGGAAATGATTCTTCCCATACCGATTCAGTAATTCTTCGATTCCTAAATTATTTGATTCCTTAGTTTCTTCATTACTGATACGTAAACATGCCCTAAGTTCTTAAATTTTATTATTGTGTAAAAAAGACAAAAAAGGTCATCCAACTTATTACTTAACCCTAGTATATACATACCTCACACACCCTACTACTCTTCATGTTTGATGATGGTAACTTACATATCAATTTAACTGTCAACATTTCTCTATCAAAATCTCCTAGTTCATTCTCAAATTTAAAAAATAATAATAATAATAATAAAACAATGTTGTTACACATTTGTCAATAGTTTTTATTTTTATTTTTACTTATCTCTTTAAGTAATGCGAGATTGATGTGAACTTAGAGTGGTGAAGGGCAAGATAGCGGGGTGTGGAGTTGATAGGTGTTTTTCTTTTTATTTATTTAAAAAAAAATTCTGCTATGATTGGTTAGTTTGGAAAGATAGTGGAGTTTTCTTAGAAATTGCGAAAATTTGAATTAGAAGTTGGGGTGAACTTAGAATATAGGTTAAACAAAGAGAAGTGTAGGGTTTAAATAGAAAAACTCATTTATATTAATAATGAAAACATTTATTATATGTTGTATTTTAGTTTGTCAAATTCTGATATTGGACTGTTACTAACCTGTTGATTCTTTAGATATTCCAGTGACTGATGGGGGCGTAAATCCAACACAAGCCACCAACTCAAATGATCACAAAATCAAGACAGAAGTCACAGGCTGCTCAAATTTTGTGTGCCGATCAGAATCGTTTGTAGTTGGAATATTTTGGTAATATCCTTCTATTGGTGTCCAGAAAACTATAAATTTATTCAAATTTTAGCATGGGTGTCCAAAGATGGATTTTGGGTGCAAGCCCAACAGCCCAAGAACCAGCAACCAAGTCCAACTTAGCCTATTGCTCCACTCTACCCCAACACCCCTCTTTCTCTTTCCTTTTTTTATTTTATTTTATTTATTTCATATATATATGTAACATATGATCTTTCTTTGGTCAAATGTAACATATGATCATACTGTTAAGAATGTAACATATGATCTTTTTTTTAGAATGTTCAACTCAAGTGTACTGCTATGCAACAAAATCAAAAGCCCTTTTTATTTATTTTATAAATGTTGAAGCTTGGAAATGTTACTATCAATCACAGATCATTGTATTTGCTTCTGTTTTCCACTCATTTAATTACCTAATTACCTGTTTTAAGCTTGGAAACCCTAATACTAGTGGTGTAGTGCAGGACAAGGTACAGAGCAACATTGGTGCACAAGCTGGTGGCAGCAGTTCAAGGTGCTGCTTCAGAGGGGGCTGAGGGAGCGAAGGAACGAAGCATTCAACAGGCTAAGAATTCCTCCGGTGGCGCACTCCCACGTTTCACATTGAAGACCGTGTAAGAAAAGAAAAGAATTAATTAATATGTATTATTTATTTAATTTAGTTTTAACAATAATAAAATGAATTAATAAAATTGATATTTGGTAAATTTGCAGATTGCTTTGCTCTTCTTCTTCTCCGTGTTCTGGGGGTTCTACCCACTTTACAATGCAGTTTTCACATTTCCCCAGGAAAGAAGAATGCTGATAAAAGAACGGTCATCAGGATCAGGAATGTACCGGCTTTCGTCCTACTTCCTAGCAAGAACAGTTGGAGACCTGGCACTCCCAACAGCATTTGTAGTAATAATTTATTGGATGGGAGGGCTTAAACCTGATCCCTTCACTTTCATCCTCTTCCTGCTGGTGGTTCTTTACAACGTCCTTGTGTCCCAGAGTCTTGGCTTAGCCACTGGAGCCATTCTGATGGACATAAAGCAAGCCACTAATTTGGCATCTATTACAACACTTGTTTTCCTCATCGCCGGCGGATACTACATTCAACAGATTCCTGCCTTCATTGTCTGGTTAAAGTACTTGAGCTACGTACAGCTACTACTGTTACAAGCTTCTGCTGTTACAAGTTTGTGACATTTTAGATTAGATTAATCACAATTTGTTAAGGGACTTTGCATGGGTCTATTAGGAATTTGAGTTATTTCCTCGTTGCGAATTGATGTTGCGGTGAAGAACTTCAACTTCGACTTCCTTCAAATTCTAGTACTTGGTACTTTTCATTTTTGTTACACCCTTAAATTAAGTTTTTCTTTTCTTTTCTAAGCACTCACCAAACAATGTAATTTTCCCTTTTTTTTCAAAAAGAAAATGATCTATTTGAGAGTTTTCTGAAATTGCATGAACTTGGTTGATTCGGAAACTTTGCTTAAATCTTCATTTGGAACAAAGATATAATAACAACATTACATAAATCATTACCAACTCAAAGGACGTGGAATGGCCGCCTAGTGGTTCGAAACTCCCCTTCTTTTCTTAGAATAGAATATTGTTGTAACTATTATAAAAAAATAAAAAAAATTAGCAACGCTTATTTTCCTAACCTAAATGACATGCTTGCATTGGAGCTAAGCAGTGTTCCTTTTTCGTTTGCTATGATGATGTGGTGCGGTTCTTTTCTCTAGTTTCATAGAAAAACTCAATATCGTGTACCAACTCTATGAACAGTAGATATTCACCTTTGAAGTTGCCCAAAAGGCACCTTATTTAACAATCAATTCTTAATCATCACAAACGTCTGGTCCTCTTTAATTGATTATCAAATACGTATGCACAAATTCATATATTTATCTCTCCATCACCAACTCCCTGCCCCCAACAAACCATCCTATCTATATAAAAATATAAAAGAAGAAAATTAATTCCTTTAAATGTGCAACACGTGTTGCATTGTATGGTTAACTTTTAATTTGTAATATTAAAAAATAATCTTACACCATGACTAAAATGGCGAGGAAAATATCAAAGTGTATGGCATTTAGCATGATCTTTGATGGGTCTTTGTTGAATAATGAATTTGCTTGAAATGATGGTGTGATAGACCAACAAAGATTGTGGGGAATGGATTTGTAGGGCAAAGTTCTTCAATTTCTTCATAGATCTCTAATTAATGGGCCTCTTGGAAATTTTGGTATTCTCTCTCATAATCTTTGACAAGTAATGGGTGCTCTAAACTTAATCTGCACATGTGATGTGTTTATGGGTAAACTGCCTTTGGAATAATTTTAAGTTTTTAGAAAACGAGATCTGAGGACAGAAAGAGAGAAGAAAGAGACGGAGGTTTTGGAGAAACAAACGTTGTTGGAGAGAAATTTATTACATCCACATGTCACAAGCTCAGTGAAACGTAGTACTAGGTGTCAATTGCCAGATGGTACTACCGTATTATTGTATAATTTCTCCAGGGGCAGAGTACTTATTCACTCACATCTCCCGCAAGAGTTTTATTTTTTTTGTTTTCATCCCCTTTGAATTAGTAGTTGGTGAATGCGTGCCTCTGTTTGAATTTTGAACCACACAATAGTTTTCTTAATAAACTCCAATCTTTTATAATATTAAAACACCCATTTTTCTATTAGACTGATCTCTCTCTCACTCAGCATAAAACAAGGAAAGACACCAACATAAAAATACGCATGCATCATACGTGGAATGATAATATTCCACATGCACATGTTACCTACCATCACAGAAAATTCCAAAAGCCACATAAAATAAAGAAAATAATGTCGAAATTCCTCGGATTAATAATTACGTAGATTAATGTCTTCTAGTGCGTAGTCTGTCCTTTGCCAATATTGTAGAGTCCATTTTCATATTGTTTGTGTCGACGGATTCTGAGCTTTTGTATTTAGTTATAGTGTCTGCCTACCAGAGAAATAATTTAAGCCACTAATTAATTGGCTAAAAATATAAAAACCCACATAAAGTTTGGCAAATAGAGCTCTCTTGGGGGGTACATACGAAGCTCTTTTTTGTTGCTGGCGCTTTTGCAACTTTTGTCAAAATAATCGACACAAAGCATGTCTGGCTTTGCTGCTACACTTCAAAAGCTGAAAGCGCATGCCTAACTTTATAATAACTATAGCTGATTAAAGTTGATGGACACCATTAGAGAAACTTGCAATGCACATGTGGTGTTCTCGAGCTTTGAGCCCGTGACCAGAGTACAAAGAAAATGCATGCATGTAAGATTATGAGAAAGACTCAAATTATTGTGGGTTCTAGAGGAGCTTGAAGTGGAGTATATGAATTTTTTTTTTCTTTCCAAATACAAGCGATACTAAAAGAGGAAGAAATGGGAACGAAGAATGTCAGATGCAAAAGTAGTTGGTCTTGATCATTTGAGATATAAACCCCTTATAAATATATGATGTTAATTAGAAATTAATGTTTTAATTCACATATATTTTTTTAATAGGAGATTCACAATCTGATGAAAGTGAGGTCTAGATTCAAGGAAAAACAGCAAGAAATATGATAATATGATAATTGAATGTTGTTCCTCTTTCCATGGGGTTCCTACTTTTATTAGTTATTATTCATTTTTACTTTCCAATCATTTCGTTTTCATTCCATTCATCTTCTCCTTTTCTATTCTTATTATACGATTAATTGTAATGGTGCCTAAATTTGTACCCGAATTTTATTTAGATCATTCAACTCGTTTTTTAGTTTCTACTGTCCTCTCACTCGTTTTTTAGTTTATGTTGTCCTCCAACTCACACGCTTTTCAATTTCGTCATTCCGTTAGTTTTTCCTTCACTAATATGGATCCGAATTGACGGTTTTACTCCTCAAATAGACGAAAAATTTGACGAAATGAAGAAATTGTAACGTGCAAGAATTGAAAGACGACATAAACTGAAAAACAAGTTGGAAAACCAAAACAAAACTTGCGTATAAACTCAAGAACCATTATAATAAATACAAGCAAGTCCACCCTTGCTTCAAAACCGGGCAAAAGGCAGTCCAGGGGGGAAGGAAGCAGCTCCAGCGCGCAAAGGCCAGCCCTGGCAAGAGCTGGGTCCCACGAGCCCAGGAAAATTCAGCCCGAGCTGCTGCCAGGGCTAACTAATGCAATGCTGACATCATAATGACGTCAGCAACCCAAAAAAAATTAAAAAAAAACCAAAAATTGCAGAATTTTTTAAAATAAATACCTAGGCATATTCTTTACTTCCCACACCAAAAACTATATACAAATTCATCTCCTCATATCTCATATGAATAGTATTTGCCTTAGACTTGCCATAGACTTAGCTCTCATGGGTGGAACCACAAATGCAAAGGCTGACACTATTCACATGAATAGTGACAGCCCTTGCCTTAGACTTGGCCTTTGTGGGTGGAAGTGCTCTAAGATCTTCAAAAGACAGCCATCAAATTAATTATTGCATTTAAACAGGAAAGTATCTTATATATTAGACGTGTCCTATCACGTCTTTACTTCATGCGCAAGGCTTTACTTCAACTAAAACATGCTTCCAAAAAATTGGTACACTATTCACTTCAACGGTCCAAATCAGCGATTCCAATTCTCTAGTCTCATCACATTATTTATATATATGGTCCATGATGATCTTGAGAAATTAAAGGACCACCCTTGTGCCATCACATCTGGTCTGATATGAATACGACCTAAACCAACCAATCGCATGAAGCTGACTTAGACCAACCAGTCAACACAATAAAAAAAACAAAATGCACGTAATGTATGACGAAAAATACTTAACTCATTACACGTAAGGAGCCAAGAAATGTCACGATACATTTCTCCAGTTGGTCATGAGCAGGCCTCGCGATCAAATTTATAGGTGAAGCTTCATTTTCCCTTATGGAAATTTCACAAGTCGTCGAAAACATGAAATGTCAGCCACCGGATTAGAGGACCATTTCAATGATAATGTAGGGCTACACAATTGATGGGGTCGTACGTCTTCCTCAACATAGCCATTTCCATTTAGTTAACTAAGAGGCATCGTCTGCGGTCTGATAAGCAACCACCAGCTAATTTTTCCTTCTAAATATGAAAAAATTCACATGGATGTTTGGAAATTTGCGATTTGCAGAAATTTGGACATTTGCAGCACTTAAATTCCCATGGTTTGTATTCAACTAAAAGTTGTATTTTTTTTTCTTTCCTATTCTACCTTTATCTTACATTAATAATTTTTTATCTTTATACTTAATTTTCCAACTTGCACTCCATTATTTAGGCAAAATTATATGGTCCACCTAACACAAACACTCATGTCCTAGAAATAAACCTTGCAGCTTTTTTTTTTTTTTTTTTTTTTTTTTTTTTTTTTTTTTTAAAATTGAATGCATTTAAATTTGAATGCAATAAAATACAAAGATGGCTAAAGTGACCACAAAGAAAGAATTACTAGACTAAACAAAATCCTTGTATACTCAACACTAGAGCTCAAATTAAAATAACAACATGACTTGCCAAAAAACAAAAAACATGTTTGGTGGCTAGGAAAATTCAACCATACAAGTGCAAACAAAAGTTATAACAAGAAGTAAACCTTGCGGTCATATCAATCAAATCCAACCAAATTGATTCAATAATGCTTAAAAAGTATTAAAAATCGAAAGAGAGTGTAAGTGGAGAAAGAATAAAACTTTAATGTAGGGAAATGGTAGAATTGGAAAAAGAAATAATAATAAATAACAAAATTGATTAAAAAGTATTTAAAAAAGAGTGTAAGTGAAGAAAATCAACTCCCTTTCATAAATTATGTGGAATAATTTGAAATAATATTCCATTATGCTTCTGTACTTCACTAAAAGGCCCTTTTTAATGACCGGTGAAAATGCCCTTTAAAAAAAGTTAGGATAATGAAATTTAGATTAGTAGCAAAACAATAAACGTACAAGTTAATACTTTGAGGATGAATCAAACTTAAGACCAAATTATGAATTAAAAACAAAACTTCGTATGTTCAATGTACTAACATATTTTTAACCATTTTAACTAAAAGCCAAACTAACCCCATCAAAACCAATTTGACTAACATTGGCACGAAAATCCATCAAATACTTTTGGCCTCCCAAGGGAAAAAAAGAGAGTACTTCCTCCATCTCTACAAGAAGATACTCATTCTTCCTGTAAATTACAATTTGACACATATACAAAAATAATTCATTAAAAACATAAAAAGAAAAACTTATGCACACGTGTCACACTTCTATTAGGAAGAATATAGGAGCTTCTACTTACTACTTACATGATAAAGAGAGAAGTATTTCCAAAACGAAATATTTGGATCCCAAACCCCCTTAAAAAATGAAAAGACAAAAACCCAAGATTTTCATCATCTTATACACAAAAATAAGGGGAAAAAGGAATCTATATATCCAACTTGGCATTATATATTTCATCTTCTTATATAAGATGATATTTTTAAAAATAATTCCACTATATATTCCTGACAATCCCAGGAGTACTTTCACAATTGTTTGGATACATATCAATGCTCAATCATAAATCTTAATGAAACGAAAATAAATAATAAGCATATCCAAATTCTAGACACATATATGCTTTTCCCTACCAAGATCTAGATTGAACTGAGCCATACATAACAATGCGCACCAGCCTATACATATGATTGCTTTTCTTACTGGACAGAATGGGATAAAAGTTATCAGAAATGGTATCAAACTTTGTTGTGCGCTTTAGAGATTTTCCACTAATAAAGATAGAGCTCAGATTAGATAAAATTTCAGACACAGCCCCCTTTGTGGCTTTATTTTCCCCGCAGAACGCAGCCCGAGATAGAGAAAAATAGTTGTAAGCTTCTTGATCAAGAAAAAATAAAACCAAAATTGCAAGTCGTATTTCCTCCCTTTTCCCCTTTTCAACTTTAAAAATTAGAGGCTTATAGTTATTTCACACGTGTATATATCGTTCCTCTTACAATATCTGATGATTTATTCGGTAGGTAAAGAGCTTATGTCTATAAAACTCATTGTATGTAAGAATTTCGGTACTTTTTTTTTTTCGGTGAGACTGAGTTGGGGTCTCATATCCTTGCTTCTTCAAACTTTGGCAGACACTATGGAGTACCATTTACCTTTGTTTCTTTAAAACTTCTTTAGAGCCATCACAATATTTATATCACATAGCTTTTGTTTGCTTCTCACAATTGGCTCTCTTATAAGATGGCATAAAAAATCAGTATCAGCTTATATAACCAGCCAAAATGACGGTCCAGTATCAGTGTATATAAGCAGCCAAAAATGACCGTCCCCATTCGAGCTCCCACGTGATATTGCCTACCCTTTCAATAAAACACACATACATCCACTCTTGAGTGCCAAAATATATATACCTACAAAAATTTTGTAATTATATATACTACACAAATTCATTCTTGCTCTCTCGCTCTCTCTCTCTCTCTCTCTCTCTCTCTCTCTCTCTCTCTCTCTCTCTCTCTCTCTCTCATAACCATGAAAAACACTTGAACTTCATTGTCGTTGTGGTCCGTGATCTCGGAATTAAAGTGTCCTCTCATACTTGCCACAGCCTTTCTCACCGAAGTTTACTTATAATTGAGTTCTCTTGAACTCATTATATTACTATTATGAGTCTGAGAAACTCTGAGGTCAGTCCATAGAAACAAAAAACATCCGTCAGCAAAAAACTACAAGAGAGAGAGAGAGAGACTGAAGCTTTAAGCTGGATAGAAGCATGGGTTGGGAAGACATGCTTGATTTTCAGACTGCTATAAGTAAGTTTTATCAGTGTTCTTCTTCTCTTTGTTTTTGTCTTTCTTGTTGCCAGTTTTCTTGGTGTAATCGTCGTCACCATCACCAAACTAATGGAGAATAAGAGTTTAATGGGTTATTCTTAAAATAAATAAATAAACCAAAATTTTAGAACGGAAATGACTTTTTGCTATTTGGTCAAGAACCCTTTGTAGCTTTGCTTCCCTATTTTTATAATCTTCAATATAGCTGACCATGTATATAGCTAACAATACCCCGATATATTTGCCAAGTAGTGTTCACAAGCTCTTCATTAATTTGTGTTAGAGCAACTCCACCCATTTGCCCTTTGCCCTTTGCCATGGCAAGGGGGGGACTAGGGCAGCTACTATTCATGTGAATAGTGGCTGCCCCTGCAAAAAGCAAAGTGTGTTTCCACCCGTTGTCATGGCAACCACTATTCACATAAGATATGAAGAAATGAATTTGTATAGAGTTTTGATTTGGGAAGTGAAAAATATAACTAAGTATTTATTTTAAAAAAATTCTGAAATTTTTAGTTTTTTAGTTTTTTTTTTTTGGTAAACCCAGGCTACACTGAGGACTGGTTTTGCCCGAGGGCCAGCCCAGGCTTGTGGAGCCCACCCACAGCCCAAGCAGCATTTGTCCGCTGGAAGGCCGTTTTGGGCCTAACCCCGCCTTTGCCCGGGCATGCTGGAGTTGCTCTTATAGACTTGACTGGACCTCTTGGTTTGTGGTTATAGTAGTAGTTTTGATTAATTAATCACACTTTGCAAGTCCTGACTGGTTATTGTCTTTGTTGGCCAAAGATATAGAGAATGGATAGGGGTAGGTTTTTTTGTAATGCAGTGTTGTGGTACTCCTTTTCTTTGACCCGATTTTCTTCTTTGGTGTTTTTTTATGGCAAGGTTTTAACGATGCCACATTTTCACACTGCACATGGATCCGGTATTTCTAGTTGTATGTTTTCTTCGTCCTTGGTGGATGAGATACGTCCATTTTATACACATTCATCATAATTTTTATCGACTTAGCGCACTCTTACACATACTAAAGATGAATCAAACTATGTGGCGATGTAGAGATAATGATATAGATGAAACTTCAAGTTCTTATGAAGGGAATTTTCAAGTAAAATATGAGGGTTAGAAGCAGTGAAATCATCAACATATCAGAAGACATGACTATAGATTTTCAACAAAATGGTAGCAGACACATACTGTACAGATTACAGAACTGCTTAAAAGACAGTATTAAGGAAGAAAAATTGATTTGTATAAATTACGACGATTACTTGCACTGCATTGGACCGAAATATGCGTGACCAGATTTGTTTTGTGTGGCAGATTTTACGCTTCCTCAATTTCAGTCAGAATGGCTCCAGCAAAATTTGCCCTGCTTGTCTGAGCACACTAGCATAGTTATGCAACTTAGTTTCCTTGGAATCTCAGTACTACATTTTCTGAAAAATAATATGGACCTAATCTGCAAACGAAGAACAAAGTTCCCAGATCAAGGCACAGAGAAGCATGGCATTGGCATACGCTTCAGCACCACTCACAAAACCAGCATGGCTTGTTCTCTTTTTCTGATGGGAACTCATTTCGTAGTGCTTCTGTTGTTACTCAATGGAAGTGTGACTTACTGCAACCATAAACTTCGTGCTTATTTATCGGAGAGTATGCAAGTCATATCATGGACAATTTCATCTGTTGCAGTATACTGGATTGTGACTATCAAGTCCATCAAGTTCCCTTGGCTACTAAGAGCATGGTGGCTTTGCAACTTCTTCTTGTCCATTATCTCTGTGGCTGTTGATACTCATCTCCGAATCACGTACCATGGTGAGCTTAGATTACAAGATTATGCTGGCTTCCTCAGTCTCCTTGCATCCATCTGCCTGTTTGGTATTTCAATACGTGGGAAGACAGGACTAACCTTCATTGTCCCAAATGGCATCACTGAACCACTTCTCAATGGAAAAGGTGATAAACATTCAGAAGGGAAAAAAGAGTCTCTATATGGAAAATCTACTCTTCTCCAACTCATCACATTCTCTTGGCTCAACCCCTTGTTTGCCGTTGGAATCAAGAAACCCCTCGAACCAGATGAAATCCCAGATGTCGATATCAAAGACTCTGCTGAATTTCTGTCTCACTCATTTGATGAGAGACTAAAATATGTTCAGGAGAGAGATGGAATCACAAACCGAACAATCTACAAGACAATGATCTTATTCATCTGGAAGAAAGCAACAATCAACGCAATGCTTGCTGTAATAAGTGCTGGAGCATCATATGTTGGCCCATACCTCATTGATGACTTTGTAAAATTTCTGAATCAGAAGAACACTCGAAGCTTACAGAGTGGCTACATTCTTGCACTTGCCTTCCTAGGAGCTAAGATGGTTGAGATGATAACACAGAGGCAATGGATTTTCGGGGCTCGACAGCTAGGCCTTCACCTTAGAGCTGCACTTATATCTCAAATTTACAAAAAGGGCTTAGTTCTGTCAAGCCAATCCCGCCAGAGCCACACTAGTGGAGAAGTCATCAATTATATGAGTGTAGATATCCAAAGAGTCACAGACTTCATCTGGTACTTAAACATAATATGGATGATGCCCGTTCAACTCTCATTAGCAATTTACATTCTTCATACGAACCTCGGCATGGGTTCAGTTGCTACATTAGCAGCAACTTTTGCAGTACTGCTTTGCAACATACCAATGACCACTATCCAGAAAGGATACCAGACTAGGATCATGGAAGCAAAGGACACCAGGATGAAAGCCACATCAGAAGTTCTTCGAAGCATGAAGACAATCAAACTTCAGGCATGGGATACTCAGTTCCTACACAAGTTAGAAAACTTGAGAAAAATAGAGTACGATTGGCTATGGAAGTCACTAAGACTGTTCGCAATTGGGGCTTTCGTCTTCTGGGGATCACCCACATTTATCTCTGTGGTGACTTTTGGAGCTTGTATGTTTATGGGGATAGAACTCACAGCAGGCAGAGTTTTATCAGCATTGGCCACCTTCAGAATGTTACAAGACCCTATATTCAATCTACCTGATTTGCTCTCCGCGATTGCACAGGGAAAGGTTTCCGCAGATAGAGTAGCTTCCTATCTCCAGGAGGATGAAATTCAGCAGGATTCCATTGAGCATGTTCCAAAAGATCAGATGGAGTTTGCAATTGAGATAGAAAATGGAAAGTTCAGCTGGGATACTATGTCAAGCAGCATAACTCTTGATTCAATACAGTTAAAAGTGAAGAGGGGTATGAAAGTGGCAATTTGTGGGACTGTAGGATCAGGAAAATCTAGCCTGCTGTCATCCATTCTTGGAGAAATACAGAAAGTTTCAGGGACAGTAAAGATCAGTGGTACCAAGGCTTATGTTCCTCAATCTCCATGGATACTGACAGGAAATATCAGGGAGAACATTCTGTTTGGAAATGCATATGACAGGAACAGGTACGACAGAACCATTAAAGCATGTGCTTTGGAAAAGGATTTTGAGCTATTCTCCTGTGGTGATTTAACAGAAATTGGAGAGAGAGGAATAAATATGAGTGGAGGACAGAAGCAAAGGATACAAATTGCTCGAGCAGTTTACCAGGACGCTGATATATATTTGCTTGATGACCCTTTTAGTGCTGTTGATGCTCACACAGGCACCCAACTTTTTGAGGTTAGTCTTCCTGGACTTGCTGTGTCAGGAGCAACAACATGAGGATTCTACTTAAAGTAGATCCTGTTATCAAACGTTTCCTAGTTTGATGAAGCAACAGCCTGGTGAATTATGAAACTGATTATAGTTTGTATACTCTTGCAGGACTGCATGATGGGAATTCTCAGGGAAAAAACTATACTATATGTCACCCACCAAGTTGAGTTTCTCCCGGCCGCAGACTACGTTCTGGTAAGCATATAAATTATCTCTAATTCATCAGTCTTTTTTTCTTGGTTTCCTGTTTGGTGATATTTCCTTAGTCACTTGTGAAAATGGACCACGGAAAATATACAACATATAATGTTACTGAAAATTAGCTTATGTTTTGATCCCTACTAGTCAATGGGTAACCTAATAAATAATATGGGTTTGATAATATATACGCTTCATGATTCCAAGTTCAAAGAACCATCCACAATTCTTAGGGTTTTGAGGAACTTGAATCAGAGTTAAACTAATATGGGTTTCAACAGGTTATGAAAGATGGAAAAATCGCACAAGCTGGAAGATTTGAAGAAATTCTAAGACAAAATATAGGATTTGAACTTTTGGTTGGTGCTCATAGCCGAGCTCTAGAGTCAATCCTCACAGTTGAAAATACTAATGCAACTTCTCAAGGTCCAACACCGGACGGTGAATCCAACATTGAGTCCACTTCAAATGCTGAACTACAACAGACACGACATGAATCAGAGCATAATCTCTCCCTAGAGATAACAGAAAAAGAAGGAAAGCTAGTGCAAGATGAAGAGAGAGAAAAAGGAAGCATCGGAAAAGAAGTTTACTGGTCTTATTTGACCACTGTGAAAGGTGGAGTGCTAATACCTATCATACTCTTGGCACAGTCATCATTCCAAATACTACAGGTAGCTAGTAACTACTGGATGGCATGGGCTTCACCTCCTACAAGTGAGACTGAGCCTAAACTGGAGATGAGTTCCATACTACTTGTTTATGTACTACTTGCCGTTGGAAGTTCACTTTGCGTGCTGCTGCGATCCTCACTAGTAGCAGTAGCAGGACTTTCAACAGCACAGAAGCTCTTCACAAATATGCTACATAGTGTACTCCGAGCTCCAATGTCATTTTTCGATTCAACCCCAACTGGAAGAATCTTAAACCGGGTAAGTTATAATTAAATATGCATGATTTTGAGCTCACATCACTCTCCAGAAGGACCACTACTACCCCAAGGAATGAGAACCAATAATTCATGGTACACAGGCTCATATAATTCAAACTCAAAATTTGGATTTATGATCGAGAATAAATTCACATGTTAAAGAATTAGTAAATACCTAGACGAAGTAGACTGAAGGAGCGACAAGTCAACAAATCAAAATATAAATGTCTGATAGAAGAAATGTATCTGTCTGTCTCTGTGTGTGTGTCTAAAAGAGAGGTGCAGGACTGAAAAGCCCTTTATTTCATTGTGCAGGCATCGACTGATCAAAGTGTTCTAGATTTGGAAATGGCAAACAAATTAGGTTGGTGTGCTTTCTCAATAATACAGATTTTAGGGACCATTGCAGTAATGTCGCAAGTAGCCTGGGAAGTCTTCGTAATCTTCATTCCAGTAACTGCAGTCTGCATATGGTACCAAGTAAGGACTTCTATCTCCTCTTAACATATAATCAATGTAAAGATGATTAGTTAATTTTAAGCAACACAGAAAACGGAAAACGGAATGGAAAATTCCCGTACAATCTCAGTGTTCAAGTTCCTCTTCTAAACAACAACATTAAATCATGGATATATTATGATATATTATAGTATTAAAACTTAATTCGTGAAACTTTTCAATAATCAGAAAAGCAACACATAAAACCATTAAGGAAATTATGTAAGAAAAGGAAATTGAACTTGTTTGAAATTCTACTGATCAAGAAAACATGATACAAATGTTAAGTGGCTTCCAAATGAGTCCTCTGTGTGTGCATGTGTGTGTGAATCTGGATGAATGATCTCAATTAGGGGTATTGACTGAAAATTTGATAATTGTTACTTCAGCAATACTACATACCAACAGCACGAGAACTGGCACGGCTATCAGGCATAGAAAGAGCTCCAATCCTCCACCACTTTGCAGAGTCACTAGCAGGAGCAGCAACAATCCGTGCTTTTGATCAAAAAGAGCGTTTCAGTCATACAAATCTCATTCTTATTGACAACCACTCAAGGCCATGGTTTCATAATATGTCAGCAATGGAATGGCTTTCCTTCAGACTAAATCTACTCTCGAACTTTGTTTTCGCCTTCTCTTTGGTTTTGCTGGTGACCCTGCCCGAAGGAGTTATCAATCCAAGTGAGTATCATGATCATTCAAACAAGCAAATTCATTCATCTGCTGTTTTGTTTCCGGGGCCCGACTTTTAACAAACAAAATTACGTTTCTTTTGTGAAAGAAAAATTATTTAGTCATAAGCAGAGCACTTACACAGAATTAACTTTGTATTTTTTTCTTTTCATTCAAACAGGCATTGCAGGGTTGGCGGTAACATATGGAATAAATTTGAATGTTTTGCAAGCTTCTGTTATATGGAACATATGCAACGCAGAAAATAAGATGATCTCAGTTGAAAGAATTCTACAGTATTCAAACCTAACAAGTGAAGCACCTCTGTTAATTGAAGAGTCCAGGCCACCAATCAATTGGCCAGATGTTGGAACAATTTGTTTCAAAAATCTGCAGGTAAGCCTCTGGAAGATTTTAAATCATGGGACCAAAAGTTTAAAACTTTTCATTCAATTCTGCACACAAACAATACTGCACACTCCTTATACACACATTTGGCTGCCGTGCAGATTCGTTATGCTGAACATCTTCCATCTGTGCTGAAAAACATTAGCTGCACATTCCCAGGACAGAAAAAAGTTGGTGTTGTAGGAAGGACAGGAAGTGGGAAATCAACCCTCATACAGGCCATTTTCAGGGTAGTTGAGCCTAGAGAAGGAAGCATTATAATTGATGATGTGGACATTTGCAAGATTGGCCTTCATGACTTAAGATCAAGGCTTAGCATCATTCCACAGGACCCAACAATGTTTGAAGGAACAGTTAGAGGAAACCTTGACCCGCTAGAGCAATATTCCGATAGTGATGTTTGGGAGGTAATTATTCTTATCAAATAAGCATTAACAAGCTACAGATGATGAGTTATTTATTCCACAAATGAAAATTACTTCGAATCGATAGTCACCTTTATAACTATTGAAAACAAACTCCCAAATTTTCAGGCTCTAAATAAATGTCAGCTAGGTGATCTGGTGCGTGCAAAGGAACAGAAGTTGGATGCCTCAGGTCAGATTCATTATTTCGGACTGTTATTAAACATAAGTTCTCTAGTAAACTTCTAACATGCATGACTCTAACAGTGGTCGAAAATGGAGAAAATTGGAGTGTGGGCCAAAGACAGTTAGTTTGTCTTGGAAGAGCCTTGCTAAAGAAAAGCAAAATTCTGGTGTTGGATGAAGCAACAGCATCAGTTGATTCTGCAACTGATGGAGTGATACAGAAGGTCATCAGTCGAGAATTCAAAGATCGAACGGTTGTTACAATAGCTCACAGAATCCACACAGTAATTGACAGTGATCTCGTTTTGGTGCTCAGTGATGGTAAGTATAAACACAAACACATTCACACACATGTATGCAAGCATGCAATATATAGGAAACTAGAAAGCCATAAACACAATGTATACACCATATTAATTCAGAGACGTACATTAAGATAATTGCAAGAGAGTTTAAGCAATTTTTGTGCAAACAGGACGGGTTGCTGAATACGACACGCCAGCCAAGCTACTAGAGAGAGAAGAGTCCTTGTTTTCTAAACTCATAAAGGAGTACTCGATGAGATCCCAGAGCTTCAACAACTTAGCAAATCTACAAAATTAAACCCTGCTTGATGGATCAATAGGAGATCCCAAGGCATAATTCAAAGAACCATGAATTGGGCTAGGATCATTTTATACCAATGTCTGAAACTTTGATTGGAGCCAAATGAATTGTAGCTGTTATAGTCACTTCTACAATGTAAACTAGAAGCCCAAATTCATGTTTCTTCTCATAGATGCAGCATTCAAGAGATTATGAATTTTATATCAATGTCAAAATAAACAAAGGTGTTCTCTGGGGGATCTGTTATATCTATATCAAGTTTGTAAGTAGCAGAGTTTACCAATTTAAGCATTTTGGCTGATAAAAGAATTCCAAGAATCTTCTGGCAACTTATCTGCATTGAATTGTGTAAACAATGTGTTAGATTCCAAACCCAGAAAAATTCCAACGTAACCCTTCAGAAAGAATTTCATCATTTATATTTTCTATTAATACCCACCTTTTTGCTGACCCATAGTATAGAAAAAACAACTTTGCAATTTTACTTTTTGAGGTTAAAAGTTTGCTCTTCTGTCAAAAGACAAAATCATTTTCATTTACTTTTTATGTCAATCCATAACCCATGTACACACCCATCTTCTTCAACTCACTCTCTCTTATCTTTTGTGTTGGGGCATTTGGAATGCAAGGGTAAATGACTTGGTTATAAATGGAAAACTAATCACTGTGCCGGATTGCATTGAATTGTTGCTGCATGCATTGGTGTGAGGTTACAGATTGCCAGAGACTTGGGTTTAGAAAGGTTAATTATTCTTGAATGGATGTTAAGAATTTAATCTCCAAATTATCAAGTGAAGGATATATTTTCATATAACCTTTGAAAAATGGCAGCTGCTATATTTGATTTTCTCTCCATAGCCTTAAATGCTAGTTTGACTAGTGTGTAGTTAAGTCCCTATAAAAGGAATATCAGTTTGTACATTTCATTTGCAATCCATTCCAGCTGAATTGTACTCAGCCAATACAGCTGAGTGTTTTCTCAAATATCTTGCTTGATTTCTTTACATTTCTTTTCCATTTCTTCGACAGTGAAAATGAGAGAGGTGTTATATAGTTTGTAAACTTATTGCCCGCGTTATTTGGTATTAGTTTGTACACTTTATACCAACAATCACTTCTAAACATCGTCTTAGTTTTGTACCTAAATTGGTGTAAACAACACATGAATTAGTAAAAAAACTTCTGCAACGAAATGTTCTTCTCAGTCTCCTTCTTCATTACCTTACCAACTGCCATCTCAAAATCTTCTTGCATTACATGAACCCTCCTCTACCTCAAAGCAAACATCCCTGCTTCTGTGCAAACAGCCTGCAGCCAGGAGAGCGAAGACAGTGTTTTAATATGTGCACACAAAACCCTGACTTCCTAAGAAACCTCTGAGATATAAAATACCTTCATCTCTGCACCAGATGCACCATTCATCTTCTCTGCAATCCTCTTCAAATCAACTCCACGCCTTAAATTCATTTTCCTTGAATGTATTTTCATGATCTTCCAACTAGACTGCAGTTTGTTATATGCATTAGTAAGTATTCTTTTTAAATAAAAGCTATGACTTCTATGAAATTTCCTGTTCTTTGTTGCACCCTCATCAGATAACAACTTTAAATAAGTGGACTTATATTACATAAATGCGAATTGTTTAGCAGTGACCAACCTCCGTTAACGACATACAAGAGCGAAACTTAAATGTACACCTATGAATGCATAAATAAACCCCCTAATATTAATCCATGGTGTAGTGAGTGGCATGTACCTGTTCAGTAGGATTTGGAAATTTAATCTTCCTGTCAATTCTTCCTGGCCTAAGGAGTGCTTGATCCAGAATATCAATACGATTTGTGGCCATTATAACCTGTATAACCCATAATTTAAAAATGGTGGTTGTCATATGAAAGATATGTTAGAAATATTACATTGCGTTTCAATATCAATGAATCCACATTCTGTATAGCACCTTGATGTTGCTTGATGCCTCAAATCCATCCAGCTGGCTGAGAAGCTCTAGCATAGTCCGCTGCACCTCACTGTCTGTTCCACCACCAGATTGCACACGAGCAGATCCAATACTGTCGATTTCATCCCTAAAAATAATACATGGAGCATATTTCCTAAACAAAATATAAAGTTAGAATACAGTAAGTAAATGGGAAGCAGAAGGATAAGACGAAGCAGATTAGCAGCCATAAGTCTATGCAATAATTATATTTCATTTCATTCAATTTGGCAGGCTAAAAAGAAGCAGATCAGCGAATAATCCACAAACAAAATCTTTGCAGCCGAGAAAGGTAAACATATATTCAAAAGCTCAGGGACCAAAAAGCTATTGTTCTTTTGTTTCTTTTAGTTGCCACTAGCAAGGATACCCTATTTACTGTATGAATATATTTCAATACCATTGATGCCTAACGTCACAATTACAAATAAAAAGCTTATTCTAGTTCAGAACTTCTCTTCATGAATTAGATCCTCACAGTAAATCTGAGCATAGAATAAGACTCGAGAAATAGAGCAACAAATTTCAAAAAGAAGGTAACAAACATAACAAGTGGAGACAGAGAAACAGAAAATCATGATTAGTCTCCATAAAAAGAGATCAAAACAAACCTGGCCAGGAAAAAAAGTTCTCTAACCATCTTAGCGCCTACCCCAATGTACTTCTGAGCTAACTTAGTTGCAGAAATGTGCCCGAAAGAACATTTAGCGTGATGAGCTACAGCCCGAGCCAACAGTGTTTTCCCAGTGCCAGGGGGCCCATAAAGCAGGATGTGCTGTCATATGGAAGAGTGAGTTTCAGGGCACAAATGTAACACTTAGTGCTTACCAAGTAAGCAAAGAACAAACGCAAGAACTTGGCAGCATATATCTACCTTTGGTTCAGCTATACCAAGGAGCTCAAATAATTCAGGATGTCTGATTGGAAGTTCAATGACCTGGGAAGATGATCACATACCATTAATGATGAATGCAGAAGAATGCGAAGAAATAATGTAACAGAAACCAATCCAAATCACAAAAACCACACGAGCAATGAATTGTAAATTCAGAGAGTAAGAATGTGCAGAAGAAAACCTCCTTTATTTCTTTTATTTGCTCATCAAGACCACCAATCATATCATATGTACATTCAGGATTATTTTGAACTTTCGAAAGTTTGAAGACAGGATCAATTTTTTTTGCAGTATTGCATGAATAGTATAGCTGCGTCTTCGGAGAGCAATTCTTGTTGATAGTTTGAGCTCTATGACATCAATGTTTTCATCAACATCAACAACATGCATCCCTTGTCCAACAATCTGGAAATTGAAAAGAAACAGAAGTGGGCACAAAAAAAAACAAAAAAAGTATCAAACAACTTAGTTAGCATACCGAAGGGTGAAAACAAGCGTACAAATAAAGCTGATGTTAGCAAAGAAAATGCACAACCACTCACCCTAACCAAAACCATGTGCTTGTCAATTACTTGTCTAACTAAACCAACATGAGAATAAGATCCAGGGTCCTGAAGCAGCTGGACTTCTTCCTTAATCTTTCTCACTGTTCAATTCACAAAATTCAATTTATCAATCCAACAAAATAATTCCATGAACACAAGATCCACATTTTACATTCACATTGTAACTAAGACGAAACTCAGATTCAATAGTTGACATCATGGTTGGCATAACCAGAAAAAAAGTTGCTTCCTCGCTTAAGTATATAAACAATAGATGCTTTTGCTTAAAACATATTACTAACCGAAACCAAAGAACGAAACTTTTCATTAGATCCCAGTTCCCACAATAGAAACAGGGTTGTATCTCAACATTTACTAAAATAATCACGCCCAGAAACAGATTCGAATCCAAATTTTTAGTACCCAATTACAAACATACCCAAGAAAGTCAGTACCAAATTCCAGTTTTCAATCTATGGTATTTCCTCAGAGAAAACGATAGTTTTGATATATTAGTGAACTCAAAATGTCTTCTTTCTTATCAATATTTACACCCCCAATCCCAAATATTACTACACTAGCAAAATCAAGAAACAACATCACAGAGCAAGAATCGAATCAGAAAACCCTAAGGACCAGTACCAATCGCAAAACACTAAGAATCAGCGTGAGGGCTTAAAATGTGAGATAAAAATTGAACCTTGTGAGTTGAGAATGCTGGTTTCAGCTTCGAGGCGAAGGAGATTCTGCTCCTTCTGGTGGAGCTGGTGCAGGGCGTCGTGGATTTTTCGGATATAGTAGCGTCTGATACCCTTGAATTGGGTGACAGCCATGGGAGATTCTTGAGAGCTTTTAGTTTCTTTCAGGTGTTTTCTGTAACCCAAGACTGAAAATGCCAAACTTCAAACGTAGTAGAGACTTGACTTACATTCCAAGTCATTACAGGGATTTGATTAGGATACGTGTTATATTCAGTTAGAAACTGTTTGTGGTCAGTTTGATTACTGGAATTAGTTAGTTGTTTGTTAATTTAGGCGCCAAAACGGTCTCTCTTTTTTTGTTTTTAGTTTTTCTTTAGATACAAGCGATATTCTAAACTACAAAAAAGAGGGGTTTCTTACATACACTATCAATGTGTCATCATGAGGGTTTGAACATAAGACCCTTAATATGCAAGTTAAAGGCTTTTTTTATTGGGCTAAACTCTGTTGGTAAAAAAGAAAAAATTAATTCCTCCTTTTAACATTATCATTTTCTATATAAAAGGAAAAAAAAACGCAACGAACATTATAGTTTCACGGATTTGGACATGTCCATTTAGGCCTTTCCGTTTCCAATTTATAACGCGAAGGAGACCCAAAAGGCCAACCAAAGCGAAGTGGACGCTGGTAGTGGTAAATGGCACTTCGAAGCCTGAGCTCATTTACAGCCGTCCGATTCGAAGCTCCCAAATCCAACGGTGCTCCTATTCCTCCTCCACGGCATCAAGACCCTTTGCCCCGACTCTCCGTCACCAAGCCCTCTTGGGTCGTCCGCACAGAGGCAAGTTATCAAGTTCAACACTTTAATACTTCATATCCTTCTTTTTCTTTCTTTTGGCTCCTATGAAAATGGTGGGAAGTGAGAGAATGCAAGTAAAAGTAGGGAATTTAAAGAGTTGATGTTCAGATGTTGGGTTTCCAGAACGACCAGATGGGTGCTCTGTGTTGGGTTTGTTTAAAATGGAATTTTTAGTAGGTGAATTATATGTTTTGGTTTTCAAAAACTCTGCTTTTAGTTGGGTTTTCTGTATTCTTGTTGATTATTATGATTATGATTTTGAATATATTCATCATGTTTGGTTCACTCATATAGTGACTCTTTCAGGATGGGATTTCATTATCAGATTTGGAACTGTGAAATAAGATAGAAATTTATGCACTGAAATCATCGTGTTCTGGTAGAACCATCCACTGACATTAACACTGAACCATATTTGTGAATATATGCTCCTAATACCTTTTTTTATTTATTTTAAAACTATTACATATATTCAAGTGCCTATATTGACATTAGTTTGTTTGTAACTTTGTAAGAGTTTATCAAAATTATCTCCACTAACATTGAGTTGGGAACTTACTAAATTCAAAGGGATGCAAATATGACGTATTATTTCATGTTTTCTATGTTTAACTTTTCGACCACCTCTGTTTGTTGCAGTCAAATGTTCACAGAGAAGTAAGAAGGAAGCCGGATCCACCTTGTGAGGTCTGCACAGGGAGTGGAAGGGTCAATTGCCACGATTGTTATGGAACAGGTCTATCTCTTTCTTTCCCTCTTATGTACACAATGTGTTCTATGTATTCTCATTTGCTCATCTTTCAGAATTTGGATAATTGACTTTAATTTGACACGAGCAGATGTTGAATTGTCTCCTTTAGTGTAGCTTGTGTGCCACCCTAGAAGGTCTGCTTTTTCTTTATGAACTTAAAACCCGAATATTTCAATAGTTCTGAATCATACAACAAATTTAGTTCAGCTTTCCAAAGTTATGAAAGTTGTACATGAATTGCAGCCAAAAGTTCCTCGAGCCTTTGACATCTTGACCAAAAAAATGCTTTAAGATTTTTACATGTTCCCACAGAAGTCTGACGGTTTTTGAGAGAGGTTGAGATTCAAAAGTTTCACCATCAGTGTATGCAACTAACTGTGGGGAACTGAACTTCACCATCACATTTGTTCATTACTATGAATACTTAACTGGCCCCTGTTTAAAGTTTTTGAATACAATTGTGTTTTACTTACATAAGGATTTCACTCGCCTATAGAAGTAGTTTTCAGATGCACACATCTTGCCTTTACTTAATAAGATCCAATTTATCAGGGGATCACAACCTAACTTCAGCTGACCTGTGATGTACACATTCTTGTTAAAAGAATTTCTTAACCAACACTGAGGTTAGGCAGGTCAATATACAGCAAACATATGAACATGATCCTGCTTTATACAGATGTACTGGTCATTTGCACCCAGTCCTTTTTTTCTTTTTTCCTTTCTCTATTGGTGAAATTTTAAATTCAGACTAAACCCCTCACCCAACTGCAACTCAACCTTTAAGCTTTGAATTTAGCTCAAATGTACTCAATACTCTGGTCCGGAAAGTAGATGTTTAAAATCCTGATATCTATTGAAAGACAAGGAGATCCACTGTCCTCGTTTCTGTATACGTTGGTTAGTGACGTTTTGAGCAGATTTCTTGAAAGGGCTCAAGAATTCAATCTAATACGTGGGTTTGTTTCTGGACAAGACTATGTAGAAGTTTCTCATCTCCAGTTCGCTGACGACACTATTTTTTTTCTGGACGACAAGGAGGAGTCTTGGGTAAATTTGCTGGAGGTGTTGGATTTGTTTAGTAAGGTCTCAGGAAAGAAAATAAATAAGGCTAAAAGTTCCCTCTTCGGAATTAATTTCAGTAACGATTCTCTGGAAGCCATTGCCAATAGCTGGGGTTGTGAGGTGGGTAATTGGCCTATGGTGTATTTGGGTCTTCCTCTTGGAGGAAATCCAAGAATTCTTACATTCTGGAACCCAGTAGTGTAAAAGGTAGAGAAACGATTACAAAATGGAAACGGGCTTGTTTATCGAAAGGCGGAAGGCTAACTCTAATTCAGGCGGTGTTAAGTAATATCCCCTCATATTTTTTGTCTCTTTTCAAAATGCATGTAGGTGTTGCTGCCAAGGTGGAACAACTGATGCGCAACTTCTTGTGGGAGGGAGCAGAGGAAGGAAAGAATGTCCACCTTGTGAATTGGGAGCGGGTGTCCAGAATTAGGGAAGCAGGAGGGCTTGGCATTGGGTCCTTGAGAGAAAGAAACGAAGCCTTGAGGGCAAAATGGTTGTGGAGATTTCCAATTGTAACCAATGCTACGTGGGATAAGGTAATTAAGAGCAAATATGGACTAGACTCTGATGGTTGGGATTCTAAACAGACAGTAACAGGTTCTTGTAGGAATACTTGACTTGATATTTCGAAAGGGTATAAATCTTTTTTTCAGTGTTGCTGATTTTCTGTTGGCAATGGAGAAAAGGTTAGATTTTGGGAGGATTATTGGTTGAAGGAAGGTTTATTGTGGGAATTATTTCCTAGAATATTCTCCCTGTCCAGGAAAAAGGATCAATGTATTTCAGACTTTGTTATCGACGCAGTGATACCTCACAATTGGGATTTTGGTTTCAGAAGGAATTTGACTGATGCCGAGATTGCAGAAGTGATATTACTTCTGGATATTCAAAGAGAGGTACGTCTAATTCATACGAGATCGGACAGATTTGGGAGATTGAGGACCATGGGTCGTTTTTGTGCAAATCATTTAGGTCTTTTATCCTGTCTAACGGCACGAGGGATGTTTTCTCCCCTTTCGCCTTAGTTTGGAAAGCGAAGACTCCCCCGAAAGTTAAGTTCCTTCAGTGGCTGGTTGCGAATGGGAAAGTTAACACTTGCGATCTTATTCAAAGGAGGAGCCCGAAGATGTGTTTATCTCTTTACTGGTGCATTCTGTACAAGTCGTGCGCTGCGCAGAAAACATTGATCATCTATTCATTCACTGTTCGTACTCACTAAATCTATGGTGGAAACTGTTAAACGAACTCAGAGCCGTTTGGGTGATCCCTAGAGGTTGTATTGAGCTCCTTAGTCCCAAACTGACAGTTCTGAGGAAGGGGAAGAGAGCTCGAACTTTACGGGACTGTCTTGTTGATGCTATTTTCTGGAATTTATGGCTGGAACGCAACAGAAGAATTTTTCAGGGGTATGATGGAGTGAGATCCGAAGAACTATGGGATAGAGTAAAATTTTGGGCTTCTCTTTGGGCATCTGTCTCTGGGCATTTTAAGGATTACCATTATTCTATTATCTTGAGAGACATGAGTGCTGTCTTAGGATAAGTTTACTTAAGTTGTGCTTTAGCTTCTAACCTATCCTTGGTTGGAGTAGTTTTAGATGAATCTTTCTTGCTTCCTGCTTATAATGAGCAGGTTCTCTCTTTGGTGTATAATTGAGGATAGCTTTTCCTCTTGACAATCAATACAAATGTTTCCATTCAAAAATAAAATAAAATAAAATTGAATGCAGTCCTGCTGCACCAGCTTTCGCAATAGATTTCAGACTTGCTTGGATGTTTCTTTGTTCTGTTTTGAGTGTTTGGCTAGGTCTGTGGGTTCTTATGTCTGTTTCCAAATGCTTTTTATTTATTTATTTGTTGTTTTTGTTCAGATTCTTATATTTTTTTATCATCTATATGAAAGGGAGGACAAACTCAGTTGACATGCGAATACTCCCCAAAGGGGAATGGCCAAAATGGTGATCTATCAAGACTTCCCATACATTTTATACTGAGAATTCTACCCTGTTCTGAATATGCTCACATAAACTGCCTTCAACCACTCTTGCAGGTGCAGGACTTGTGGTGGAAGTGGTTTAGGTTACTGCTCCCGCTGCCTTGGGACTGGAGAGTATCGATATTTAATGGGCTTTCAATTCATGAAGATGGATTCTTCTCATAACCGAGACAACAAGAATGAGGTTCAAAGGAATCAAGACCGCCGTACTGCTGCAGATTTCTATGAAGAATAGGTAACTTTAAGCCCTAAAATGTGAAAGCTCAGTCAGGGTAGAAAACAACCCTTGTGTATAGAGCAGATTTGCTAAGAACGGTAATAAAATAGTGAGGGAAAAGCAGAGAGTGAGAAAGGGAGATAGCAACCCATGGTGTATATATACATATCAGTAGACAGAGTCTATTCTGTGCCAAAATTTGGTTTTGCCAAGTGGAAATGCTATTAATGCAGATAGACAATTGAGGGCTATAGAGGTTCAACTATTATTCAATACAGATTATTGTTTTATACTGTCGGAGTCAAAACTAAAAGAAACATTCCACACGGTAAACATTCCATACGGTTTTATTGGTTCTCTCATACTTGGATCTTAAGGAATAAAAGTATTTTATTATACAGTTAAAGGCAAAAGTTGCCTGCATCGACCAAAATGTTGACGATATGACCTGGGGTGTTAAAACGAGACTTTCAGCTCTTTGCGTCACAGTACGGTAACGGTGCCTGCCCATTGGTACTTAGTCTGCTGGTCCTTGAAAGTTAGGGTTTAAGCTCTGCTGTGAAGAGGGGCATATTTTCAACAATCAGGTAAGCATTCAAGCTCTGTAAACCCTAAATTTGATCCAAAATCATAGTTCTGTATAACCAGAACTCAATGATTTATAGGAGGAAGCTGTGCCCAATAAATTTTTGTAGACTCACCAAAACCCCCACCTTCTAACAATCTGATCTGGACAATATTTCTATAAGTATGGATCATCCCAAACATAATACTTACTTTTTTTGACAAGCTTATCCTTTTGAGAGTGAGATCCTCCGGAATCAGTTTTGAAGCCTTGTAATTGATAACATCAGCGTACCAAGGGTCCTTGGCGTCAAGGGTGAAGAGTTGCTCATCGGGGAAACTTTCACGTAGAGGAAGCACGTCCTCTTCTTCATTGGATCCGTGCACTAGCCTACTCAAATGGTCAGCCACCACATTTTCACTCCCTTTCTTGTCTCTAATCACCAAATCGAATTCTTGAAGTAAGAGAGTCCACCTAATCAATTGCGGCTTGGCTTCCTTCTTTTGGAGGAGGTACCTAAGTGCTGCATGATCAAAGAATACAATTACTTTAGTGCCAATAAGATATGATCTAAATTTCTCTAAAGCAAAAATAACAGCAAGCAACTCCTTTTCCGTAGTTGAACAATTCAACTGAGCATCATTCAAAGTCAGGGAGGCATAATAGATGACATGTGGTACATTGTGCACTCTTTGTCCAAGAACGGCCCTCACTATATAATATGAGGTGTCACACATCAACTCAAAGGGAGAATTCCAATCTGGAGGCTACATGATAAGGGCAGACGTCAAGAGCTCCTTAAGCTTGTTAAATGCAACCAAGCACTCTTCATTAAACTCGAATTCCACATCTTTGCCAAGCAACCGACATAGGGGCCTTGATATCTTTGAAAAGTCCTTGATGAAACGCCTATAGAACCCTGCATGTCCTAGGAATGACCTAATCTCCTTCATGGTTTTGGGGGGGCTGCAAGCCTCTCACAATGTCGATTTTTGCCTTGTCCACTTCAATTCCCCTACAAGAGATAATGTTACCTAATACAATACCCTGCTGTACCATGAAGTGACACTTCTCCCAATGGAGTACTAAATTGCATTCTTGACACCTTTTCAAAACTAAAGAGAGGTTGTGAAGACAAATATCAAATGAATAACCAAAAAGGGAAAAATCATCCATAAATACCTCTATTATCTCCTTCACCATATTAGAAAAAATGGACATCATGCAACATTGAAAAGTGGCAGGTGCGTTACATAAACCAAAAGGCATACGCCTATAAGCAAACGTATCAAATGGACAGGTGAAGGTGGCCTTTTCTTGATCTTCCGGAGATATGGCAATTTGATTGTATCCAGAGTATCCATCCAAGAAGCAATAATGACTATGACCTGCAAGACGCTCAAGCATTTGATCAATAAATGGTAACAGAAAGTGATCCTTACATGTCGTGGTATTTAGCTTTCTATAATCTATGCATACTCTCCAACCCGTGTCAATAGAAGCCTTCTTCATGACTATTCAATTCAATAAACCAAGAGAGAATAAGCAACTACTACTAAAAGCTTTCAGCGGAATGGGTTTTCACTTTTCAATCCTGCGACTAGGAAAGCAAAGAAAAGATCAACTGTTGAAGTGAATCTTCATATGTGAGCTTAGTAGCCTACACTAAGTTACAAAACATCAGTACATCCTGCTCTTAACAAAATTTCTTTTGATTTCGATTTTTCTTTCTATTGTTTGGTTTCTTTAAAACTAAATAGAATAAATAATAAAAAATAATTATTTAAAAATAAAAAGAAAATAGAAAAGAAAAAGAAAGTCAGTCAGCCACCTATGTCAAGAAGGATGGGGCCTCCATGATGGAAGCTAAGCTAGCCGCATGGATTGACACGCCCATTGCGGTAGACCATTTTATAAAAAACTAAAAAAAACATTTTATATATTCTAAGTACGGGTGGGCATTGGAACCCCAAAACTGCAAAATCGAACCAAATCAATTCGAAAAAAAAACCGAAGTAAACCGTGTTGACCCAAAAAGTAAAAAACGGAGACAAATCCGAACCAAATCGGTTCAGATCGATTTTAGTTCCGATTTTCCTAAGGAACCAGTTCAATCCAAACCGGTCCAATAGAATTAATTTATATTTTTTATATTATATATATGTATATATTTATATTTGATATTATATATATTTTCATACGTGGCGAAGTTTGATTGGGTGTGTATGCTGCTACCATAGGTAGCGCACACACAGGATTACACCCAAAAAAAGGCCCTTACTTACGTTTTTCACTTTCTTCGTTCATTCCTCTCCTCCCGTTACGTTTCTTCCTCCCATTTCGGTTTCAGGTTTTTTAGGTTTTAGACATAAAAAAATTTTCATTTTTGGAAAAACCCAAAGCTTTTTAAAAAAAAGACAAAAAAACCACTCAACTTTCAAATCAAAGACATGCAAATGTATTAGATTCCTTAAGAAATCTAAAAATAAATAAGGGCATTTTTGTCCATTTTTACTTCTTTTAAAATTTCTCTCTCCTTTTGCTTTTTCTAAAATGTCCATTTCGTTTCATACTCAGCCAGCCGCCACCGATTCCAAACCTCTCTCTCAGCCATCACGTCACGCCTCTCTCTACCGCCGCTCTTCTCTCAGCCTCTCTCAGTCGCCGCCGTCATGCAGGTCAGATTCTCTCTCTCTATCTCTTTATTTTATTTTATTTTATTTTATTTCCCCCAATTCGATTTTCTGACTCTCTCTGTCCTCCAGCAAATCGGAGATCCCATTCGCTCGCAGCGTCCACCTCTTCATCTCGTATAGCTCTTTGTCTCTGTCTCTCTCTCAGGTACTGTTCATCTCTCTCTCTCTCTCTCTCTCTCTCTCTCTCTCAACTCATCTTCGATTATGTGACTAGGGTTTTGCATCTGTTTGGGTATTTAGGTTTTGATTGCGTGTGCATCTGTTTACCCGCTCCTTGCGGAAAATCAATGCTGGAGGAGCTACCGATTGTTGTTTGCAGATTTATTTTTTGATTTTCTGATTTTCTGATTATTTTGATTTTTATTCATTGAATATGTCATGTCTTGTTCTGGAAAAACCATCACGTACTCCTGTTATTGCTTCATAGTGAATTTATGAATGTGAGTCATGCAGTTGGATTGCCTGGAAAAAATGATGTACCAGATCATGGAAATTTGGCAATATACAGTAAATCTTGTTTGTAATGATTGCGTTTGCAAGATATTTGAAGAAGGTCAAAATCTTTTAGATGTCCGAGTGTTATTTGTAAATTCATAAGGCTTTAAAAGATAGGTCTGGTGTGTGTACATTTTGTTGGGTTAAGAATTCAAATGAAGTTGGTCATTTGAGGATGACAATCTAAATAAATAGTAAAACCTTCGTAAGGGAAGCTAAGTACAGATCTTTCAGCGTAAAACCTTCCCATTAGAATTTCTAAGCCTTATGAACGCCACAAAATAATATTTTCTTGTTGGTCTCTCAACAAGAAAAAAATATTTTTCTTTTTGGAGATTTTGTGAAAAGTTTAGCTGTTGACTTTGGTGGGTGAAAAAATTGTCCACAATGTTAAATCGGACCAAACCAAATCAACCCGAATTTTTTGATTTACCTTATTATAAATAACTGTAATTTTTATTGAACTGACCCAAATCACAATAAGTTTAGGCGACTCAACTTATCTGAAGCTAAGTTAAACTAAACCACTTATATAAATTTCTTCTTAATTTGGGATTTTCTTGTTGGTTATTATCATCTACTATTATGTTTCGTAACGTGCATCAATCATTTAAATTTGATGTTATCTTTCTCCCCAAATTTCTCTGTCTTTAAAAGAAAGAAAAGGCCACTATATGCAATATCTTGGTTTTGTTACCTAAACAGAACCAACATGAACCATTATGTAACATTGGTTTAGGTGCACCTTGAGATTTAAACCAAACCAAATTTACAAACAACCCAAGTACAAGGGACTTGTAGCTCAAGTTGATAAGAACATTTATCCATGTACCTAGGTTCTAGGTTCGATTCCCCCTCTCTCCCAATATCGCTTATATAAACAAGGCTTATTTACTGTTTAATCCCCTAAAATGGTCTCTCGGTCTCACTTTACCTCGTTAAACTAAATTTTTTTCACTTAACCCCTTGAATCTCTAAAAATTACTGAAATTTTCTCACTTTATCATTTTCATCCATTTCCATTCACAAAACCGTTAAGTGTCTTAACGGAAATGGACGGAAGTGGTAAAATGAGAAAATTTCAGCAATTTTTAGAGATTCAATGGGTTAAGTGAGAAAATTTCAGTTTCAAGGGGTGAAACATATAATAAGCCTATAAACAAAAAGGCTTAATTACTATTTTAATCCTAAAATGGATGTTCGGTCTCATTTTAACCCTTGAAATTGAAATTTGATCACTTAACCCCCATAATATCTAAAAATTGCTAAAATTTTCTCACTTCATCACTTTCGTTCATTTCCATCCACAAAACTGTTAAGTGTGCTGATGTGGCATGGATATTTTAGTAATTTTAGCCATTAAAAACTTTAAAATCCAAATTAAATATAACAAACATATTTTAAAAAATATTAGGGTTAACAAACCCCTTTTTGCCTTTCTTCCCTTCCACGTTAGCTCACCATCTGTCACCTCCATCAACCGACTTTTCCCTTTCCAATCACCCCTATCCCCAAAGTATCCAGCCCAGCCTCGCCACACCAGCCCACTCCCCTCGTCTCGCTGCCCCACTTCCCTCTTCCCTTTATGGTCACCAATGATTGCTACACACAAATCACCTACTTGAGCCTCCTCCAAGTGCAATTGGCTGGAATAGCTGGTAAGTTGGGTGTGTTGAGTAATTCTAGGAAGGGTTGGGTCAGGGACGGGAGAGAAGATAGAGTGGGAGTTAGAGAGAGAGAGATGCAAAGATAGAAAATTGAGGAGCTAAAATTACTACAATGCACACTTAACGGCTTTGTGGACGAAAGTGGTAAAATAAGAAAATTTCAGTAATTTTTAGAGATTTTTGGGGTTGAGTGAGAAAATTTCAGTTTTAAAGAGTAAAGTGAGATCAAGCAACCATTCCAAAGGGTAAAACAGTAATTAAGCCAACAAAAAATCTGCGACCCATGTGGACTGATCAATCCTTAAAAGGTGTTTGCTAATGAGAAGCTCTTATCAGCAAACAATGAGTGAGCCCACTTTTCAGAAGCCCTTTGTAATGGGGTTACTAGCCCAAATTACAAGTTAAAAAGGCTGAGAATTTTCTGAGTTGGGCCTCAAATGTTTTTTGAACCTTCACATTACACACAATCGAGTGCGCACGCACACTCCTACAGTACAGCTTCAGTGACAGTGACAGAGAGTCGGTGACAGAATTATTTCATAACACTATGTGGGTAACTTGTCTCTACTTCTATACCATTAATCACTAAAGCTCTCCCTGTTTTTGTGATTAAAAGTGAGGTAAAGTTCTCTGCTTGATCCGCCGCTTTTTTATGTTCTGTAATATATTTAAAGATCTGTGAAATTCAATTATATTGAAGTTTGAATTTGCATTCACATATTGTTTTATGATCCGTTTGGATGCCCGGAAAAAAATTGCGGGAAAATAGATTACCTCTAAATCTTACACAGACTATCAGCAGCTGAATTATCAGACGGAAGAAAAACTTTTTTTAAATTCCTTGAGATCTTCGCTGCTGCTTTGATTAAATCAACAATTTTTTTTAGTACATGTTATGTTTGAATGCTTATATGTAGTCTCATTTGTATTTCAGCGAAGTGGCAAAGATGGATGCATCAACAGTGTTATATAACCAGCTCAAGGTTTTACTTTGTTGGGGTATTTTAAGTTCCTGTGTTAATGGGTATATGCATTTGGATGCTTTATGGTTCCGATGGGTACTTTAATCTTTGATTGATTTATCTCCATAGGCAGCAGAACCATTTTTCTTATTAGCGGGTCCCAATGTGATTGAATCTGAAGAGCACATTTTCCGGATGGCCAAGCACATAAAGCATGTTGCAACAAAGTCTGCTCCTTCTCTTTGGGATTTATGCATTTACTCTTTGAACATTTTTTTATTTTTGTAGTTTCTTTTATGCAAAATAAGAGAAGGAAAAAGATTCATTTTTATCAGGCTCTTCTAAGTGCCAAAATGGGGATAGAAGATTGGATTTGAACTTTTGATTTTTGGTGATATAGACAACTTGTTTTCCAATCTTGTAGAGTTGGATTGCCACTGATTTTCAAGTCAAGCTTTGATAAAGCCAACCGTACATCCTCAAAATCATTCCGCGGTCCTGGTCTCACTGAAGGCTTAAAGGTAAAGACCACTTTGGTTTCTGTGGTGATAAATATAGGGAGTGTACTAGATATTTATTAATTTTCAAATAGACTACAATTTCGGTGTTGGTAATCAGTTTTTTCCCATTGTGGTTAGTCATGTGTTCTTGAACTTTGAAGTTTTCCTATGTCATGTGCTGATACATTTAGCCTTTTTAGCTGCAATTACTAGGGCATACAAAAAAATCATGGTTAGAACTTTATAGAGTAAAATTTATCTTTCCTAGCATTAACTTGACATTAATTGTCAGTAGAGAAGATATTTAACTTGGAATCACTAATTCCTCATTATTTGTCCTAAATGATTTCAGATCCTTGAAAAGGTTAAAGTAGCATATGACATCCCTATAATTACAGATGTCCACGAAGCTGGCCAGGTGAGCATTCTGTGTCCTCTCTTAATATACATAATTTTTAACTCTTGTTTTTAATATACTAGATATTGTTTTCTTAAGCCTGGAAATTTGATGGGTTAAAGATAAAGCCTAAAGGGTAGGAAGAATGAGCTTTGTCTGACAAGACACTCTTTGCTATGCTGAATAAATGTGTACCATTTGGATACCTCAGATACGCTATCTCTATCACGACATGTCCATGTAATTTGTAAAAATATGTGTGGATAAGGAAAAGAGACTTTGGAATAGGTTATAATTTACTCTGTTATATTTCTTGATTTTGGACTTGGTCAATGGATCTCTATGCATTCTATCTTGAATACTTGCATGCACAATCATGCAACACCATGCATCCTTGTCTATTTCTTTACCATTCTGTGTTATACATCAAGGAAAGTTCCTCATATAAAGGAAAAATAGACGATTACCACGGGTCTCTTTAACAACCATTCCAAGATTGAATCAAAGATCGGTCAACTGGTTTGTAACAGGTCATGAAATGTTCCTCACATTTTTCTTTGCTTTTTTGTTTTTCCTAGTGTGAAGAAGTTGGTAAAGTTGCAGACATTATTCAGATTCCTGCATTTTTGTGCCGCCAGGTTAAGTTAAACGGAATCCTCTATCAAAAAGAAAAAAAAAATCATGAAATTTTTAGTTTCGGAGGATGTGAGAGTGCCAATGTATCTTATTTGTGACTACTTATGAAAGCAGACAAGTCTTCTAGTTGCAGCAGCCAATACTGGAAAAATTATCAACATTAAAAAAGGCCAATTCTGTGCACCTTCTGTGAGTGATTTACTCTCTCTCTCTCTCTCTCTTTGGGTTTAATGATGAGTAGTTCAATCTAAATTGATTAGACCTCCACTAACTGATCTCTTTTAAAAGATTTAGGTATGCTTTTGATTCTTATATTAATCTTCAAAATGTTTTTTTTTCAGGTCATGGTAAACTCTGCTGAGAAGGTTAGACTGGCTGGAAATCCAAATGTGATGGTCTGTGAAAGGGGAACTATGTTTGGCTATAGTACGTCTTACAGTATCTATGCTCTCTTCAATTAAGCTTTCTGTTTCAGCTTTCATCAATATTCTAGTGCTTGCCCCACTTTCTGTGTGACCATTGCTTAATTCTAGTGAAACTATATTTCGTTGGCGTCATGTTCCCCCTTTTTTGTCTTTAAACTTCCGTGCATCGACTCTCCATTCATATTTCTTGAGATTTAATGTTGCCTTCTAACCATTCTATGATCGAAGTTATTGATGCATTCTCATAATTTGTTCTTGCTTAGTTGATTTATCCTATATTTCTGCTTTGGTATATAGATGATTTAATTGTTGATCCGCGCAATTTGGAGTGGATCAGAGAAGCTAATTGTCCTGTTGTAAGTTAAATTTATACTCTGCTCCTATTTTTATGTGCTGTTATTTTGTGCTTTCTTTTCCTAAGAAATAGAAACAATTATGTTGTCAGGAATGCTGGAAGTACACGACCACACCCCCTCCTTTTCCCCAGTCTCAATTTGTTTCTAAAATGATTTTTATAATGTTTGGTTGAAATAGACAGTAAATGCTTCTGGGGATGGAGACGCACCTATAGGAAGCGATTGTAGGAAATGTTGGGCACTGAATGTATAGGAAACACTTGGCTTTCTAATGAAATTTTTTATCGTCATCTCATAAAAAGACAATGAAAATTGACTCTCACATTGTCCTGTTTCCTCATAAATACTGAAATCAGTTACAAAGAGGTTGAAATATGTGTTTGTATGTTGCAAGTTGGTCTCAGTTGTTTGACAATCTATAGGAGTGGGTTGAAAACTTGACATGTATCCAGTTCAGTTGGGTGACCATTACCTGATACTTACAAATGCTTTCAGTCATTGGTTCTTGTTGGATAATTCTCTCACTTTTGCATTCTTTTCTGTCCCAATTTTTCAATAGTGATAGTCTGAACACGCTGCCTCCATTTCATTTTAAAATCTGAGGGCCAGACCAGCTGATTCAACTTAAGTGTTTCGCTACAGGTTGCTGATGTAACACATGCATTGCAACAGCCTGCTGGGAGAAAGGTGAGAAAATTCTCACATATATTTTTTCGTAAGTTTGCACTCTGCAATTTCCTTGCTTCAAAAAGTGTGGTTATGTCCGTGTTATTTCCCATGAAGACTGTAACCTAGACTAAATAATCCTTTACATTTCTCCTTGACATAGAAATGACCTGTGAAAAATCACATAATTTGGTAGTTGGGGAGAAAATGTTGGATTGTTTCATTTCTTATTGAGTGACAACAAACATTAGGAATCGGTCTTATCTTATTGCGTATGCGGATGAAATTATAAATACTTCTAGCAATTACTTATGGTTGTTGATGTTGTAATTGTTTTGTGTGGAGATATTTGCAATAATCCTGCTTTTCTGTAAGTTTCTATCTGTAGTGTCACAATATTTCTTCAATTAAGATGTAATATGATTACTTTAGTTTGATACGAATGTTTTTTCTCATATCAAGTGGTAACTCTACTTTCTCCTATAGTTGGATGATGGAGGTGTAGCTAGTGGTGGTCTTCGTGAATTGATTCCGTGCATTGCAAGGACAGCAGTTGCTGTTGGAGTGGATGGAATTTTCATGGAGGTAAAGTAATTTGTTGATGTAGGCATTATGCTTGATCTACTCTTAGGATTATGATTCGTAATTCTAGGGTTACTAGAGAACAAATTAGTTGAAGTTGAGTAATTCCAATTACCAGTAGGGCACAGATTAATTTGAATTCATTTGAGTTCACTTTGAAGGAGCTTTGTGAATAAATATTCTCGTTTATCTGCAACTATTTCCATACAAATTTGAAAGTGTGCAATATGAATTCATCTTTCTTAGCTTTTAATTGTATGGCCAATATGAAGCTGCGCAAAGATTTCTTAGGGTAGTATTCTTCTTTATGAATAGATTCATATATGCACACTTTGTTGTAGACTTTTGAGTTTTTAAGATTTTCCTTTGGGGACTTAGGTACATGATGATCCTTCTAACGCACCGGTTGATGGTCCAACTCAATGGGTGAGTCATGCTTTCGTATTCCATGAGCATTTTCTCTGGAAGTTCATTCCTGTTGTGGCATATTTGAATATATAGAATTTTTTTAACTAAAAGTATTTTATCAAGTGAAGATGTTTAAATTACTTCTTATATATGATTGTAGCCCTTGCGCCATTTGGAGGAACTGCTGGTAGAGCTTGTAGCAATTGCTGTAAGTCCTTTGCTTCCTTCATAATATGAGCAGTTAGAGTTCTGATCATTTTTCAGTCAAGTGGTGAAAAAAATTATTGAAATGCTTTGCACATGGAATGCTATATTATCTCGGTTACTTGGAAGTATATCTGAGAGTCAATGGCATGTGGGTTGTTACATTATCCATGATTGGAAATGCAGTTTTAGCTAGTGTAGTATCATTACCAAATTCTTTCAGCAACTTTTGAAACAATTCAGGAGTATTTTATTGAGACATATATGCTATTTGTATTTGGTAGAGTCTCCCCTCCCAAAACCTTCCTTGACCACATCTCAAAAGGAATGAAAAAAAAAAATTTTCATTTTGGTTTCTGCGTTCCTAACAATATGATTTTTCATTTTGTTGCCAGATACTGATCTGGATGTTCTATTTTGTTGTTAATTTTCAGAGGGTAAGCAAAGGGAAGCAACGCTTCAACATTGATCTCACACCCTATCGTGATTAGAAGACTTGAAGCTATACTATTGGTAAGAAGGGTGGTAAAACACATCAAATATTTGCCAGTTTTTCTTTTGTTAGCGATTATTTTGAATAGGTGGTGTGTTATAGCGCATCCTAGAGTGAAAAGGAGAGCACATCCATCCTCAATCTGTAATTAATGAGAGTGCAGATTGGAGCCACAAGATGCAGAACTGAGTGGTTTCCGCTACTCTCAATCACATACTCTTTGCGCCTCTAGGCAATATGTCGGTCTGAAAATTGAGCTGAAGGAGTTTAAAACATTTCTTTCTTGTTACTGCCGACGTATATACTGCCTGATAGTTTTTAGAGAGCTTAACATGATTTTGACAAAATGATACCCTTACTGATTTTCTTCTATTTTATTTTGAGCTGCCAGACCTATTCAAGTTCCTGATATGAGTCTGCTTATGCTGTTACATATTTCAGGTATACGTATGTGTTCAAGTAATACATGTTAAAGTGATAGCTAGCTCTGTAGGGGGTGACATTTTGCCACATCCCCACTGGATGAGCTGGTGATAATCTTTGTGCAGACCAGGATCAAATATGAGATAAGATGATGTCCTTCACCGGGCTATGCCATCATTTATTTATCATTGTATTCATGAATTCATAGCAGTTTGAGGGGTTTATGAAATAATTATTTTTGTTTTCTTCAATCATTTGGTTTACTTCCCTTTAATCTGTGATGTTTATGCATATTCAGAGAATTATTAATTTTGTGTTCCTACACTTCTTTAGGGTTTTGGAAAGGGTAGGAATGAAATCATATTTTTTGTCATAATAACTTGCCTTTAGTTTAGATAATCAAATCAATGTTTGTTTGGAAATGTTTTTAAAATGGCTAAAAAAAGGGTTTTAGATAACCAAAACCGATTATGACAATACATTTAGCAAAAAATGTTAAAATGTTCCTTTGCCATCTTTAGTATTTTTGGAGAATCACCTTGAACACTAACTTTATAAAAGTTTCAACATCTTCTAATAAAAATGTTTATAAGCAGAAGTACATGTGACTTATCAGTTTTCCCAATCTCTCTTGCTCCTTCACCTTTTTTAATTTTATGGTAAAGTTGCTCTTTCACTTTTTATCTCTTGCTTTATAACAAAATTGTATTAGAATAAGTTTTATTCCAAGCGATTGGAGGAGGGGATTTACACAAACATTAATTACATGCTTGCGGTTTCGAACTTCTGTTCGCATGGAGTTGAACTCTAGGAAAGTTGGTGGAATTAACCACTGGAGAAAAAATTTGGCAAAAAAAAACATTCCAATGGATTAAAAAATAAATAGGAAAACACATATTCCGAAAAGGGAAAGAAAAAGGTAAATAGCTCAAAATGCCACTCTTTTTATAATTTTAACTGAAAATACCACCCCTCCCCAATTTTTTTACAACTATCACTTATAAATAAATATTTATTGTCCAATTATTGCACACATCACTTTTTTTGAAATTTAGTTCTCTCTCTCTCTCTCTCTCTCTCTCTCTCTCTCCATCTAGCTAACTACGCATCTTCTCACGAAGAAGAAAATCAAGAACAACCTACAAAACGCACAGCTTTGCCCTCAAAACCCAGTTCTTCCTCTTCCTCTCTGTTTTCTTCTCTACCCAAATCCAAACCTCAACTTCGTCTCTCTTCGAATCCCTTCTGCAACCTAAACAAACCCAAACAAAACCATATTTTCTGAATATGACAGCATGTCTTGGCATTAGGTGGCCATTGTTTGAGCATTTTGGTCCAATTTTGGGGGGTTTTGAAGTCTGGGTTTACATGCCCTCTTCAAGAACAGCTTCTCCAGAAAATGAATTGTTGGTAATATGTAAGTTTTGATGTTAAATAACAAATGTGTTTGTTCTTTGTTGATTGATTCTTGCATTTGGTATTGAGATTTCTATGAACTTATAATTATATCATAGTGAGGTAGCATTGTTGATTTGCTATTGCAATCGTATTGTGATATTATTGCGATAGTATTGTAGTGGGATTGCTTTTGTATCGCTACGGTATTGCTGTTATATTGATTTTTTTGGGTGTTTTATTGATATGTTACTGTAATTTAATAGGAATATATGTTGATATCATTTTTCTTTATCTGCTTGTGATTTGAGTAGGAGTTGAGATTATTCTCGGTTGAAGTATTATTTAGGATCTCTCTCTCTCTCTCTCTCTCTCTCTCTCTCTCTCTCTGCTCTTCATATTTTTCTCAACATTTATGTGTTAATTTAATGCTTGGTATTATTTTGGAACCATAATCATTGTCAATCTCATTGTTTCTTTAAAAGTTTGCCGTGAAATTGTTACTCCATTTTCTTCTTTCCTTTCTTTTAAGATATTTTTGTTTGGAGAAAAAGAACTCTGTTTTTGTAATCTAAAAGACTAGGTACTCATGGTGAGTGTTTTCTAATCAACAAGATCCAGACTTTATTTATGTCAATTTACTACTTTTGCACTTAAATTTTGGCTGTCTAAAATTTGAAAAGTCTTGTATGCCAGCAGTGTATCTATGTCACACATCTTGGGTAAAAGGTATTCTTCAATTGTGATAGTTTGCTCTGTTGTACATATTGAAACTGCCTCAAAATATTTTCATTGGTGTCTTGAGTTCAATACCAACAAAAGTTTTTAAATGACAAGAAATTATGAAAAGCTTATACATAACAGACATATAGTTGAACATAGCTAGAGTGTATATTTAGAAGATGTCATTGTGCTTCAAATTAGCAAATTTGTGGGGTGAAAGCACAATGGTTGACAAGTCATTCTGCATTTGATGAAAATAATTGATGACTTTGTATGGAAGTATACTCATTAAATATCTTAGATTCTATCAATGAATGAAATATTTGCCTTCAAGAGCTTCATGTTTTTTGGTTTGTTTTGTCAAGTATCTTATATTCTATAAATGAATGAAATATTTTTGTAGATTGGAGAGACTAGTCAGCTAGTGGATTTTGCATCATGACTTTTGAGGGGGGGACTAGGCTTGAGCAGCTGCAAGAGTAAAAGGGATGATGCTTCATGTAAATTCAACAATTAAATAGGAGATTTTTGTTTTCAATTTGTTAATTCTTGAGATACTTGGTCATTTTTTAAGATTACGTGAAATAAAAAACTTGTATTGAATATTATTGTATAGGAGACCATGTAATTATTTTGATATCATTAAATGAAATTTTAATTCAATTTAGTTGAAAACTTTGGGATCTTGAGCAAGAGACGGCAGTCACGTATACAACAGTTTTGAAACATAAAAGACGACATGTAAGAATGGTTAATTTTGACGATATCCATAGTTGCTTCCACTCCATTGTAATGTCATGTAGATTAAAAAGTGGCAATAGACATGCAATACAAAAGCAATATGAAAGTAATAAACAAGCAATAAAGCGGCAACAGACAACCAATGCAAAAGCAATAAAATGGCAATAAACAAGTATCTTCTGGATGTCTTTGTACTCTCTTTCCCATATTATATAATGTTCTAATTGTTGAACTATTACAATATTCAGTTGTTACAGATAATAAATAGTACATAAAAAATAATAACCATGTATGAAAATTTCATATCATTATAATAATGACCTCAAAAACAATATTAAGTACATTACACATATATTAGAAATATTCGGCTCCACAAGAAGAATACATAATGTCTTAGATGTCCTTACTAATTCTTGGGGCCTAATAACAAGCATAATCAATGATGTGTACAGTTTGCTGCAAGTTTGCTTAGCATTTTCATAATAGAAGCTTTGCTTTTGTCTTCAGAAGGCATCTCAAAGAACTTCTTGTCTACACATTACATTATGCACAAAATGGTCTCCAATGCCAGTGTATGACTTGCACATCAGTGTCTGCACAAACCAGCTTAAACACATTGTGTAACTGTTAACCTCAAATTTGTTCTTCACAAGGAAACGAGTTGGGTGCGGCTTTTCTTTTAAAAGAAAAAGAGAAAGAAACATAAATTTTCAAGACAAAACTGCAGCAAATTATAATTTGGTCAAGTACTCACTGTCGGGAAACAATATGCTTTCAATGAATAAATAACATATTAATTTCAACCAACACTACTGTACAACTCATCTCAGAAATATGATTGAGATTTGACAAACATACAGGTAGAAGATCCAATCCATTAAAACACTCACATGCAAAAAGCGAACCTAAATTATACGCCGACTCAAGCTACAAAAACCCACCTTGTTGAGCACCAGTCAACAAGTTTTATAGGCAAATTGAAATCATGTAGAAATTACTTCAGTAGTAACACCTTCATTTTTTCAACCAAAGATGCTAGCTTCCTTTCAAAATCAAAAAGCACATTCAATTAGTCCCAAGATGTGGTACATAGATACCTAGTCTTTTAGATTACAAAAATAGAGTTCTTTTTCTCCAAACAAAAATATCTTAAAACAAAGGAAAGAAGAAAATGAAGTAACAATTTCACAGCAATCTTTTAAAGAAACAATGAGATTGACAATGATTATGGTTCCAAAACAATACCAGGCATTAAATTAACACATAAATGTTGAGAAAAATACGAAGAGCAGAGAGAGAGAGAGAGATAGAGATCGTAAATAATACTTCAGTCAAGAATAATCTCAACTCCTACTCAAATCACAAGCAGATAAAGAAAAATGATATCAACATATATTTCTATTAAATTACAGTAACATATCAATAAAACACCCAAAAAAATCAATATAACAGCAATACAACTACAATACTATCGCAATAAAATCACAATACGATTGCAATAGCAAATCAACAATGCTACCTCACTATGATATAATTATAAGTTCATAGAAATCCCAATACCAAATGCAAGAATCAATCGACAAAGAACAAACACATTTGTTGTTTCAGACAAACAAAATCAATCCCAATACTTCACTTTCTACACAAAATACAGACGAGGGCATGTAATCAAATTCCAATTTCAGTAATCAAATTCAATTTAACATCAAAACTTACATATTACCAACAATTCATTTTCTAGAGAAGCTGTTCTTGAAGAGGGCATGTAAACCCAAACTTCAAAACCCCCCAAAATTGGACCAAAATGCTCAAACAATGGCCACCTAATGCCAAGACATGCTGTCATATTCAGAAAAGATGATTTTGTTTGGGTTTGTTTAGGTTGCAGAAGGGATTCGAAGAGAGATAAAGTTGGGGTTTGGATTTGGGTAGAGAATAAAACAGAGAGGAAGAGGAAGAACTAGGTTTTGAGGGCAAAGCTGTGGGTTTTATAGGTTGTTCTTGATCTTCTTTGTGAGAAGATGCGTAGTTAGCTAGAGAGAGAGAGAGAGAGAGAGAGAGAGCTAAATTTCAGAAAAAGTGATATGTGTGCAATAAGTGGACAATAAATATATATTTATAGGTGATAGTTGCAAAAAAAAATGGGAAGGGGTTGTATTTTCAGTTAAAATTATAAAAAAAGACGGCATTTTGAGCTATTACCCTTAATACAATATCAGATCATATTTTAGTGCAAACAGATCATAACTATGTGAGGGTTCCTACATTGTAATCCATTCCAACCATTATCTAACGCAAACTAAATTGCCTTTATCCATTCTTTTAATGTAGCATGATTATTCGTTCTAGAATGTTGTCTGGAGAACTTGGAAACAAGATGCAGCTGCTACATTTTTACAAATGCATATGGAAATACAAATAAAAACATAATGAAATCAGAAAGTCCAGAAAGAAAGAGCATCATATGGTAGAAAGAGAAAAGAAAGAAAGAAAAAAAACCATCATATTATGCATTAATCTTCAAACCATAAAAAAACCCATTTCAGGAAAACATTAAAAAGAACAATTTACATACCTGAAGCTTGAGCTTTGATATGAAGAAATCCAAGCTTCCTGGCATGTGGGTCCCTCTTGGAATTAGAAAATTTGAGAACCTGACCGCGCAGAAGAGGTTTTTCTGTAAACCTACTTTGGGATAAAGAGGGTATTGTGGTTACAGTTGGTGAGTGCAAGGAGCAAGCCTCCATTGCAATGGAATTCAAGTGCTCAGTTCAGTAGTCACCAAAAGTCTAGAGCTTCAAACAATTGGAGACAAATAAACGGTTTTATTATCTTCTAATAACTTTTTTGAGTTTGGCAGATGTGGCACCCTCCACAGTCCATCGATATGATGGACCCCGCGCCAAATTTCCTCTGTCAAATTGTGGCTTGGCGGCTGTAAATTGCTACACTTCGGTTTTTTTCTGTTTCTTTGTAAATAAATTTTTTTCACAACAAAAGGTGCGGAAAGACAAAAAAATTGAACCAACACTACTACATTTTACGCTTTGCGCGACAAAGAGACTTTCGTCGCGAAACGTTACCTTTAGTCGCACAGAATTCTGCGCGACAGAAGTTTCGTCGCGCAAAGAGCATGAAGAAAGACTTTGCGCAACCAATTTTTTCCTTCGTCGGGCAAAACTGTGCGACGTAGCACATTCGTTACAAAAAGGGTTTCGGGACGACACAACTGTTCGACACACAAACCTTTGCGCGACGAAAGGGTATTCATCGCAACAACCATGCGCGACGGAAACTTTTGTCACGCGAGATTCGTGTCCCAAACATTTGCACGACGAAAGGTTCTTCGTCGCGCCATTACCCTTTGTGCGACGAAAACCCGTCGTCGGGCATACATATTTCGAGCGACGAAAGACTTTGTCGCGCATGATTAAATTAAGTGTTATTAAAATTTATTTTTTTACGTTTTTTAAAGTAAATTTGCGCGACGAGATATGTTTCGTCGCTCAAAATTAATATATATTATATAAATTTAATATTACGTTTTTGTTTTTAATTTTGTAAAAAAATAAATTTGGGTTTTTTTTTGTAATAAAATGAAATTGCAATAAATAAAAATGAATCGTAAAGAATACATTTGTTATATAAAATAAAATAAATGTATACTACAAGAGAAATATTTTAAAAATAATTATGAAAATAAAAAACTATTCAAATAATGTTCCAAAATCTACATGGTCGTCTGCCACATGCGGCTCGGAGGTCTGGGCGTTTACAGGGGTCGTGGTCTGGTGGGGATGCTCGGGATGGACGGGCTCAGAGGTCAGCGCACCAAAATTCGGGATTGGAATGCCGAACCGCGCTAGGGACTGCAGAATCACCGACATCTAACCCTCAAGCTCGGCAACCCGCGATGTCAAAACAATTACCTGACTTTTTGCTTTTGATGATGACTGGGGTCGAGGTTCCCTCTGTCGGGCATTCCCCATCCCTCTACAATATGTTCCCGGCCTCCTCCCGAGAGTCTGATCCAACGTCTCCGTCAAGATATGAAATCTAGCATCCTGTGGAGGATCCACAGACTAGATCGGAGTCTCGGGAGGCGGACTCTTGAAGAACCAACTGGCTCCTCTCCACCATTGTCGTGTGTTCATTCCCAGGTCGAACATAAACGTCACCAAAGACGTCGATCTCTTGGAATTTCTACCCCCCCACCCTAAATTGAACAAGAGAAGAAAAATATTGGTATGAACAAAATAAATTAATAATAATGACATATTAAAAATTAAATATAAATTATTTTATTATTACCCGCCGCCGTGCATCCATCCTATATGAGAAGGGCCTGGAGCCGGAATGGTAGAGAATAGTCTTCTTCTTCCTATTGCCCTTATTCACTTGGGCTTTATTCTGTTATACAAAAAATAAAACGTATTATTTGAAATATAAAAAATTAAATAAAAATGAAATAAACATTAATAAGAAATATTTAATAATTAAACAAATATTATTAAAAAATACCACATAATCGGGCGCCTGAAAATGAGCGCAGAGCCACGCCCAACTATCCTCCTGCCCCTCAAGCTCCTTCGGGCAACCCTCCTGAAGAGCGACTTGCGGATCATCAAACGCCTCAAAATGGTTGTGCAAGTCGCTCTTCCACTGCTTGTACCTCTCAGCGAAAAGTCTGTTGACATACGCCAATGACTCCTCGTCGAGGTCCTCTAAGTTGTAGTTCGTCTGCAATAAATTAATTACAAACATTAAGTAATAGAAATATATAAAGTTTGAAAGAAAAATAATTAAAAGGTAGGATACATACCGACAACTGGCCACGAACCTCCATCTTAATCTCGTCAGGCATAACCTTCCAAGACTTCCATTGCATCGGGCAATGGGTCCAAACGACGTGGCCAATGTCATAGGCCAAGGAGCTATGCAACTCCGCCATCGGTGCAGCCCGATGGCGCTCGTTGTATCCGATGTTGATACGACTGTTGGTCACTCGAGTAACCTTCGCCGTCTTCAGCTACCAACACGGCCCTCGGGTGTTCTTCTTGGCTGCAAAGAGATATGACAATAATGTTAAATAAATAACAAATTTAACTATAAAATTCACTATACAAAAAATTAAAAAAAGAACTACAGTTAAAGGATATCTATACCTGGCTGTGACTCTGAGGCACCAATACCGTCGTTCGATGTAGGGTCGGAGGTGCTGGCGGACCGATGCCGCCGCCTAGCGCTAACAGGCTGTACCACTGATGAAGTTGATGATACAGGCGCCTGGGATCCCCCGGGACCAACTGGCATGTGATCCATCAGTGCTGGAGCAATGGCAGCAGATGCCGGCTGAGCCTGGGCTCCTTACTCGGTGTAGTCGTCACCGCCCTACAACGCGTAATCAAGTTTGATATCTGCACAATTTCATTAATACACATACAAATTTACAAATATATACTTAAGCACATACAATGTCATTAAGAATTTGAACTAATTAATTAAAAACATAGCTTGACCTAGGGTTTGCGATTTCGGAGTATCCGGGACTCCGATCCACGATCCGTCGAATCCTACACGATCCTAGAAATACAAGGTACAACATACGTGAGTTTGAGTTTGATCCAACGGTCCGAACATACCAAACCCGGAAATCGCACAATAGGCAAAATCTGTTCGAGACTCAAAACGGTAATCAATTCCAATCTGAACACACCTATGCGCTCGTGACAACTAAGGGATTAAACTGGGACCCAATGCACACTGCAACAGCATCCCATGCGACACCACACGCACCTGCAGTGTGTGGGTGTCTAAAGCGATAACAATCGACGGAATTTTCTACAAATTAAGGGCCAAGGTTCCTACCCTATGTTCAAAACATCAATTGGAGACACTTTTGTTATCGGGCCTACCCCGAAAAATGGCCAGAAGAGGCCGGAATTTCAATTCAAAAACCGGCTGAAACCTAGGGTTTCAAATCCATTGCCCTATTCAAACAATTAATGAAACCCTACCCAACCATCAGCTAAAGCATCAAAAATAGTCCAGAAACCATACCTCAATTGTTGGATTTGGTGGCTGGATGAGAGAGAACGAGGCCGGCGAAGATTCGGTGCAAACCGAGCAAATAACGGCGGCAGGATAGACTGAAATGGCGGGGAAGCTCCGGGGCTCGAGGGTTGTGGCGGCCCGGTCTCAATTGCGGCGGAGAAGTGGTTGAGGTGATGGCGGGGAGAGAGAGAGAGAGAGAGAGAGAGAGAGAGAGAGAGTTAGGGTTAATTTGAAAAACTGGGGAAGAAGGAGAAGCTCGCGGCGTGTCTGAAAACTTATTCGACTTTGTGCGACGAAGAACTAAAAGCGTCACGCAAAATGTTTTAAATGAATTTTGCACGACGAAAGGAAACAAATTTTCGTCGTGCAATGTTGTAACTCCGCCAAAATTTGGAATTAGGGTTTAGGCTTTGTCCACTTTGCGTGACGAACAAACACTTGTTGCGTCGCGCAAGGTTGTCCATTCACCAAAATTTTGGGACTCAGGGTTTGCGCCGGGAGATAAATTAAATGAGCTTGCGCGACGAAAGGATAATAGTATCGTCGCGCAAGCCTTCGTTCAGTACACTTTGTGCCACGAATTGAGGGTAGTTTGTCGCGCAATCCTGTGATGGCCAAAAATTTGGTTTAAGTGTTCCGTTGGGGAGTGAAATGTCCGAACGAGATTGCGCGATGAATAAACTATTATCGTCGCGCAAGCCTTTGATTGCCAAAAATTTGGTTTAAGTGTTCCGTTGGGGAGTGAAAGGTCCGAATGAGATTGCGCGACGAATAAACTGTTATCATCGCGCAAGCCTTCATTCTGTACACTGTGCGCGATGAATGATCGTCATTTTCGTCGTGCAAGCCTTCATTTGCCAAAAACTTGGTTTAAGTGTTCCGTTGGGGAGTGAAAGGTCCGAATAAGATTGCGCGACGAATAAACTATTATCGTCGCGTAAGCTTTCGTTTTGTACACTTTGTGCGACGAATGATCATCATTTTCGTCGTGCAATCCTTTGATTGCCAAAAAATTTGGTTTAAGTGTTCCGTTGGGAAGTGAAAGGTCTGAATGCAATTGCGCGACAAAGAAAGAATATATTCATCGCGCAAACCTTTGTTCTGTACGCTTTGCGCGACGAAGAAATTATTTTGCGTCGCGCAAAGTGTAACCCTAAACCCTTGACCCTAAAACCTAAACCCTAAACCCTAAACTAGTTTCAATGATCCAACCGGCAAACTTGTTTTTTTATACTTCGAGATCGTATAGATCGAAAATCGGAAAAAATAAACATTCAGAGATTAAGTAACAGGACAAAACTTTTCAACGGTTATAAAGGAAAAGTCACGATTTAACGGTTATTTTAACTCTGATTTTGAAACATTTTTACAGCTGCATTTCTTGACCGAATATGAATACAATGACTGAATTTGATCTTCAATTTAAGATATTTACACTAGGGGATATCACATAATCTTATGTTATATTTAAGGAAAGTATAAATAAACTCCTCATTATTGGTGAATATTGTGTTTTGATGGCATACGCATTCTACGAAACTAGTTTCAGTAATCCAGCCATCAAACTTGTTTGTTTATACTTCGAGATCATTGACCCCAAAAATCGGAAAAAAAAAAATTCAGTAATCAAGCAACGGGACAAAACTTTTCGACGGTTATAAAAGAAAAGTCATGATTTAACGGTTATTTGAACTCCGATTTTGATGATTTTTTTACAGCTACACTCCTTGACCCTATATGAATACAATGAACTAATTCGATCGTCAATTTCAAATATATACGTGTGTATATATTACAAATATATATATATATTTGTGCGACGAGATGAGTACCTACTGCATCGCGCAAAATAAGTGCGACGATGCCTCCTTCATCGCGCAAGGATTTGGCGGCATGTCAGATTGTTTATCATTTTCATTTTTTAAAAGTGTTTTGTGAAAATAATTTTAAAAACTATTATTAAAATGGTTTGGATATATTGATTTACCAATGTTTTATAACTAAATTTATTTTAATAATGTTTTATTTCTCCACATATATAATGTTTGGATATAACAACTACATATATTCAAACATTTGTATTACACAAAATATGTACACTAACATAATAAAATTACAAAAAAAAAATCATTATTCATCATCTGAACTATAATAACTTTCGTTATCGTCGCTATCATCACTTTCGGTCTCCCAATCCTCCTCCTCTTCCTCTATGACTACATCATCGTCGTCGGTCGGGCACACTGCAACATCTTATCGCAGAAGATCACTGAGGTCAATTGTAATTGACTGAATCAGTATTTCGATTGAAGACACTCCTTATATTTGAAACGGTTCTTGTATAACATTTGTATCTCGAAGTGTTTCCGCATCATTTTCTATTGAAGATTCTAAACGTTGGTCAGCCACATTGTCGACGTCATTGTCAATTGGGTCTAGTTCTGGTATAGCATACATGTTCCTATGATCCATCTTTTGAACAACTTTCCAACTGCTCCCGGCTTTAGGGTCATCTAGATACACAATTTGTGTTGCCATGTTTGCCAAAATGTAACGGTCGTCATCATACCAAGTTCTGTTAATGTTCATAGATAGTAAGCCATGATCGATTTTTACACTTCCCGGCCTATTTGGGTTAGTGTCAAACCGTCGACACTTAAACATGATCATTTGGTATCGATATTTGTAAAGCAATTGCACGACAGTTGTGAGTTTGCCATAGAAATCAATGTCCATACTTTGTAAAGCAATTGCACGACAGTTGTGAGTTTGCCATAGAAATCAATGTCCATACTTTCGCCTCCACCTAGGACATGGACACCGCTGTTTTGCGTACACAACTTGTCATCTCGTGCAACCCCCAAAAATTTGACGCCATTAACATTACAACCCGAGAACAATTCAGCGCGAATCGGGCAGAACGCCAAGTTATATAACTCATCACTGTAAGTGGGGGAATTCGATGATTTCAACTTATTCACCTAATATTATACAAAACCATTCACATGTGAGGCTGACAAAATTAAATACTACAATTTATATTTGTCAAATAAAAAATACTTATAACTTACAGAATCCAAAAACCATTGTGGAAACAATTCACGGTGTTTCTGGGCAACCAAATGTGATGGATGTTCTCGCTTCATTATCTCTTCATGCTCATCTAAGTATGCCATGATCTCATCACAATTGTTCAGTACGAACCAATGCGCTACCTCCATGTCATTTCTAAAAAACGACTCTCCTCGTCCTGGATCTCCAAAGGGACGTGTGCTTTGGGCAAAAACAGAAAGTTTTTCATTTCTCATACCTCCGTCATTATTGCGCTGAGGACGAGTGAAAGCCGTCTCCACATCTTTTAAATACATTCCACAGAAAGTAAGCGACTCATATTGAACCCAAGCCTCTATAATTGATCCTTCGGGCTTCGCCCTGTTGTGTACACTTTTTTTCAGATGTCCGAGAAGTCTGCCAAAATAAAACGATATCATACAAATTAGCAAGCATGTGATAATGATGCATACACAAACGATAAGGATTATATACCTTTCTATTGGATACATCCAGCGATAGTTGACAGGACCAACAAGCAATGCCTTTTCTGGGAAATGAACCATCACGTGCATCATACTTGTGAAGAAAACTGGAGGAAATATCATCTCAAACTTGCATAGGACTTGGACAATGTCATGGCGCAACTGAAACATGTCCGTCTTTCGCAATATTTTTACCGTCAGTTGGGAAAAAAATCTGGACAACAACATGATTGACTTCACTACATCTTCCAACAATAGGTGTCGAATACCCACAGGAAGTAAACACATGGCAGTCATGGCTCTTAAGTCCAGTAAATTTACCCCCGTCAACCTTCACGCACCGTGCGATATTAGAAGCATACCCATCAGGAAACTTTACAGACGATACAAACTTTAGAAACTCTTTCTTGTCATTTGGTTTCATATAAAAGAATGCAAGATCCCTTCTAGCTTTATCATTGTCCCTATTCAACCATAAACCCCTTCGTATACCCATTCTTTCCAAATCAAGACGAGCTTTGATCGTGTCCCTTGTCTTGCCCTTGATATCTAGAATCGTGCCAACCAATGTATCGAATACATTTTTCTCAACATGCATCACATCTAGATTGTGCCTCAGTTTGAGTTTCGACCAATATGGGAGCTCAAAAAACATAGGCTTGTGCGTCCAGTTCATATGTGTAGCAGGTCTAGTTTGACTAACTGTTTTCCCGAACGGAGCAAAATCCAACCAGAAGTTACATCTTCCTTGCATACAGGACATGCCATATAACCCTTTATGCTCCACCTAGAAACCATTGCGTATGCTAGAAAATCATTCACAGTCCACATAACTACTGCCCGCAAAGTGAATATCTTCCCAGTTGATTTATCGTACGTGCGAACATCGTTTGTCCATAAATCCTTCAGCTCATCAACCAGCAGCCTTACGTAAACATCGATTGAGCTGCTAGGATCCTCAGTTATCAAAACAGTCATCATCATGTATTCTTTTTTCATGCATTTCCAAGGCGGCAAATTATATGGGAATATGAAAATCGGCCAAGTGCTGTGGTGTTGGTTTAAAACCCCATACAGATTGAATCCATCAATGGCAAGTCCCAATCTAACATTTTGGGGATCATCAACAAACTCGGGGAACGTTCGACCGAACTCTTTCCATGCCTCCCAATATGCAGGATGCCGCATCACATCATCGTCTACCCGTTTTTCATTATGCCATCTCATATTATAGGCAGTATGCGTCGACATATACAATCGCTGCAACCTAGGTTTCAGGGGCAGATAACGCATGACTTTTTGTGAGATCTTAGTCGTTCTATTCTGAGATGTTATTTTGAACCTCGACTCATTGCATATAGGGCATGTATCCAACGTTTCATGCTCTTTGTAGAATAACATGCAATTGTTTTTGCAAGCGTGAATTTTTTCATAACCCAATCCAGGACTATTCAACACCTTCTGCGAGTGTTTATGATCTTTCGGACAACAATTGTCTGTCGGAAGCATTCTCTTGAAAACCCCCAAAAAGTAATCAAAACACAAGTTCGACATACGATACTTTATTTTCCCGTGCATTAGCTCCACAATGGCCGTGAGAACGGAAAAGCTCTCGCACCCCGGGTATAACTCTTGGTTGGCATTTTTTAATGGTTTTTCATATTGTTCAAACTCTGCACTGTCTATTGGTGTAGGCACGTCATCTTCCCCGTCCTGATTGATGTTGGTCGATGCAAATGGAAAAACATCCTGTATAATATCCATAACTTGATCATTATGATCCACAATAGGTTCAACATTGTCCACTCTTGTGGCATTTGAAGACGAAGCATGGTCTAATTGTTCCCCGTGAAGGTTCCAAATGCTATATGTCTCAATCATTCCATTCCTTACTAAATGTAATCCAACATTTTCAATTGTCTCCCACAACGTGTTGTTACACATCTTACAAGGACAACAGATTCTAGTTGCACCCTTGTTGTGTCTACGTGCAAACTCAATAAAATTCTCGATTCCATCCAAGTATTCGTCTGCGCATCTATTTGGGTTCTGTATCCACCTTCTGCTCATAATTTCTGAAACCACAATCATAACACAACAATCACAACAACTTCATACGAAGTTATAATGTCACCTTATGCCTCCGGTAAGGGCCCTATCCCATTCGGGAATGCATAGCCCTGCCACGTAACCTACGACTACATGAGATTAGATTTCGACGTGGATGAATTTCGACAGTATCTCAATCCAATTCTTGAGGTGGGCATATGTGTACCATCCGAAGAACGTACCGAGATGACACCGAAATCTCCACAATCGAAACTTAATCATGTAGCCGTAGATTACGTGACAACACTGTGTATTACCAAACTGTCCAAATAATGGGACAATTCAAGAATGAATTGGACCGCAGTAATGCTTTACGCATCCATGCACGAAATCCAACTAATCTCGAACGGAAAACTAAGTGTTACTAAAAAATAATAATAAAAGTACGAAGTTAATTTCAATTAACTTTGTACATCACAACACATTGTGCTACGTCACTCACAATTTAACAACATAATGTAAATATAACAAACTAAGTTCAACATAATGTAATTAATTTAATATAAAATGAATAAAATACCTTCTCAATCGCTCTCCACTATCGCAAATTACAAATATCTATAATGAGAACAAAATTAATACCGTTAGTACGAATTTACATTAACACTTTTAATCAAATGACAAATAATACTTACCAATGAGCGTATTGAATTCCCAGCAGTTGCAGCAGCACAGACAGAGGAAGGTTCGAAATGGCAGAAATTTTGCAAATTTTTTTTGCATTCTGCCTCTGCAATGGCAGAATGCAAAGATATAGGCGAAGGATTTTGCACCACGAAACAACATTTTCTTCGCGCAAGCACCTGTCAACATCGACCTTTTGCGCGACGAAATTTCTTTGTCGTCGCGTAAACTCTTAACAGCATGGCACATGTGCAAATTTCCGTCGCACAAGTACGTGCCGACATCAACCCTTGCTCGACGAATCATACTTCCGTCGCGCAAATATTTGGCGCAAAAAAAAAAGGTATCGCACGTTTTTCTGTCCACCTTAATGCGACAGAATTCAAAACCATCGTCCAAAGATATCTTCCGCGACGATCACCATCGTCGCGCAAATATTTGGCGCCAAAAAAATAAACCCGGTTTTTCCTTCCCCACTTTGCACGCGAAGTTACTATGCGCGACCAAAATGTTCGTCGCGCAAATGTTTGGTGCCAAAAAAAATAAACCCAGATTTTTCTTCCCCACTTTGTGCGACGAATCATTTGTTTGTCGCGCTAAGGTTCTTTGCGCGACCAAAAATTTCGTCGCGCATGTTTTCATCTTTTTGCACAAGGAAATTTTTTTTCCGTCGCTGGAGTGTCTTTTGCGCGACGAATTTTCATTCGTCGTGCAAATAGTAAAATGTAGTAGTGCAAACCGGTATTGAAAAGAAGGAAAAAAAAAGTGTTTCCAAAAACGGTTAGATTGAACTTAATGAGTAATAACCTGAGAAAATGTTCAGAAATCGTACCAGAACCCAAGACGACCAAAAAAATTGCAAAACCTAAAGGGAGACAACAGCATGAAGCAAGCAAAACACATCACTAAAACTCATCACCAGAAACAGCATCAGAACCCAGAACTCATCACTCAAACTAAAGTAAGATGAAGCAAGCAAAACATAGAAATTGAGGCAAAGAAATATTTATACCTTCATTTTTGCCTATTAAACCAAACCCACAGAGACTAAGCACAACAACTGAAAAATTTTAAAAAAAATTTTGCTTTAATTTCAACAGAATACCAAAATTTCGAAACCCTAATAATCTACTAAATTGGGGGAAAATGAAAACAACTAAGAATTCAAACCAAATACATACAAATTTACCTTAGAATAACCAGAGCCCTCCATAATTTGCAAGGATTCGCTCCAAAAACCAATGAAATTGGATGATGTTTGGAGAGAGAATGAGTCTCTCGACTCTAAGAGACTTAAAGAGATGACTAAAAGAGAGAGAGAGAGAGAGAGAGAGAGAGAGAGAGCACAATATAGACGAATCGAGAGAGAGACAGAGACCGCGCGCGATAGAGACGGACGACGACCGATGAGGTTAGGGTTAGTCTCAGATCTAAAGAGAAATGGTGTATGGGTTGATTTTTTTTCGTGCGTTCGTGAGGAGTAATTTTTGGGTGTTCGGGTAGGCTGGTGTACCATCTAATAGACGGAAGACATATAGAATATTTGCAATGCAGTTCGCCATATGTTATAAAAAGAAATGCAGTAAGTTAGACAATAATTTCACATGTCCTATGTTTATTGGATGGTACACCAGCCACGTGGTATACTCGGAACATATAAAAATTTCACGTGAGTGAGAGAGTCAAAGGGTTACTGAAAAAATAAAAAATAAAAAATTGAGAGAAGTTCTGATATAGTGCAAGTAGACCCACCCAAAGTTCTTATTTAAGCCAATCAAACAACGCCATGTGTCAAATGGATATATAATTAAATAATGGTTGGTTCGGGTCAAGTCCAAGGGTTCAAAAAATTTTAGACCCGAAGCTTGAATTGAAGTCAACGGTTCGATTCAAGTCCAGCGTTGACTTTTTCGGTTGGTAAAAAAAAACCTTATTTTTCAGTTTGGTTCGGTTTGGTTCAGTCGGTTTGTTCGATTTATCTGTTTTTATGCCCACCCCTAGCTGGGGCCTCCATGATGGAAGCTAAGCTAGCCGCATGGATTGACATGCCCTTCTCGGCATACCATTTTATAAAAAAAACTAAAAAAAACATTTTATATATTGTAAGCCTTATGAACACCACAAAATAATATTTTCTTGTTGGTCTCTGAGAAGAAAAAATATTTTTCTGGTTGGAGATTTTGTGAAAAGTTTAGCAGTTGACTTGATTGGTAGGCAAAAAAATTGTCCACAATGTTAACTCCGACCAGACCAAATCAATCCGAATTTTTTATTTTCCTTATTATAAATAACTATAATTTTTATTGAACTAAACTAAACCGCAATAAATTTAGAGGATTAAATTTATTTGAAGCTAAGCTAAATTAAACTAAACCGCTTATATAATTTCTTCTTAACTTGGGATTTTCTTGTTGGTTATTATCATTTACTATTATGTTTCGTAACATGCATCAATCATTTGAATTTAACGTTATCTTTCTCTCCAAATTTCTCTATCTTAAAAAAAGAAAAAAGAAAAAAGAAAAAAAGTTTCTCATCTGTTCCATTTTGAAATTTCAAACAACGTGAGATGGAGAGTTTTCTAGTCTAGTCTCCATATGTAACGTGACTGACAAGTTTAACCACATAAACCACGACCACCGACGCCAACCAGCCCCAGACAGGACCGGCCTGAACCACCATCCCTTCCCCATCACTCCCCAACCAACCCCACAGCCGCAACAGCCACGAAGCAGAAGAAACCGCCGGTTTTAAATGAAAAGTCACTGGCTCCGTTCCCTCTCCTCCGGCCACCAATCTTGAATAGTGAGGTATGGATTTCCACCTATTTTTCATGCTCTAGATGATGGTTGGATAAGATTTGATCAATTTGTAGCGTAGGCAACTCGATTTTCGAATTGAATTTTGGCTGGTTTTCAATTCGAAAATCCGACCACTTCTGGCCATTTTTCGGGATATGCCCAAGAACAAAAGTGGTTCCAAATGATGTTTTGAACCTAGGGTAGGAAGCTTGGCCCTTAATTTTGAGAATTTTCTGGCGATCGTTATTGCTTTGGACACCCACGCGCTTCCCGCGCGTGGGCACTGTAGCAAAGGGGCATTGTGTCCCAATGCGATCCCTTAGTTGCCACGAGAGCGTAGGTACTTTTGGATTCCAATTTGGTTAACGTTTGAACCCCAAAATTTCCGGGTTCGATATGTTTGAACCGTTGGATCATAGTCAATTTCATATATGTTGATCTAGACAATTCTAGGATCGTGTAGGATTCGACGGATCTTGAATCAGAGTCCCTGATAACCCGAAAATGCCAACCCTAGGTTTAGGTTTATAGTAACCGCCTGATTGTGTGATCGTGAGCAATCTGACTGTCCGATAGAGACCAAACTCTCGGGACATGTGTCCTAAGCATATTGGAACCTTTAGGAACTCTTGGATTGGAATTGGGAGGTCATGGACCCCACGGGCCTGGGTTGACTTTTTGGGACTTTATCGCTTTTGAGTCCCGGATTTTTGTAGACCATTCTAAACATGAGGAAAGCTTATGATGGTTTAATCAAGCACACAGGCTCAGGCAGTGAGTGGACTTTTGTTTTTATGAATGAATTTAAGCAATTCAATTTCATTATTTGATCTTGAATTAATAAATATTAAATAGCTCGAGTTTTTCTAGCATATTTTGCTGAGGTTAAATATTTTATTTATATTCTGCCGAGTTGAGAACACTTAAAGAACATGGAAAATAAGAATTTCAGAGAACTATCAGATGGGATGGCAACAGATTTTTAAGATAAAAAGAATTTGTTTTATTTATTCCAAACCCTCCAGAAATTTATATTTTCTTAAAACCACCCTAGGTACCCAAATATAATAAATGTTGCCTTCGGTACTTCTGTTGCCTTCAGATAATTTGGTTGCATTCGATTAGGTCAACATGCTTGACTATGCCCCACGAGTCTTAGGGATATCTGGACCGTGTGGAGCAGGATTGCGGATCAGGGACTAAACGTCCCCTGAATCCTGCGAGGACTGCGGCTCGGGTCGACTTTGTGCTACCGAGACCTGCGAGGACGTGTTACCAATGGTGACACGAGGAATTGACAGTTATTTGTGGGATTAAACGGAAATAAAGGAATTGACGGAAATAAAATGGGTACGCCTAGATATGAATGCGTGATTTTTGTACAAATATAGATAAGGAACTTGTTTAAGTTTTTTTGCAACTGTTTTTACTGCGGGGTTAGTACGTTCATAGTTAGTTTCAAAACTTTATTTTTGGTCGACTCACGTTTTTCAATGTTTTACGCCCCCAGGCAGTAGGCGTGCACCAGTGAGCCACCACTGGGCAGTTTCCACCTTTCGTCTCATCTTTTGCCGATGTAAGGTTATGTAGAATGGAATTATACCTGTAAATTAATATGTTTAGTTGCTCTGGTGTTGCCCTAGGATTCAAATTTAACTGTTGGAATGTAAATATATGCATGCTGGCAATTGGTTATATAAATATATGTTTGTTTTACAGGTGTAAACTTGGGAAATGATCGATTTACAAGGGAGACTCGGCAGAAGTCGAACCTAAAATAATTTGAATTTTGAATAGAAAGGCAATTTGGTCATTTGAGCCCAGCACCTGCCAGGTGTCGGACACGTAACAGGGTTCGGCTCGAATTCCAAAGTGGAATTTGGGTCGGGTCCTGTCACATGATAGTCATCTTGGAATATGTCGGAAACATTACCAATGAGAGAAGTCAAATTATTGAAACATTTGGGAATAGCACCTGAAAAGTTGTTGTGGCTAAGGTTGAGGATGTGAAGGTAGCCAAGATTGCCCAATTGTTGGGGAATATGTCCAATAAAAAATTTGGATCGCAATCGTAGCAGGTACAACATGGATACATTTGATCCTCCTATCCATGGAGGTATGCTCCCAGATAATTTGTTGTCTCCAAGATCGATACTTTTCAAAACGGAGCAATTGTGCAAAGAATCGGGAATATTACTGCCAAAATTGTTGTTATTTAACGTCAATATTTCAAGACAACTTAACAGCCCTAATGAAGTGGGAATATTACCAGAGAGATTGTTGTAGGCAGCATCTACAAGGCTTATCTGGCTCCTTGAACTCCATCGCGAGGGAATTCTCCAGAAATATGATTGCACCTCAAGGAAAGGACTGTCAAGTTTTGCATGTTGCAAATAGAAGGTGGAATTGTACCATTCAAATGATTCTCCGAGATATACAATTCTTTAAAGTTAGGCATTAGCTGGTCAATATTCGAGGGAATTGGCATGGAAAATAAATTGCTTTTGAGATCAAGGAAGGTGGTATAAGTGGACCATAGTGGGAGTGGGCCCTCAAGTTGATTATGATCCAAATTTAATGAACGTAACTTCAGAAATCTCATCAATTGGTTGGATGAAAGCCTTCCTCTGAATTGGTTGTGAGATAAATCCAGGTATACGAGTTGGGAAGATAGCTTCAACAATCATTCCTCTAGTATAGAATCTGATATTCCAATTCTCCTAAGGGTGACATCTGCCAGTTCAGTCTGACAATGAAGCCATACCCCAAAACAAGGACCTACTTTACAGTTTCTAATCCCAATATTGTGTAGCTTGAAAGGAGGAAACCAATCATAAGACACGTTGAAAACGAGGGACATGGGCTTTTGTATGTCATCGAAATAGTTTCCTATTGAAAGACTTTTCAAGTTGGTGAGATTAATGAAATGGGCTTCCGTTATATTGCCTTCCCAAGAATTCCCAGACAGATAGAGATCAAATAGCTCGGAGAGTTGTCCCAGACTTTGTGGAATGGATCCGTTCATGTGATTATCAGAGAGGTCCAAATACCGCAAACTTTTTAACATTCCTAAGGAGGCCGGCAATTGACCTTCCAGCCCGCAACCAGACAAATCTAGTGACTCTAATACTACTGTATTATTTAGACAATTTGACAAACTCCCCCAAAACTCTTCAATCCCCACACCATCAAAATTGTATTCCTAGAGACTTAATGTCTTTAGCTTACATAAGTTTCCAAGGACTCTGGGAACTCCACTATTTTTGAGGCCCAACTGAGATAAATCTAGGTATTCAAGAGATTTGAGATTTCCAAGTTAATCTGGAAAAGAAGCACCGAAAGAATTCGCTCTTAGATTAAGTTTTATGAGTCTAGTAAGATTGAAAAGCCAGCTGGGAAATGAAGAAGTATTGAAATCATTAGCTGAAAGATCAAGGATCGAAAGTGAGGTGAAGTTAATCCTCTGTAGAGATAGTGGATGGCTTACTAATCCACAATAAGAAAAGTGTAACTCCAGTAAGGAAGGAAGCATGTTAACAACATGCGGCCAATTTGTGTTGCTATGAAGATCCATTCCATTGAGATTGAGGTATTTTAGGGAAGAGAGATGAGAAAGCCAATTCAAGTTTGGAATGTCTTTCCAGTGGATAAGAATAATCACTGAAATCAAGATAGTTCAATATGATAAGTTACCAAGAGAAGGGGGAATCTCTCCTACAAACTCTGCAAAGGAGATATTGAGATACCTCAGAGTTGTTTCCCTTCAAAATTATTCAAACTTAAGTCCATGTAATGCAAGTGTTTCAAGCTAAGCAAAGAAGAATTTATCTTACCCCCAAGCAAGACTTGTTATAAGCCAACTTGTCCCACTCTTCATCATACCAGACATATGGATATGGATTGCGGAGATCGATCTGGGAAACATGACCGGTGCAGTTGTTGCATGAAATCCCTTCCCAACGGCAGCAATCATGACCCACCCAAGAAGAAAGCCTACCAGACGGATCAGTAAGATCTTGTCTGAAGCTCACAAGTGCTTTCCTTTCTTCCTCAATGCTTATTGATTTCGCTTTCACATCAGTACTGGTTGCAAGTCCAATACCCAATAAGCACAACGAAAGGAGCAAATAGTGAGAAATATTGATGAGGTGATGGATTTTCATTTTTTTTTGGAATCAAGTTTTCTCAATTTGATGAAGATAAGCACACAATAAGTGAACTCGATCATGCATTTATACAAGGCTGCGATAGCGCGTGTAAAAATCAAAACCATATCAACGGTCCAACTCCTCAACCTATTTTGCAAGGTTGCAAGTCCAATCAGGTACATGGAATTAGTGCCACAATGTATCGTATCATGATTATAAATTTATATTCTTCATTTCTCTTGACACAGCCACAATGTTTTCTTTAATACTCATGATGCTGCTACTATATTATGCCCAAATATTCCCTTTTATTTATGCTATTTCGACACAAATGGGTTTTCAGTTTTATTTTCATTTTTTAAAGGTAAGTGAAACACGTAGTAGAAAAATTAAATCAAATGCCAAATGCCAAATGGTGTTATTACATCAAATGTTGTTCCACTATGAAATTTCAAACAATGCGAGATAGAGGGTTCTCTAGTCTAGTCTCCACGTGACAAATTTAAGCACATAAAAGCTCCTATATATCAATCAAGAGTCTTACAATTTTTGTTTTGTGCATGGTGCCAAAGCATGCTCTCATTCAGTGGCTCCCTCCTTGGACAACGACTTACATCCACTGGGCTATATACTCTTTTAGATATGGAAATCTTGGATATCCAAATATAAGTCTTTGGTGACCAGTAGCTTTGAGAATTAATACATATGCCGTGAAGACTTTGAGGGTCTCCATAGCATCCATTAGCGATCAGATAAGTTATTTGTGGTTTATTTTTTCCTTCTGTTTTTCTTGTTTTGTTTTGAATGGGTTGTTGTTATTCAAGGCTTCTAGCTAGTACATATATATATCTTTAAGGTCACTAGTCTATATATAAGTCTTGGTATGTGTACATGTGTTTAGTATTACACCACTTAATATACTCAACTTCTATACATATGTATCTGATATAGAGCAATCTTAAGGACCATTAATGTCACATAAAAAAACATTAAAGAAGAAATGTGATAATTTCGCGAACCTCAAGAACCATTTACCATAAAAATAGAAGAACCAAAACTTAATTATTATTGTTTACCTTAGAGATTGTTGTATGCAACATCTATAGTTAGATTTTATGCTCAAGGAAATTCTCCTGATAACTCGATACTTCTCAGAGAAAGGACTATCAAGTTTTGCATGTTGCAAATAGAGTGGAATAGTACCATTCAAATTATTCTCAGCAAGATACAATGCCACAAATTATGGAAATTGTTGGTCCAAATTCAATGGAATTGGCCCCAAAAAACAAAACGAATTGGAATTGCAGTGAGTTGGTTGTAAAACAAATTCAAATAATAGACTGGAAGATATTTAGAAGAACCAGTAGTCTTCTGTCATGGAATCTGAGATTCCAGTACCGTGAAGTTTGACAAAGAAAAGTTGAATTTGAGACTGGAGCATATATTAAGGGACATGATCTCGGAGGAAGGAAAAAAAAAAGGAATTGTCATGTGTATTTAGCATATATTTTATTAACTTTATTTTATTTTATTGTGTCTTTGAATTTACAGTGCGTCAAGTTGTTATTCTCTTAGGAAGTTCTTTGGTCTTGTTTTCTTCTTCATCATCCTTGTAACTTCTCGTAAGTTCTCTCTCATATCCCTCAATTAACAAAACATTTTATATATATATATATATATATATATATATATACACACACGTTGAGAAGCACTTAACTTAATTATCATACCAATTAATATATTAAGATTTGTGATGAATTAATATTAACCCTATACTATTTAATGCATATAAACACACCCAAAATAAACCCAAAAATCGACAACTATCGATTTTTTCAATTCAACAATTATATTGTATTACAGTTTTGCCCTTTTGGGTGCAATTTTGAGAAACAGCCGACTTAAATTTTTTATTTTATTTTATAATCTTTTATTTAATAACAAACTATGTTGTAGATTGAAGAGGAATAAGAAGAAGAAGAGCATCGACCATGGCGTGCATGAGCTCATGACTCGTGGAGTAGCTTGTGCAGCTCCTAGCTCATCTTCTTCTGCCAATCCTTTCGGTGCTCTAGGCAACGCTCTTATCGATCGGTTCTTCTTCTAAGACTTAGGTTCGTCGTCTTCTTCGTCCCTTCTTTCACTTTCAATTTCTCTTCTCCATTTCAAATTTTCAATCCTCAACTGGCCTCAACGGAGTCATTTTCTCAAGCTTTCGTTTGATTCACAAGCAGGAAAAGGTTGAAGGAGATACCTCATCCACGCCCATAGCTTCTTAGCCATAATTTTATCCAGACGCTCATGGCCACGTGCTGCACCAGATCTAAGAGTAGGCTCACAAGGATGAGCTTAAGAAGAACGAAGAGACCATTTCAAGGTCATGTGAATCATATTAGTATGATCCGGTTTGATTATCACCGAATTTCGAAGCTCGTTGAGCAGTTTCTTTGCGATTTTGTGATTGATTTGAATATGTCTACGGGTTTTTTCCTTAGTTTTGCATTTCGTTTACAAATTGCAATAAATAAATTGATTTTAAAAAAATCTGAAAATTACTTGCTTGCTTATTTGTGTTAGTTCTAATATGATTTGTAATGCCAGTACTGTGTTTCTAGTTCTTAGCAGAATGGTTGAGCATCTACATAAACATTTACTGTTTTTATGTTGTACATGCTAAGCTATTGTTAGTTAGCAATTTTTGTTTCAGTCTTACCATTGCTTTTGCTATTACAGAAGGATAATAATGTTGTTTGCTTGTTAAATTACTTTTTCAACGGGTTGAGACCTTTAAGTTATCTAGCCTGGTTTTGCTGTTGTGTATATATATTTTTAATGTGAAAATATATTGTATTATGCCTTTCAGAATAATGAACTGTTAATGAAGGCACTGTCAAAGCTAATCAATCTTAACAATCCAGATCTTATCTTGTTTGTTGGAGAGGCACTGGTTGGAAATGATGTTGTTGATCAACTTTCAAAGTTTAATCAGGTTTGAGTTCCATATTCATGGTTTTTTATAGTATTGTCCAATTAGGGTTTGTTTGTTGATTCAAATGTAACTTCTTCTTCTTGTTTGAGTATTGATTTTGAATGGAATGGAGTTGTACACTTTTATCTTACCTATTATGCAAATGAAATGATGTAGTTGTTAACTTCCAGTAAGTGATATGAACAGTTGTTATATTGTTCATACCCTGCAACTGAGTTGATTTCTATGACGTAGTATTAACAGTGTACGTCTATGTCATAGTATTAACATATTTTCAGTAACAAAGCATGCTCTATATTTTTCTCTATATATAGCTGTGCACTTGAAGTTTATAATATGCAGAATGTGATTTTTATTTGGAAGATTGTTCTATGACATAGTATTAACAGTGCACTTTTTTCTTTTTCTTTTTTCCGTATAGAGGTATCTTGCTATTACTAGTATTCTTCTTCTCAAAGTTTTCCATCTTTAGTGTACCTCATTTTTTTTTAATACTGTTTTAAGGTTTTGGGTTTCTTTGTTAACCCCTTTTCATTTGGATAGTTTGAAAATTTGCAGTTTTGGCTTTGGTTGAACTATGATAAAAATGGTCGGGTTGTGAATTTCTCTAGTTCTAATTTTGCTGATGTTTGGTCTTTTGTTGTAAACGATTTTGAATCCTCAAGTCTAGTACATGCCTTATGTTCTGTTGCTTTGACACCATTTCTTATGACATGTTGATTTGACATAACTTGTTGCATTATTGGTTCTTGTAGTTGGTGTCATATAAAGAGTTTTTTTAGGTATGTTTTTTTATTTGTAGGTTTGAGACTTGAAGTCTGTTGATCAATAACATATTTGTCAAGGTAGATACCCCTGCATAGATTATCTGTGAATAAAATTAGCAAGAATGTGTTCGTTTTAAAACTTTAGATGCTATAATGCTAGATAATTGAGGAGTAATGTGGTAAGTGTTGTATCAATATTTCATAATTTTCAGCAATTTAGAATTTCTTCTTTGCAAAGCTTGGCCACTGCGAATTTTGGCAGTGCCAATGGATGCCACAGCGAACGAAACCCCAACTATACAATCCCATAACATTCCTGACGAGCCAATGACCACTATTGTTGTTGCCACTCTTATACCAACATTCGAAAGGCGGCAATGCCATTGCTTTAGGACCTCCATCCCCGGAGAATTCCCTTTAGCTGCCAACCCCTCCATTGTCCTTCATGTCCTTACTGCATGCAATTTGGATCCTCAAGACCTTGCAAAGCTAGAGGCAAGTGACCTGTTGCTCTAAAGTTTGGTAATGTATCGGTGTTTTAAATCTTAGAATTGATAATGCCGCTGGTTTGATTTTGGATGTGTGTGTTGCATGCAACATGCTCATTTTTCAAGCAACCTGCAAACTTTGCTCCTGACTTTGAATTGTCCATATCAGAGCATGCTGCTCTGGACATGTGCCAAAAGAGAGGTATATTTAAGCCAATGACAGCAGAGCAACGTCAAGAATTGAAGCAAAGATTTGGGGGTTTCATGAAAATCTGAAGTTCTTGTTGACTGGAGAGGCATGTTTCAGAAGGGAGAAATCACAGGCAATAGCAGGGCTGGGTCACAGCATTGCTGTAACTTCAAAAGGAGCTGTCTATTCATTTGGCTCTAACAACTCAGGACAGCTTGGACATGGAACCACTAAAGAGGAATGGCGACCTCGGCAAATCAGGTTCCCAATTCTTGATCACTCATTAGACCTTATTCTGTAAAATGCAAGAAAAAGGAAAGAGAACTATTAGTTGACTTAAAAGAAAAGTTAATGGAACTCCGTTCTGTTGCAGATCTCTGAAAGGCATTCGAATTGTTCAAGCAGCTGCTGGGGCTGGCAGGAAAATGTTGATCATTGATGCTGGGAAAGTTTATGCCTTTGGAAAGGACTCAAGATGGTTCTATGACATAGTAATAACAAGATAGTTCTATGACGTAGTATAAACAATGTACTTCTAACAATGTTTTTTCTATGGAATGGTATTAATAATGTACTTCTATGGAATGGTATACATTTATGACATGGTATTAACAATGTACTTCTGGCTTGCTGGGCTTGTTTTGGGCTTTTTTGAGTTTTTTTTGTGTTGGGCTTGTTTTAAGTTAATCTATGGCAGATATGTAATTTATAGTAACTTCAACACTCATTTCATATGTAATAAATGGTCTTTTGGTATGTTTCTAAATTGAAATTCATGGTTTTTTATAATTTCAGCTCCTATTTGAGTGTATTACTAAAGCTCCCCAAACTAAAACAGGTAAACAACAGGATACAACAAACCAAAAGCAATCAAACCAAATTTTGCACAATTGGAAAGAAAATCATCAAAACCATTAATTAGAAAGCCAGTGGTGAGGCCAGCCTTGATCTTCTCGATGGTACCAACATCTAGCTTAAATGATTTGGCCAAGATCACATCATCAATTCCAGTGGTAAAAACAGTTTGGTGGCACTGTAACTGCTCTAGCACTTGCACTTCCGAATGCTGCAATGGCTGTGGCTGGCAATTGAGGATCTGAATTATACTGATAATGAACTAATCCCTTGGGAAATATAAACAGATCTCCAGTTTGAAGCTTTTGAGTGTACAGATTGTGTTTCATGTCAATTAGGCCAACTTCCAAAGAACCATCAACAAGGAACAAAAGTCCAGTTGCGTCCCGGCGGGTGTGAGGTGGGAACAATGTGTTTGGAGGAAATTGAAGCACTGCATATATATGACTCACTCTGTCCACTAAGGGCAGGGAACTCAACCAGGCTTGCTTTCGATGCCTTGAACGTTTTGGGAGCTTGATTGAAAATTCCAGGGAATCCAATGAATGTGAAGAAGGTTCCATAAACTGTTCCATTGGAATTCGGTGGGACTACAAAGTCAGAAATTATGTTAGGTTAGGAACACTTGCTAGGGCCATTTTGGATGTGGCTAAGGGCAATGTACTAATATCAGTGTTTTCAAAGGCATGCCTTCGCGCACGCCGGAGCGCGCGTCAGCGCGAGGCGGGAGGAAAACACCCCAAGCGGTCGGCTGTTTCGCAAGTTGCACATTTAGCGCTGGGAAGGCGTTGCAAGGCATGAGAAGGCGGAGCAAGGCGTGAGAAGGCGTTGCAGATCTGGAAACGACTCGATCTGAAAGAAATTGAAAGTCTGCAAATTTTCTGCAAGGAAGACGACTCGATTTTTTTTTTTTTAGGTTTGTAATGAAACAACGTCGTTTTGGTTGCAGTGTTTTAAAAACAATCTTATAGTGAAACGACGTAGTTTCACTTGGAGGGTGTTGAAAAATAAAAATTAATATCTTTCTTAAGTCCAACCGGTTGTATCTTTCTTAATATCGTTTTAAAAACAACCTTTATTGTAATAGGCAAGAATTAATATCTTTCTTATTCTTTCCTAACTCCAACCGGCTGTAGCTTTTGTACTTACCTTTTTTTTTCTTCTTTTTTTTCCTTTCTTTCTCTAAATTAATATATTAACACATGGACCATATATATATTGTATAGTACGTGTACAACCCTAATTTCTACCCTTACCAGATAACTCCATCAATTTCAAGAATTCTCTTCATTTTGAATAAATATATATTGAATAAATATTTTATGTTTTGGGATTGATTATTATGTTTTGAATGACAATTAGTACTTATATTTGATTATATTTAAAAGATTGTTATGGTTGAATAAGAATTAGTTGTACAATTTAATCGTATTGTATTATTCATAAATTTTTCTTATTAAAATAACTTAATGTTCAAAAGGCTTACGCCTCAATGCTTCAAGGCTTATGCCTTGCATAGCACTACTAAAAACGTCTCGCTTATACGCCTCGCATTTGAAAACATTGACTAATATTATCACTAATTGAACAAATCTCATAGCAGCCATTTTAGATAACTTTTAAAAATGGTTATGAAGACCAACAAGCTGGGATTGTATAACTTGGTATAGGGTTAATATGTAGGAGCTGATCAGTTTCTATTGTTGTCTGTGTCTTTCCATTTCCCTGTTTTCTTCTTATTTGGCCTGGTAGCCACAAGCCGGCAATAGATATATGCTTATTGGAGCTGTAAATTGCTCAATAGAACATCAACTTAATTAATTTGACTGAACTTCTGAGGATATATATGGATTGAAAGGCATAGTCTGACATGGCAGCTAGCTACAGATAGCCAGGTAGAAAATCCGGTTAGGGTTTATAATTATCTGAAGTTTTTCGACTTATGAAATGAGAGGAGTTTTTGCAAGACTCTCCTTTCTCTCTCTTCTGCATGCAAAGCTCTTATATCTGTGTATGTAGACAGCAAATATGTACTGTGTACAGTAGAATATGCCACAACCGCCATGCTGGGTTGAACATATCATAAAAAGGCTTAGGATGGTTATTTTGCAGCAACAATATCAGGGTATAATCTAGTATATACAGCTGGTGGCCATGCATTCAGAAAGATTTCAGCGGACTTAAGGCTCTATGCATAGAGCATATGCTAGCTTAGCTATTCTAGACACACACAAAAAAGGTGTTTTGGGTTCGGATGCTCTATAACTTCTACATTTCTATATATATATCTAAATTTAAAAACAAAGTTTTGATGATGCTTTAGTTTATTAGGACAAACTTGTGAAAAAAAATAGAAATTCATGCATTGGTTTTGAACTTTAGCATGTCCGCTAATATTAACAACTTAACATTGTGTTTTGAGCATCCTAATTAATCCGGTAGCATATTTATTTTGCAGCATTTTTCTTAGAGTACTCAAAATCTTATGTCTTCGTACATATACGGTATACCAGATGAAAGTAGAAAAGGACTGATCTTGTGGTTCAATTATTATACAATTCAGGTTATTGTTTTATAATTTCAGAGTCAAAAGACTGGACAAAAGATCCAAATGTTTTTGAAAGAGCAGTAGAAGTACTTTATTAAAAAATAGAATTAAAGGGAAAAGCTGCATACATCAACCAGACAAAACAAGTAGAAACATCAGCAAGTAATTTAATTAAATATTTATTTTCTCAATTTGGAGCTAGTTGGTGAAGCCAGCCTTGATCTTCTCTATGGTACCAACATCAGTCTTGAATGATTTGGCAAGAATGGCATCATCAATGCCCATGGTAAAAATAGCCGGCGGCACTGTAACTGCTCTAGCACTTGAACTTCCGAATGCTGCAATGGCTGTGGCTGGTCTTTGAGGGTCTGAATTATACTGATAATGAACTAATCCCTTGGGAAAAATAAACAGATCTCCAGTTTGAAGCTTTTGAGTGTATAGATTGTTTTTTGTGTCGATTAGGCCTACTTCCAAGGTACCATCAACAAGGAACAAAAGTCCAGTCGCGTCTGGGCGGGTGTGAGGTGGGAATAGTGTGTTTGGAGGAAACTGAAGCACTGCATATGACACACTCCGGCCAGTAAGGGCAGGGAACTCAACTAGGCTTGCTTTCGATCCCTTAAAAGTTTCGGGAGCTTGATCAAAAATTCCACGAAATCCAGTGAAAGTGAAAAACGATCCATCAATTGTGCCGTTGAAATTCGGTGGGACTATAAAGTCAGAAATGATATCAGGATCACTTGCTACTGCCCTTTTGAAGGTTGGCAGAGCAAATGCAAATATCATCACTAATTGAATAAATGTCATAGCAGCCATTGTGGATAATTGGAATGGTATATAATGCTGCTAGTTTTGTATATGGTTTTTGGTTCATCTCACTAACTAGCTAGCATGGTATTAATATGCATTTCTAGGAGCTGATATGTTTCTATCGCTTCTACAGTTAGTCGGTGGGATGAATTTTTCTATGTCATTTCTCTGTTTTCTTCTTCTTGTTCTTATTCAGAAGCCACAAGCCGGCAAAGCATATAAGCTTAGAGGAACTGTATACAGCTAACTAGCAACATCACGTATATGGTTTGGAAGGCATATATTGTTGGCGGCTGTAGATAAACAGATAAACAGAAGTTCTTGGACGTATGAAAACGAGAGAAGCAACAAGGTTCGAGTTTTTGCAATTGATTTGTGAATAAAGTTTTCTGTTGAGCAAATGCTGAATTGTTTACTTCACTTGTCTCTTATTTACGTTCATTTTTGTTTCCATTTCTTATGTAAACGCTGTAGTATTTACATATTACGAACGAATATAAGGATATTTTTTGTTGTTTCTTTGTACGAAACAACATTTAGACCAAGTCCTATGAAATAAAGACACACAGTAACCAATGAAGAAATAAAGAAAGGACCATGTAGGTTACCACAAACTTTTGAGTGGAGAACTTCATTTCATCTAACATAAGAACATTAGACAAAACAGTCAAATTAATAAATGTATATCCTAAACTGAGGATGAAGGGCTTGAATAAAGTGCAAACATACAAGAAAGTTAACAAAGGACAGAGTGTGGTAGATGAACTCTAATCTGGAGTTGGTGACCTTGCTCTCCTTTTTGCTTTGCTTGTCCACCTTATCCTTGTAGGAAGTCACCTTAGGCATAGTCATGGGCATCATCCTTTGTCACGTATCCTGGTATGGTAGTTGTGGGAACTGAATTTTAGCAAAACCCTAGGTCAAATATTTCCTTCTATTTGGGGATTATTTGATTTGGGGATTCTTGCCTTGAATTAGGGATTTGATGTATCCTCATCAAATCCCTAATTGATTTAAATATCCCAAAATTAGGAAAAATAATTCCTTTCCCAATAAGGATTATTTTTACCCAAACCCTAGCCCTCCAAGGCTCTATAAATACGAAGTTATGCAAGGCATGAAGTAAGCCATTCTAAGCTCTCAAATTACTGCAGAAATTCCCCTCATTGCCGCCTCCTCTCTCTCTCTCTCTCTCTCTCTCTCTCTCTCTCTCTCTCTCTCTCTTATACAAGGCTCCGGTCACCACACACGGCTCTGGTCGCCCAGTTCACACCATACATACATCTCTGTACCCTTTTTTAGCAATTCTTTCTCTACGAATCAATCGAACTAACTTAGGCATCAAAGGGCCTTTGGCTAACATCCCCCGGGTGTGGTCCTTTTACTCCAATTGATTTTGCAGGGAGAAAGAGTTTGAGGAAGGAGAACGGGGAATCTATTGATCGAATATTCTAAGTGATGAAAATCACTCCCACAAATTGGTGTTTTGATTGAGAGCGCAAAATAATACTCAAAGCATGCTCCAAATCTATTTTCCACACTTGTTTCAATCAACACCACCATGACAAGCCCGTCTCATGGTTTTATGGTGGAAACCTCACTGCAATCGCACGGGACAGCGGCTGCCAGTGACTTGCAGCAGCCTCCTATGGCTGCCTGCACGTTCCAGCAGTCTCGGACAAGTTTCAGCAGCCTCCCATGGCTGCCAGTGCGTTCCAGCAGCTCCTCGGCGAGTTCCAGCAGGAGCCTCCCATGGCTGCTAGCGAGTTCCAGCAACCCCCCGTGGCTGCCCATGCCATACAACCACCTCCAGTAGCTTCACAGCCGTTACAACCTTGCAGCCACCGGAAATGGCCTTTAAGACAGTTTTGCTGCTCCAAACAGCTGCTGTAGCAATTGGGCAGCCAACAAACTATGAGGCCAGCTCCTTGCAGCCGCAAATCACCTCCGTGAACCACCAAATAGCGGCTGGAATTGCCACACCACTTGAGGCCGCACCAAGCCACTGCTCTGTGGCCTCCTCCGTCCTGCAACAACAAGGGCTAGGCGCCAACACTGCCACCTATGACGGTGCCACCATTCTTGGCTACCTCAACGCCTTCTCAGGCCATTCCCCGATCTTGGAGAAAATCCATTCGCTCCCTCCTTTGCAAGCACACTTGACGTATGCACCCATGTACACATCTAATGGAGCCCTAACCCATATGCCATTGGGCCCGATCCACACCTCTCTTCCCGACCCGCTCAGTCAAGTGGGCCTTAACTCGCGATTCGATCAACTCACATGGAGGGCCGACGACCAAAACAATCTAATTGGCCAATTACTCAGGCATATCAACTTGAATCAAGGCCCCAACCTTGGATCCCATGACAAGGAGAAAAGGATCCACGAGCATAACTGCGAGCATTTTGAGAGATCCCAAACTGGTCGAACAAAGACAAACAGGCAGGGGAGATAACGAGATCGTACTGAAGAAACGCATAATTTTAAGCCGTACTCTGAGTCGGTCGACGATCCGTTCGAGGTTAAGTCCAAGGACCAATGTGCACGAAAGGTTGGGCCTATAATCCAATATACATGCTCGCTTGGGCCTACAAGGAAGTATCCATTCTAGGCTGGGCCTATTAGGAGCACGAGTTCGTGAACAATTGCATGACGAGCGTAACGACCGAGGCTCACCAACCCTATCGAGAACCAACTCACGACGACAAGCTGTAGAGGAATCCTTGCAAGCTCAATCTACAAATTTGCCCCACAGGCAGGATAACCAAGGAGGTCAACTCTTACGAGCCAATGAGGAAGTCAATCAGCGTCACCCAAATCGTGAAGCTCACCCACATGACTCACAAGCCATGTGCGCATAGGATGTCAAGAAGCTTGTGAACAACCGGCTTCGAGATTTGAAGATCGGATAAGGGTTCGAAGATGCCCTGCGCAGGAAAGCCAAGCAAACTCCACACCATTCACCACTGAAATCGAGTAGGCTGCTCCCCCGAAGCTATTCTTAACACCTTCGTTCACTCACTTCAAAGGGGATTCCGATCCCGAGAGCCATCTGAAACACTTCAAAAGTGTTTTGATTATCTACAAGGCCAACAACGCGCTGATGTGCAAAGTGTTTGTCATGACTTTGCGAGGAGCTGCCCAAGATTGGTTTCACACCCTACTGTCCGGGTCGATCAGCAACTTCAAGGAGCTAGCTTACATCTTCACCAAAAAATACACATCTTACTGGACGATCAAGAAGAATAATCTGCATAAGAAGTCCGATGAATCCCTTCGAGATTACATCAAGAGGTTCAAAGCAGAAAAGGCAAACATTGTAGGATGTAATGACCAAATTGCATCATCAGCCTTCAAGAAGGGCTTGTCAGCTGAGCACAACTTATTCCGCGAGCTAACTATCGTTATCAGCTGGGAGACTCAAATGCAAATCGGGTCTAAATTCAAGGACTAATAAAACGATTTAACCTAAAAGTTAAAGACTAAAACAAGAAGGCATTAATTCAAGAACAATGAGACAAATTGATTCAACAACAAGAAAGAAGAAACTCCTCTAATCAGAGATTATGGTGGAATTTCATGTCAAATTTGTGAAGAAGAATTTAAAAAATGTAGCAAATATGAATCCAATAAACCATACGCAGAAAGACAGATGGACCAGCAATTCATTAATTAATAGCAAATCTGATTGCACTATACCCTTTAAAGGGCATTTTCGGCATCTCTTATGAGCTCGTGTTTTGATAATTTTCCTGACCAGTATCCACGTGGCCATCAATTATTCCAAAATCAACCCTTATTCCAAAACTAATTCCCAAATTGTAGAGGAGACAAATGAACCCAAATCGAAACCTAATCCCCGCATCACATCCATTAAATAGCACAGTGGAGGGAATCATGTCTAGGTTGTGTGTTGAGATGGCTGGGGCTTTGCGTAATTTTGGAAGACGTGGTCCTCGATACATATTAAGTTACTTAGACCATCTCCAATCATGAGGACCAAACCCAAATTTTATGATTATAGCTTCCAAAAACCTTCTCCAAAAACCTTCGCCAAATTCTGCCCAACTCTCCAATCCAAGCGGAATATATGTGGGGCCCAAGTCGAAGCCAACTTGCGCAACAAAACACGAAGTTAGGATTCTCCTCAATCCAATTCAACAAAGCAACAATTTCACATAAGAATAGCAGAGTCGATGACATTTCTCTCCTTGGCCCTCTGTTGCGCATATCATAGTTCCAGATTCTACGACAACCATGAGCAACACCAACCCACCTTCAACAAAGCCCTCATCGCCCACAAAAATGGCCCCAACAAGGCCTCTTTGCTTTCGATCTTGTTCAGCATAAGAAAAGCCATGGCCTTTACTTATGCCTTCACCTTCTTCCCCATTTAGAGCTTTCAACCCTCTTCACCACATTTGGATGGGATTGCAAGTTTGAAGGGTGATGAACAAATTATATCGTCAGCCGGAGAAAAATAAAAGCTTGCAGGGAAGTAATATATAATAATAATAATAATAATGCTCAATCATCCAACCCAATTTTTTCCTTGTTCCCATAATCCACCAATCAAACTTCCAACAACACCGAAATCGAATTTTCCAGAAAACTGGAGGGTTCCAATAGAAGAACATGTTTAGAGATTTTGGGCTTAGAATGTGTTTTACTGTGATTAACTTTTTTTTAAAATGTTTTTTTGTTTAAATTAAATTAAAAGTAGAAGTAAAAGAAAATAAATGTTTAAACTAGTTTTTTATGAACAATTCAAGGGTGGGTGAGTATAAATCTCTTGGACCACAATCCAAGGGTGGGTGACTATAAATCTCTTGAACTCATGTAGTCCAAGAGAACAGGACTGTCAAATTTGAATTGAACTTACAACGTCTTTTCCCTCCCATTTTCATCTTGTTGTCAAAGACTAGAATGTTCTTTCTTATAAAAAATAAAAATAATAAAAATTGGTTAAGCTATTTTAATCCCTATAGTTTAAGTTTTCATTGGTAAAACCAACTAGTTAGTGTCATAATCAAGTGAAAAGAGAGAAACAATTTTTATTTCTTTATGGATGATCCATACAACAGTGTTAATTAAGCAATACATGAGTTGTTACAACTTACAAGAACTGTTAGGCCTGACAGAAAGAGATTAAGATAACTAACTGTGAGATTGTGATGGTTGTGTTGAGAGGCACTGTCTTCTGAAAATGGGATGATTGTTTGTGCTTTGACTTTGAGACCTTAACATTTGTAGAGGAAACATGCAAAATATCTACGGCTGAGATTGAGATGAGAGAATTTGATCCAGCGATTGTGACAACGATTTTGGTAAGATAATCTTATCAGATGAATACGGATAGAATATTATAATGAATCAGACTAACTCCATCTATCATTATAACTTTCTGACAAAAGTATATGAGAAATGTAGAGAGCCCATGATGAATTGGACATATATCCAACTATCATCATAAGTTCTGTCAAAAAGAGATAAGAAAGTGATGGAAGCCCATAATGAATCGAACCAATATTCAGCTATCATCATAACTTACAAAAGTCATAGGTAGATAAAATTAGGGCTGGGCACGGTTTGGTACGGTATGGTGGCAAGGTGATCTTGGTCTCGGTACTGGAAATTATAACCGATACAGGACAATACGGTGGTGGGGTTATAGTTTTGTGATACCATATCGTACTTGTATGAAACAGTACCATTTTCGGTACCAGACATAAACAACCAATTTGAGTTTGAGTCTTCGATTTAGGGTTTCCAGTTCCATACACAAAAAGCGATAGGGAGGCTTCGTCGATTTGGGGCTTTCCAGATAGAGAGAGAGTTCAACAATTCGTCAATTTGCAGCTTCAAAGACAAAGAGAGATCAAGAGATCGACAATTTGTCGATTTGGGGCTTCAAAGACACAGAGAGAGAGAGAGAGAGAGAGAGAGAGAGAGAGAGGAGAGAGAGACACAGAGAGAGATCGAGTCGAAAGTTTAAGGCTTCAAGATTGATTTAATCAAGTGAGACAAAGATCAAATTCAAGAGATTGAGAGAGACAGAGATCGAGAGAGTGAGAGAGTGAGATAGAGACGAAGATCCAGGTGAGAGAGTGAGACAAAGACAGAGATCCATATGAGAAGAAGGGTTTGGTTTTTCGATCGATCGAGGGCAACTAAGAAAGATCGAGAGTTTGAGAGAGAGAGAGAGAGAGAGAGAGAGAGAGAGAGAGAGAGGAAAGAGAGAGAGAGAGAGATAGATAGATAGATAGAGAGCTGGTTGGGAGTGGGAGGAGAGTTCGAGAAAGTCTGTATGGGTGTGAGAGATCGAGTCGAGAATGAAAAATTCACATAATATTTGTATTTTTTTTACTATTCGGTATGGTACGGTGGCACACGGTGTGTAATATACAGTACCGCTCCCGTGTCATATAAGGGTGATATGGTACGATATGATACCGTATTAAGCCCGGTGGCCAAATCAAACGGTATGAAACGGTACGATGTTGTTCACCCGTTTTGTGATCACTCCTGTGGTGGAATGGCAAAGTTCCCCACTGCCTTGTGAACCATTGGCTGGTCAGCAAGTCAGCTTTCTTTGGTGTATGAGCGTGCCACTGCTAGCAATGAAGATTCTAGCAGACTTATTCTAGAATAGATAACTTGCGCCCCAAGTTACTGATTTTCATAAACAAACGATTATGAATTTAGATGAGGAATATCTCCCAAGTAAGTTCTTTTCTTGCCTCAGACTAGTGAGGACTTTAACAATTTATCTCAGTATAAAGAGGTTGTTCTGGCCAGAATGGTTGATGGAATTTAAGCTGTCTTAGGTAGAACTGCCTTTTACAAAACTATAAATATAAATATCCAAGCTAGAAAGAAGAAAGGACATTTGGAACTCCATTTCTGCCTGGTTAGAGGGTTCTGATCCGGGCTGGACTGGAAATATATGGGCTGGACTGGACTGTTAACAACTTTTGCTGCTAAGCTTCAGCTGTAGATCCATACCAAAGGTTAATTTTGGCAGAGCTTTAATACACTTCAAGATTTTGTGAGGCTTCTGAGTGGGCAGAACTGTGGCTTCTTTAGTCTGTAAGGGCAGAAGTGGCTGTTCTCGAGGACTTCAATAGGCTAGAGACTGCACTGTAAAATTTGTTGAGGTTTTCATGTTTGGGAAAAGCTCAAGCTCTACCTGTCTTGGTTTTTTGCTGAACCAAATTTGTAACGAGAGAAATCTCATTTTCAATGACTTATTTTCTAAGTCTGAACCTTGGGAATTCTGATCTAAAGCTGGTTTTCACTTGGAATTCAAGTGAGCTTCTGGTTGATTTTGAGTTGTTTGTTTGATTGATGACTTGAGTGTTGGATTGATTGTCCTTTTGCCCTGTTCACTCCTTCTCGTATTTATAAGAAATGTTTTTCTGGAGTAGGGTGTTTCTTTTAATAATGGGCGGCAAATCCTTTCAAAGATCTGCAAAGAGATACAAGAGAGGGAAGGATTTAATTTAATTATGTCAGATAGGCTTTTATCAATCAATCTTTGAGATCACTTCCCAGTTTTTTTTAAAAAAGAAGCCTAATTCCTTTTCCCATTTTAACTGCCCCTTGTGAGATTTCAACCGTGATGGTTAGTTTGATTTCTCAGATGAATAACTCTCTGTCCTCCTGCTTATCTCTTTTTTTGAAAATATGGCATGTGTATCTCTTGAAAGGATGGTGCCTTCTTGGAGTGGAATCAATATTTTTGAATATATAAGAAGGATTTTGATCTTCTGGTAGCAGAAATTCAAAGAAGTCCTTTTGCCACTGACCTGCTTTAATTAATTCTCAGTCAACTTAGTTGACTTTGTTGACTTTTCCATTTTGGTAGTCACGTGGGTTCTGAAAACATGTCTCTTCCTTTTTTTTCTTTTAATCATGCTGGGCCCATTCTGATTTGTCTGGAGCCTAAAGGTAACTGCTTTTCTTTTGGGGCCCAAGTTTTCTTGCCACATTTTGATGAGTCTTGGGCTGGCCTATCTGGATTTTGGGCTTTGCCTTCCGTTTTGCAAAAGCCCAAACTGCTTGAGTCATGTAGCTTTTATTCTGGGCTTTCTCCGTGTTGGGCTGGGCGTGTTTAATTTAGGCCAAACAAATGTAACACGGTATTGGTACGATTTCGGTATATCCGATACAGATGCCTAGCTCTAGCTAAAATATTATTTTTGGAATATTGTCCGAATTTCTATTCTTTTAGTAGAAATGTTCATAATAATAAATTAAAAAAACTAACATAACATAAATATGCATTAAAACAAAATAAGTTAACAACAATAAAAATTTGCAAGTAAACATTACATATATATTTTACTAATCCAAACCATCTATTTTATAGATATTCATTCAAAGATCATCTCTACAAAAAAATCATTTGAATCAGATATCATTTGACCACTCAATTAAATATTTGAAATGTAA